ATTTTTTTTTACCGTGAGCACCTCATAGAATATACTTTTCTACAATTTTCAGTCGAATTCCACTCATTGTTGTTAAGTATTAAATTGAATACATTGCTGTAATTGAAGGACAATAATTCAAATCATTTTGATTTATATTGTATAATGTTATATTGTATAAATGAATCACTGAGGTCTACAGGTATAAAGGATTGGAAAAGAGTTGGTAGTACAAAAGCTGTAAGTTCATAATGTATTCTTTGTGATACGTTTTTTCCTCAAGACAGCATAGTGTTATCAAACGATTTTTTAAAATGAAAATAAAAACATTTTGACACATTTATTTGCAACCAGTGACTATAACCTCAAGGCGTTTGCAGTGTATATTTTCATTGTAAATCGTTTTCGGTTTACCCGAAACAGCGTTTTCAAAGCCTTATAAACTAACGTTAAAACAAATTAACCCATTGTCGCCAAATGCTAATGTTAACTGATAGCTTTGGTACTCAAATGTTCAGCTAGATCTATTTCTTGGTGATTTTAAACAAAACGGGAAAGAAACATACTATATATGCTACCATAAAAAGAATTCATATCCACTCAGCAACGTAAGTGCCCAATTCCTTTTCTATTATAAATTAAATTAAATTCTATTATAAATTAAGACCAAATATTTGATCAAATGAATCAGGGGGTTTGCGAAGGTGCTTTCTCCATGGACAAAACTTGCTTTTAAATGACCATATCTATCGATGTGGATAAACTTCGCTGAGTTTCCAGATGCAGAGCCGATTGCATTTGCATCCCCGATGCTCGCCACAGTTCACTGAGTTAACCACTGACTTTGATAACTTTTTCATTCTCCTGGTCAGCAGTGGCTGGTGGTAAAGCATTTAATCCCAGTGCACATTTAGGGCGATAACGTTTAGTGTTATTGAGTGCAGGTCGATTTTGATCAAATAGCCAAATAATACGGAAACTATTATGCAGTGAGTTACCTCCATCGCATCTGTTTATTGGACCTGTTGATGACCATGCGTTACTGAATTACATTGGTCAACAGTTTTTTTTCCCCCCTTCTTTGAACCAAGGGGGCGATTTGGAAATCCATCACTAACTAAAAGTAGTACGTGGTCCACGTTTGCTTTGATGCGATCACGTTCGTTCTCGAATTCCCGAGATTTATTGGAATAAATTATTGAGCGCCTTGAGAGAATCCGTCTGAATGATTGCCCTCTTCTGAACACTTACTTACTCGTCCAAAAATAGGCTTAGTTTGGGGATCATTTCGGTTGCATTCCTCGATCTGCGCTCAATCCTAATTCGCGTGAGTTACAACGTTAGTAATGTTACATTGAGACGACGTCTGTGCGATGCTCCACGTTCCTGCCTTTCCCATTTGCAATTCACATGTAAACTTCCCTCTACGGGGCGACCTGCACATTAAATTGGGATTCTGATGGGAAAGGGAGTATAATGTGCAGAAAGAAGTATCAATGTACAGAAGGCACAGCCTTCCAGATGTCTGTACTGTGTCGTTGTCTTCGTTTGTTACAAAGGAGGAGATTTATTGGCAAATAAAGAAAACTAATACGCTGTCATTTTACATCTACTCACATATTAGTCAGATTGATTCATTTGCTTTAGGAATTCTCGTTTTTAGTGGGGGTGGTGGGGGGTGTGGGGGGATTAAATTGCGTTAAAATAACATGTTTTTAAGACATGCCGAAGCTGGATGGAAACGACAATAGATCCTGTCACGGACCACGATGAGCTCCAGAGAGAAAAAACATATTTGCAGATGTTCTCATGATGGTTTGCATATCAATTTGGAACAATATGAACGTTGAATGGCATTCGATAATCGTGGCATTTCTTCGAGGAGTTCAAAGGAGTAGATTTATTGGGTTCATTCGTGTAATTGACCTGATTGGAGTCAACATTGGTGCATTTTTTTTTGCTGCACTGGTCTGTGTGTCTGACCACTCGCCCTCATCAAACCACAGCCACGACTGCAGCCGCCAGAAGGCTCACAATTAACCCCAATAAACCTATTGCATTCGTTTAGACAAGACAGGCGTTTAGTTTCGACCACTCTCTCCTTCTCCACCACAAACGTGTCCACTATCTTTCTATTGAAAAAAATATTTCGTTGCTCTACAGTGCACGTCTGCGTGGAATCTGAATTCATAAATAAAACGTGTGCATAGCCATTCACCTCCACGAACTGAAAAGCTTTACGCAAAAGCCAACAGAGCAGAATAAATCGTTGTTGTTTCCAACCTCAGTTGCTGGTTTCAACTTTGCCAACAAAAAAAAGAGAGAGAGAGAGAAAGAGAGAGAAAGAGAGCAATGTATGGTGTGTGAAAATCCTCGACAGAAATTCGGAGTTTGAAAGTGAAGGTCGCGGATAAAGTCTTCTGTGTTAATGTAAACTCCTCTGTTGTTTGATAGCCCCCGGGTCACTCCGGCACAATGCTATGTGAGGAGGTAAGTGACTGTGCAATCAGTTTGGTGACTGATGTGCTCGAAGTTGTGCTGTTGGAAGATCTGGCAAGAAACTTTGCACAACATGGATCGGTTTTAACTCTCGTTGCTTTTTCGTAATAAAACTGCAAACGGCACTGTCCGGTGGGTGGGGGGTGAGGAGAAGGGCTTAGGTTAAAAGGATTATAAATATTGCAAAACAAACACAAGAGCAAAATTCTTGACATAAATATTCAGTTCAACGCCGCTTACCTAATGGAGGTGACCCAAACCACTGGAGCTTGGTTCAGTGTGTGCGATGGCCGCAGAGTGTGTATATGTACATATATCCATCAGTTTCAGGTGATGGCACAGTGTTTTGAGCACTGGGGAATAAAGTGGTCGACAAGTTGCGCTGCAGATACCAGAGCTGAAGAGCTGAAGGGGAGCTCAAAACCTCAGGTGTGATTCATTGGAGTATAATCCGTACAAATCCAAGTGTTAACACAGCAATTTAAATAATAAATAGACCGCCGACCTTTACGAAAAACTGCTTTGCTGTATTATCACCTGCATTTGTAGAGATCTGCGTGTAAATACAATCATTCATATGATTCGCTTGGCTTTTGGATCTCCACTGGTTTAAATACCCTGTGACTAGCATTTGGTAATCGCCCGTATTTTGCGAGTGTTTGTCCAACTGTTAGCACATCAATTTAAATAGTAGATGGTCAACCTGTATTAAAAACGGTCGTTGCCATATTAACACCTGCAGCTGTGGAAATCTGTGTGTAAAGACAGTTATGATTTGCTTGGCCTTGATAACTCCACTGGTTTACATACCCTATAACTAACACTTGGTGCGTTTATTTTATTGACTGAACCCACGAGAGTAGCACAAAAATCAGTATGCAAAGCATTCGTCGTTGATGTGGAATATTTTTGATTGAAGTAACATGCTTCAGAAACGAGTGGACTTTCCAAACATATTTCTTGTGAGAAGAGCGCAAATCAGAATGGTGTCAGATTTTTCCATCCACGTTAATTTGACGCACACTGTAACATGCACCATTTCTTGTCTGTTCGAAACGGGCTGTTTTAGTTGCACAGTGCGTCACTTGACCCGAATACAATTCTATTGATTGCATTTCAAGTCGATTTACATCGAGTTGCAAACGGGTGGAGTTCATATGAATCGTTTTATGTTAAGCGCGACTAACGTTTAAACTGAACATATATATCTGGTAATTCAAACCGTTAAATGCAACTGCTCTGTTGTTCACCTTTTCGGAAAATCCTGTTTACGCATTATAATCAGACAGCCATCGGTGTCCAAACACACCAATGCGATGCTCTAACTCTGTACTTGTCGGAATTCAATGGCATATACTCCTCAAAGCCCCGCTTCTGGGAGTCATTTCTATTTTTTTTTTAATCTCGAAATCGTGCGCGATTTCAAAAGAATGGAATGCAAAAACCAAACGTTTAAGTGCTCCCCTTAAGCATTTGGGGTCGACCCATGTTTGAGCGTTGCTGTTTGCAGGAGTTCCTGAACGGGATTCCTGCCGACGCACACCTTCACTTAAAACAGGATTCCGTCATAACTTCGAATGATCGATTTGGGGGAGAAAAAAAAATATTCTGATGGGACAAGTGTGACCAAGGGGGGGGGGGGGGGGGGGGGTGCGGAGTATCAAAGGGCACAGGAGCGTTCCCTTAACCAGAATCAGTCCGTTGCGTTGAAATGGGATTTGGAGCAAATTGGTCAATAGTGGCTACAAAGGTGTACTGTGAGTCGGTTCTGTTATGAACCCCCCACCCACACACACACACACACACACACCCCCCCACACACACACCCACACACATACACACACCCACACACACACACCACACACACCCACACACATACACACACCCACACCCACACACATACACACACCCACACACACACACACACCCACACACACACACACTACTTGGCCACAATGGGTTGTCCTCTGAGTCGAGGTGACACTGAGGGGGGAAACCAAGTCGAGTGGCCCTTGTTCAACACTGCCATGAAGTCGCGGGGTAACCGGCCAATCGCTCGAGTCTGGTGTTCTTGTCTATTTCATGTTAATTACATGTGTGTCCAATGACGAGCCGACTTGTGCTCGGGGAGGGAGGGGACTTGCAGGTTTGGGCAGACGGGGGCCAACGCAGCGTCGAGCCGATCTCTCTCGTCTATTCTCAGGGCATTTGCTCCAACGTTATCCCTCTCTGTGTGACTCTCACCTCTCCATCCCTGACCGATCTTTGCCTTCTCTCCAAAGCGCTTGGAGTCGGGAGGTTTTTCTCCTTTTTTTTGTGTGTGTGTGTGTGTGTGTTTGTGTGTGTGTTTTGCAAAACGTTCCCAGGATTACAACAGAGATGGTACTGGAGTTCTGTGTCCTTTCCTGAAGGATAATTTCTCCCCCCCCCCCGAAAAAACGAGTCGATTTTCTATTCCATTTCCTACCGTGACACCTTTGCTCGGGAGGAGGAGGAGAGGAGGAGGGAGGAAGGGAGGGGGGGAGTAATAAATGGTTCCATCATGGAGAAACCGGCTTCTTTTGGATTATCTCGCCTGTGTCTGTTATTTGCGGTAATTATAACAGTCTTTCCTTGCTGCTCCCAAGGAAATTGGATGTAAGTAAACGTTGATGGTGACGGAATTTGCTTCGTGTTGCGTTAACTGTTTGCACTGCTTGTTTTGCTAGTGATGCACTTTTCTCTACGATCCTCTCAGGTGGCTGGGAGTCGCAGCCTGTGGAGCCACTGAGAAAATGGACTGTGTAGATCTACCTCTTTCGAGCAAACAGAAAGAACTGTGCAAGAGAAAGCCCAGCCTCCTGCCGAGCATTAAAGAAGGAGCCCGCATTGGTATCTACGAGTGCCAGAGTCAGTTCAAACACGAGAGGTGGAACTGCTCTGTAACAGATGACTTCTCTGTCTTTGGTTACGAACTGACCAGCGGTAAGACAACAAGAGTAACAGCTCTCGCCTCGACAGACACCTCATTAACCCCCCCCCCCCCCACCACCACATTAAACCACGAAAGTAACGAGTGCGTAAAAGAAAATGCTTACAAACTATATATAATAATAATAATATAAAAGTGCGCGCAGAGATATACGATTCCACCTTCCCCAGGATTGTGACTTATTTTAAATCACTCCAGTTCTGGTGCGATCGTTTCAAGCGCAGACGTTGCATGTGTGTGTTTTTTTTTTGCTTTATATATATATATATATGCATTAAGTTTTTGATTCCACAATCTGCTGTGCAAATCCACTCAACGACTTTGATCGGCCGCGGCGTGGCCTCGAAAATGACCGAAATGAATGTCACGTTAAAAAAAAAAACCCCACGAATAAAGTAATTGTGTTCAGAGAACAGCTGCGAAGGGCTGTTGCACAGATCGTTGTGTTAGGCTGATCAGAATGGCCCCATATGGTTTCTGTTAACTTTCCCAACAAACGTTTTAAACCGCGATCTTGGAATCTTCTTGTTTTCTGGTGATCCCAAACTTTTCAGAACTCGAGAGGAATGTTTCAGTAAAAGCGCCTGAAATGGACAGAATACAAAAAAAAAGGGAATTTAAATTAGGATTTTACTCCGCCTGTGTGTGGGTGTGTGTGTGTGTGTGTGGGTGGGTGGTTGTGTGTTTTTTTTTGTTGGAGCGTTTTAACTCAAGACTCAGGACCAGGAGAAAAATATAACCTCTGCATATATATATATATATAAAAAAACTTTGCAACCCTTTACATCTGATTTACGGTGCAGTCAGTGAGAGTCGGTTTCATATGTTTTGCTGTGACTTTGTGCCGAGCGATCATTTTGCAATAGCACAACACAAGGTGGGCTTCCAGAATGCAAAAGAAAAGAGACTCAAAGCTGTTGCTTCAGATTCACGTTGTAGTACGTTGTGAAATGCAGAACATAATTGTTATTGAAAGGTACGTTTAAATAACTCTGAAGACCAGATACACCTCGAAACTTTTATCTCGCCTCTGTTATATTGCATTGTCGTTAGTTAATACGGTATTGTTAATACGGGTGTGTGTGTGTGGGGGGGGTCTTGTTGGGAGGGGAAGGTCGGTCCTCATCGTGATCCAGTGCGGAACCTCCAGCCCAGGGAATGGAACAGTGAAGCACTCACCAGGAAAGTTTCATTCCCATCACTGTGCAGGAGGATCGTGTGTGTGTGTGTGTATATATATATATTTATGTGTGTGAGTGAGACTGTGCATAGGAAGTAAAGCAGCTTTCAGTTAAACACACAGATGTGGAGACTACGAGTCCTGTTGTTTGGTGCCTGCAGCCCACCAAGACAACCCTGAAGCCAACCCACTAAAGTGTGTCGTTTATTAAATAGGATTTAGGTTAAAAAAAAACACTCTTGTGAGCCAACCACTCGCCCAAGCCGTTCAGTCAGTGAGAGGAGTGGAGTGAGGGGAGCGAGTGAGTGAGTGAGGAGGGGAATTGGAGGTGGTACCCTTTGCTCAGGTGTCATCACACGTTGCCAGACTCAAAAAGCTTCTACACTTTTGTTTTCCTGGCAGCAGGACCACGAGTGCGAGTGCGACGAGGAGCTAACAGGGTCCTCGTTGGGGTTGGAGGAGGAGAAGGAGGAGGAAATGTCCTTAGTTTTACCCCCCCCCCAAAAAAAAAACCATCCACTAACAGCAGGTTGCCATCTCTGTCTCTCCTTGTCTCTCTCTCCCTCTGTGCAAGAAGCGCTCCTGCCCCCAACGCCTAGAACCGCTCACTGCACAACAGCTCGTCCAGAGCCTCAGTGGGGACTGCAACCCAAAGGGTACACAAACCAGGCGAAACTGCACCCCCCCCCCCCCCCCCACCCACCAAAAAAAAAAGCGGGCATTATGTTTCTCTTAAGTTTTCTTTTCTTTTCTGCCTTGTTCAGTTAACCTAATAATGGGAATAATGCTACTCGATTCTGTTAATAATATTGTAAATCAATAATAACATTAATACTATTCGATTGCGTTGATAGTATTGTAAACCGTTACTATTGGCAATAATATTATTCCACTATATTAATAATATTGTAAATCCATCATTCTATTGATACTATTGTTGAATAGTATAATAATGTCGTTGAGGTAATAATGCAGGGTGACCAAAAAGCGATGCACTAAACTACCCTGTTATCTAAAACAAAATCAAAATTTCTTTAAGACTCATTAGACATCATAACGGTATCACAACCTTTCGTATAATAAGATAATATATGACCTGATGAGGCACCTTATCAAATAGGAATAATAATCCTTGCATTTGATACAGCGTCTTATCACGTCGACGAGAAGTCTCAAAGCGATTCACACAATAGATTGTATATTGACTGTATATTTTGTGGGTGAAACGCAACTATTATTAGTGCTGTCGATTCATTGCTGTTGGTTTAATGTGGTGCCGGGGGGGCTGGTACCCGCTCCTCATGCAGGTACGAAGGAGAGCGCCTTCATCCAGGCAGCGGGGGCCGCAGCGCTGGTTCATTCTCTGACCCGGGCTTGCAGTGCCGGGAACCTGACCGAGTGCTCGTGCGACACGCGACTGCAGGGCGGCGGCTCAGCCAGCGAGGGCTGGCACTGGGAAGGCTGCTCCGACAACATCCAGTATGGCACGGCCTTCAGCAGGAAATTCCTGGATGCGCACAACTGGAGCGAGGCTGCAAAGGAAAGGGACGCGGTGGGCGACACCATGAGCTTGCACAACAATGAGGCGGGCAGGCAGGTAAGTTGACCAGTCACCTTGAGTGGCAGATGAACGTGGCAACAACCATGACAACAACTTACATTTGTGAAGCACCTTTCACATCGGGAAGGCATTTCAAGGCCCTGGACATTCAGTGATTTGGACCCAAGCTGGGGGTTGGGATCAGTAGGGGTGGAGGTCAGGGAGGGTCGGAGTAGGAGGGTGAACAAAGGTGCGGTTGAAGAGGAGGGTCTTGATCTATCTCTAGAATTTCTATGTGTAGCTGGGATGCCTGGAATTCTCAGTTTGGTTTGGATATTCTAAAGCATGGTGACGAGTTTCCGCATGTGTCAGACACCCGCACGACTGACCCCCAAAAAATCGAGTGGCAAATCTCTCACCTCACCAGAGATCGGCTTTGCTGCTTTCAGATCCTCCTATCCAGAGAGAACGGTGTAGAAATGAAACAAAATTCATTTATCTAATGTGTTCTTTCCATTCCAACCAAGCCAGGGTGTTTCATTCATTCAAGAAAACAACTTTATTGTGTTTAAGGAGTCTCCCAATGAGCTTCAGGACAGTACTGTTAAGTGTACTGACTTGTTTTTTTCATGAATAAAGGATATTTTTTCAATTGCAAACCTACAATCATATTCTGTGCAGCAAAGTCCCACAAACAGTCTTGAGGTGACTGACCAATTTACCTGGTTTAGGAGAGAAACTCCTTTCTCTGATTGAAGAGTACCATAAAATTCTTAACATCCAATGGAACAGGCACAGAGGACCTGGGATAACATCCCCCCTGAGAAATGGCATCTGCAACAATACAGCGCCCCTTGTCTAGTCGGAGCTTATCTTCTAAAGTGGGGCTTGAACCCACAACCTCCGCAAACCAAATAAGACAAGGTGACACCTATTTAATCTTAGTAGTGAACAAATTCACACTTTGGTTGTCTGGGAATAATTTCACAGCCTAACACCATCTGCCTGTTACTTTTGTGAAGTCGGATATCGCAAAGAAGGTTTGCTCAGCACATTTTTTAAATAATCAAGGTGAAAGTTAGATCTGTGAAAATCTAGATCTTGGTGAATATGGTCCGCAAAGTCAGAAGTTACAATTGTTTATTTTACAAAGAGATAATTGCATAATTTCTGCTTTAACTTATTTAGCTTCTAACGGTTGCCTGATATTCACCCCCACCCACTTCACACTTTTCTACTTTTCTATCTTTCATTTCCTGGTTGAAAATTGACTGTTATCATTTCAGGTTTATAATTGTGTTAGAGGTTTCAATCTGTAATTGATGTGATCGGTGCTAACCTGGGCGTGAAATCCCTCTTTACAGTGAAGTAGGGAGAGAGGGGGCAAAGAGACAAGGGGGAATAGGGAAGAGAGAGAGGGAAATGGGGAGAGGGAGAGAAGAGGGGAGAGAAGGGACTTTGACGATGGATTGCAAATCCTGTTATAATTATCCTTAAAGCCCCTGCAGTTTGCTGCAAGAGACATTTGACCCCAGTATGCGTGTTTCTGGCTCCCGCAGGCAGTGGCTCGGCTGATGGCAGTGAACTGTCGCTGTCACGGAGTGTCCGGCTCCTGCGCTGTGAAAACCTGCTGGAAAACCACATCCCCCTTCGACAAAATCGGCAGCTTCCTGAAAGAGAAATACGAGAACAGCATCCAGATCCAGGACAGGTCGAAGAGAAAGGTTCGGCGGAAAGACAAAGTGCGGCGCAAGGTGCCGGTGGAGCGTGAGGACCTGGTGTACATTAAAAAGTCTCCCAACTACTGTGTGGAGGATCGGAGCGCAGGCATCGCCGGGACCCGGGGGAGGCAGTGCAACCGCACCTCGCACGCCGCCGATGGGTGTAACCTGCTGTGTTGTGGACGGGGCTACAACACCCATGTGGTCAGGCACGTGGAGCGCTGCGACTGCAAGTTTGTGTGGTGCTGCTATGTGCGGTGCAGGAAATGCGAGACTATGACCGACGTGCACACGTGCAAATAGCCAAGCCCAACAGACCCTGCACTGCAACGAGCCACGGTAGTGATCTTATCAGCGTTATTTAGTTAGAGGCTGCGCTGGGGCCAATTGGCGGCCTGCGGGCCTGATGCTGCCCGAGGGACGATGTCATCCGCCCTCCACCCTCCCTCCATCTCATCCGGTCCACCCACTCCCTCCGTAACCCGTATATGTTATGTTTCTGGAAGGGAGCCAGAAAAATATGTGGCCTGATGTGGCCTGAGGACATTTCTCAAATAGGGCATCAGGCCCTCAGCAGCCAAAAGGTTGGGCATCCCTGGCCTATAAGATGGAAAGGACTAAGCGCGAGCAAGCGCAAAGAAACAAAGACCAAACTGAAATCCAAAGTCCCGTTGTCTGTGTGAGACAACCTTACAAATATTATTATGACAGGGAATGCTTAAAAATTCAAATGAGTGCAGCAGAGGACTTCAAAGTTTGGTGCAATATTAAGTGCGCGGCCAACAGAAGGCTCCTGGGATCTGGAAGTATATGGTCAAATTGAACAGAACAAACATCCATCAATCCCAAAAGGGCAGGATCATTTAGCTCAAGATAAACCATAACCTGTAACTTTAAAGGAACGTGACTATTGGTGGTGGCTACAGAACACTGAATGTTAGAAGCATCTCAATCAACCTCAACAAACTGTTAAGACCAACAACAAGGAAACACACAGGATTTCTTTCAGATTTTAAAATATGTTGCAAATACTGTATTTCTATCAATTTGAGGAAAGTTGAGAACACTGAAATCATATAAACTGTATTAGAAGAAGCTCCAAAATGTGTTGCTAAAATTTCGAAATGAAATACTTTGCTGTTTGGAAACACGAGTGTAACCAATATCTTTTGGCTTTAAACCTTAAATATGTTTGTTCATAGGTTTAGCAGGAAAAAAACATTGCTTAAAAGCTGACCAAAGCCTATTTTGTTTGCAAGCTACAGCACTGGCCTTACCTTTGGAAGATAAAATCTTCCAAATTGCTGAGCATTCATTCACTGTTGAAGATGAAAGCACGATATTTACTCAGTGATGACACTGTATTTAAGTTGCTTGGCAACTTTGTATCAAAAATTATATTACTTTCAAAGTAAAATAGTGTGACTTTCTATGGCATGTTATAAACAAATGGAACTTATCTTTTGGAAAATATGTACAGAGAGTTTTAGTCTTGATGACATACATGACACACTAACAGTTGTTTATATCTGTAAATATTCTTTAACTTATGCAAAATATGTATAAAAGTATGTCAGTCATAATTGCATTGTAAAATTTGTAGAATTTGTGGCTAATCTTTGTTATGATTTTATTAGTGTGTTTTCAAACGGTTTAGATAATTAGGAAACATTAGTTATATTTTGTGCTTGCTCCTTTTATGTATAAAGAAATGCAATATTGTATTCAAAACTTACTACTTGTGTCTATTTTACCCTCTTTGAATGTGTTTCAAAACAATCTTTTTGTTTGTTTTAGAAATTACAAATGGATCTCAGTCCTAAATAGTTCAGCAGAAATTCAATTGCACAAATATAGTGCAAGTTTCCTTGGAGAAATAGTGCAAACAATCCCACAGTATTTTGTTTTCACACGACACCACAAGTTACTTTTAAACCAACAAAGGATTACATGTAACATTTTAGCAAAGCTACTCTTAAATCTGTACTGCTGGTGTGAGTGCTGCAGCAGTAATTTGTGAAAAATAACAGGTTGGTGGAAAATACCACAAGCCCATTTTTAAAAGAAGGAATTTTAGCTAAATTCTGACCTCAAGGTTAAAAGTCTCAACCTGTTTTATACTGCCTAATGTAAAGATGAACAATAGCTTTTCACACAAAAGTAATCCACTCGGTATTTTTTAAAAAGGCTTGATTACGTCAGCAAGAATGAATTATTGAACTGAGTTTTAGTGTATGTTCTATTCCTTGCACTTTCAATTTAAGGAAGACTGAAGTACAACCTTTAACATGTTCATACACTGCACCAAAACATAATTAATCTACAGCTAAACATTGATGTGTCATATATGATTGAATAATGGGTAAATCACTGGTTTCTAAAATAACTAGATCTGTTCTCAGTTTTAGTCGATCTCAGCTTGGCAGCAGTTCCAGTGGTATAATTGGCCTTATTACCCTCTGATGGAGAGTAGATAAACCTGACAAGGTTGCTGCTCCAGATTGCCCTCCACTGATTCCTGCAAAGTGTTTGTGTGTAGACATCAGTTGAGGATGTGGAACAGGTTATTTTTTCATCGTTATGTTAGGCTGTAATATCCTTCAGAGTTAAAAGAGCTGACCAACACTTACTGTGTAGGTTCCTACAGAAACAATGGCCACTTTAACAAGATATAGGAAGATGACACACAACCACAAACCTAGCCTAACAAGAGTCAGGACCTTCAGGAGATGAGGAGGGCAGAAATGGTGCAAAATCTGATCATCAACAAATCTGTCATTTGATTTTGTTAAACTCAATTCCAGCTCATATTTAGAATTAATGCCATGTTTTCTTCATAATTTCAACCTTTAACCACCCACTATAGATATATATCTCCTTATAATAATCTCTATGTTTCATATTGATATTTGAAATGGATCAAATGTAAGGATTATTAGATCCTTCTCAGCAAAAACTAAGAACCAGCTGTGTTGAATATCACTACCTGCACTGAAATGTATCCAAGGGCTTAAAATTCCACAATCCTCCTGGGAGAGGTGGGGTGGGAGAGGGGGAAAGGGGGTTCTCCTTGCAACTGACCTGGCTTCAAGGTGACATGCCTGGCAACAAAATGTTGGAATCGAGCCAGCCCTCTGTGGCAGTCTTGGTAGTCCGGTTCCTGAGACAGGCAGATGTGTAGTATTCCAAGGCACTGCTGATGCTGAAGATAGCACAGTCAACCTGGCTCATTGGCAAGACCTGGAAGGGCAGACCAGTCACTGGGGACAGGGAATCAGCTCTTGTTAACCTTCCAACCCAAAGCCCTAACGGGTAGGGTGGTCCTAGCTGGATAAGCAGCGGGAAAGCTTGCCAGATAGCAATATCAATGGCAAGGTATGTGGTTAGACTCCAGCGCAATGCACACTCTGAGGTCCCCAAAGCTTGGCTTTGACAACTTTGTTCCGGAATTAGGTAAACAGGATGTATCCCTTTAGGGAGAGAGTTTGTGTTCCATTTCAACAATCTATCTCTGGGATTCCCATGTGTAGGTGGGATGCATGGAAATCTAAGCTTGGTTTGGATACTCTTAAGCATGGTGATGGGTTTCCGCATGTGTCAGGCACCCGGCTGACGAAAAACAAAAAGAAGTTTGCAAGGCATCATACTATATTCAGGGTAGAAATAGTAATGGAACACTTTTTTTTTGCTAACTACCCAAAGTGCCCTGCAAATTGCCCTGCAGTTCCCACATCTAGCTTTGGCCATTACTTTACTCCCACTTGTTTGCCAAGTTCATGCTTACACATTGTTAATGCAGGTGCTAAGTGTTTCATCTGAGTTACTCTGGAAATCTTGCTGCAGGTTAACCGTTGATTGCAATTTTTTTTCATTCAGTGGTAGTTGAGGGTGGTGCGAGTGATAGGAATATTGATCGAAAAAGAGGAAGTATTGTTCGTAAGACGACGGTGATAAAAACATGAGCTCGGCTTTCGAATGGTATCTCTGGGAAAGTGGCGAAGGTAATTAATGACTGGAACACGTCGGCAGAAAACGTGGTGGAGGCCGGGATATTGGACTCATTCGAAGAACAGCTTGAAGCTAATAATGGAAGGACGATAGGGTGAGTATTGGGGAGGAGAGAGATCAAATGGGCCAAAGGGCTTTTCTTCGCTCTAATATTAATCTCACGATGTGTTGTGTTTCCTCAGTTCGCACGTCCTCAAAGCAAAGTTGCCGACGGTGACGATTTTGTTTTTAAAAAAAACTTTTTTTCAGTTGATTAATTAATTCGCGTTTTTTCACAGCCCATCGACTAACAGTGACGGCGGAGAGAAAACAATAACAACAACTTGGATTTATATATAGAGCCCCTCCACGCCGGACGGCGTCTCAAGAGCGCTTTACGGTCACGGATCCCAGCTGGAGGAGGAGGAGGAGGAGGAGGAAGGAGAAGGAGGGGAGGGAGAGAAAGAAAGAGGCAGGAAATGAATTGAAAGAAGATGGGCGTTTCTCTCTCTCTCACTCTCTCTCCCCGCACCACCCACCTACCGAGTGCGGGGGACCAATGTGCGGGGAGGGTGAGAGTTCAGGGGACTCGGATACTGCGGAAATAGCGTTGTTTCAGCAGCGGAGGAGAGCAGCTGGTGAGTGTGGGAGGGAGAGAGAGAGAGAGAGAGGGAGAGAGAGAGGGAGGGAGGGAGGGAGAGAGAGAGAGGGAGGGAGGGAGAGGGGAGGGGGGGATGATGATGATGTGCACGTATATATGAACGACTGAGAGTCAGCCCTTGGGAGGCGACCTGTGCCAGAACCTGGGTGTAAAAGTTGAGTGTAAAGTCTCTGCCATAAAGACTGTGTGTTGTTTGGATCATCTGTCACTTTCTCCTCTCCTCCTCTCCCCTCTCCCATCTCTCTCTCTCTCTGCTTTGCTCTGGGTTTCCTATTGACTCCAGGACCGGTCCCCCAGAACAGGGGTCACACTCCCGATTGCGAGTCTTGTTCAAATATTGCAATTCCACTCCCTCTCGCTCTCTCTCCTTCCTTTTCAAGAAGAAGGAAGTGTTCGCTTCCTCAACAGCTGCTCCGATCCGATGGCCAGAGTTTTTTTTTAAAACAAAAAAATAATTCTGACATGACATCAGATGCCACAATCTGCCAGGCCAGCTCCGCTCTCCAGGCTCTCGTCGTCTTCCTAGTTCTCTCAGCTGCTTCGGGACGCTTGGCTACTCCATCATTCCCAGCTCTCTCACTCCTCTCTGGTACGACTCTGTCGCTGGGTATTTTCATGGGTTCACTCCCACCTGCCCCAGGGTCTTCACCAGATCTCCTCCGAGACCTTCTCCACTTGCCCCTTCCACGGCCATGTGTAATGTCACCCCAACTCTCTACCTTTCTGCCTCCATCCATGACTCCAGGACCACTGCTGTTCTGACAGGCTGCCTGTCAGACATCAAGTCCTGGATGAGCCAACAACAACAACTCACATGTATATAGCGCCCTTCACTCTGGGTAGTGTCCCGAAGCCTTAGCTTTCTCTAACTCAACGTCGACAAAACTGAGACTGAAGTTTATGCTGTTTGGTTCCTGTCAGCACCTCCTCACCTCAGGTTGCTGGGTGTTCACTCCAACTCACAGAGCCTGTGCAGATATCCAGCGTTTCATGTGACCCTCAACTCTCCTTTAAGCCTTTCATCTGAGCTTTCAGCAGATAAGCTTTTTTCTGTGTCCACAACATTTCCTATCTCTGTCACTACCAATTGTCAACTCCAATACTATCATTGTGAAACAGAATTCACCAAGCATTGGATTGTTAACCCACTAATACAGATCATGAGCTGGATTAGACCGTTGGGAGACAGATTAGTTTTACCTTTTTGATGTATTGTTGCAATAGTAATCCAGGCCTTTGTGAGTTCCTGACTTCAAAGGCGCTATATAAATGTAAATTCTATTGTAGTGACACGATGCTGGTGAGCTAGCCCATTTGAGCTCAATTCCTCGACTACCAGCAAAAAATTTGAGATACAATGTCGACTTTTCCGGGACGACTTCAGGCCAGTGCCTCACAATTCCATCCTCGATATCTCTACTGATCCCTCTTAACACAAACTATTTACATCAATCAATGTGTGGGGACGAGAGAGGATTGGATTCATTTTTTTTTTAAAAATCAGGTTGATAACAATAGTAATCCTTACATTTGAAATAGTGCCTTCAAGACGTATCAAAGCACTTCACGGAATAAACTGTAAAGTGTAGTGACTGTATATTTTGTGGGTGAAACGTGGCAGCCAATTGCGCACAGAAATGTCTCACAAACAATCGTGGATTGGGTGACTATTCATGAAGGGATGGGGTAACTGCTCGAGATACTGCTGGTAGGTTGGTTAACTTACGTATGATATTAGGTACTATATAGGATGCTATTATTAGGGTGGGTGCTCTGGAAGGATGAGATACAATGGGCCGAAGGGCCTTCTTATCCGAACCTCTTGTGACAATGTGAACTGTACACAATTTGAGATGATTCTGCAATTCCATACTTAAAGCTGGCCGCTAGATGGTGTCCTTCAGTCATGCAAGGACTGAGGTGGGAAATACCTCTGTATTTTGCCTGTCAATTATGAGGAATGAAAGGGTTGCAATAGTCGTAAATAGCCAGATACATTAATGGTATTGTGAAACTATCAATTATATGCTGCATGTGAGAACATCCTGTTTGATTAAATTCCATGTAAAAAAATTAAATGTATCCTCTCAGACAATACAATATATTCAATCATGCTGCAAACCTGAAATTTTACAATATGCAGGGTAACTTTTTAAGGTAACTATGCTTTTTGACTGAGTTGTACAGTACTTATCCATATTATTATATTTATATTAACATTTATTATTTATTTTTATTGTTTATATATTGTTATTTGATATTTTGTTGTTTCTCTGCGGACTTCACTCGAATCATTGCAGGAGGTAACTAGAATAATTTCAGTGGGAGGAGAAGGGAAGGAAACTCTCTTACCAAGTGATATTTCTCTTAATATTAAGTGCAGTAACTTTTAAGTAGGTGGCCAAAAAACTCCCATTGTACAAGGCACAGCATCAAAGCTGCTACACCGAGACAAGAGGAATTTCATTGCTTTATTGAAGTGTTTTGATCTCTGTCTCAAAATGAGTGCTGCTCATGCCTGTCTCTAATTCTTGTGTGTTTCCTTTGCTGCCCAATCACCCTTTACCCCTAAGAATAGAAGAAAGATGAGTAAACCGGTCACTCCAACATCTTACATCCGCTGCTTGAACCACGGGCTCATTCGAAAACTGTCTGACCTGCTAGACCCACAGGATGCATGGAAGAAATTAGCAGTAGATATCCAAAAACCCACCGGAGAACCAAGATACACCCAGTTGCACATAAGGTAAGCAAAATTATTCAAAGTGCAGAATACCTCAACAAGAAAAAATTACACTTGCATAGCATCCTTCACATTGGAAAGATGTCCCAGGATGCTGGACAGTCAGGGGTTTTTTGGAAAGATGTCCCAGGATGCTGGACAGTCGGGTTTTTGGACCCAAGCTGGGAGTTGGGGTCAGGAGGGGTGGAGGGCAGGGGGTGGGGTGGGTGTGGAAGGGTGGCCAAAGGCATGGTCGAAGAGGAAGGTCTTTAAATGGGACTTGAAGGCGGCAAGAGAGGGGCTGAAGTGGAGGGATTGCAGTATATAGTTCCAGAGTGTGGGGACAGAGATGCTGAATTTTATTATAATAATCCTTGCATTTGATTTAGCGCCTTATCACGGCTTCAAGACATCTCAAAGTGCGTCACAGAATATTGTGTAAAGTGAATTGACTGTATATTTTGTGCGCGAAACGCAGAAGCCAATTGAGCAAAGCAGTGTCCCACAGACAGTCGTGGTGGAACTCGTGTGTTAGAGACTCTTGTGACAGTCGTGTGTTAGAGACCCTTGCACCAGTTATGGCTCTTACAAATTCAACTGAGGTTCACCTGTAACTCCTCCCCCCAGCCCCCCCCCCACAGACGCACACACAAAATTACGTTTAATCTGGTGTTAATTATAACACCAGATTAAACATAATATGGTGTTAATCAATTATAATTAATTGCTGGTGTTCTGGTCAACAATCTTCCAGATGTATTGGTCATTTACTTCCTGCCTGTTTGTGGGGCACTGCTAGGCACAAATCAGCTGGCGTATTCACTCACAAACACAGTTACTACACTTTACAGCAATTCCTTGTGAAGCACTTTGAGACACTCTGATTTTATAGGTACTATATCAATTCCAAAGATTATTATTAAGAATAACAGCCTCTTTCAGTCCAGTAACACAGAGTTCATTTATAGGCCCAATTGAAAGTTATACTCTTGAGATGTAAAACGGATTTTAGAAAATGAGTTCAAATTATCGCCAACAGAATCAGATTACCTCAGATCAACGATTAACGCTTACTGATTAATTATTTACTTAGAAAACGAATGATGTGGCATTCACTGTATTTGTTGGCCAAATAGATTAATAGCTAGGATGAATATATTCATTTTCTTATTTTTTTTTAAAGTCACTATCCAAACCATATATTAGGCCAGTTTCCTTCAGACATTGTGGTTCTGGATTCATAATGTATTTGTGCTAATTTATCTCTTGACAAGATGTTTGTGTGTTATTTACTTTAAGGAGATTTGAAGGTGTCATTCGAATGGGAAAGAGTCCTACTGAAGAACTCCTGTTCGATTGGGGAACAACCAATACCACAATCCGAGAACTTGTAGAAATACTGGTGCAAAATAATTTCTTAGCAGCAGCCAGCCTCTTGCTTCCAGGTAAGCACTTTGTTTCCCTATGTAGATATCCACCAGGTAAAGTTGATCATTCACTTCATTGACGTTTGTGGGCATTGCAAACTGGCTGCTGAGTTCGCCTACAAAATGCAGTCTCAACACTCTGCAGTAAATCATGTGAAGCACTTTGAGCTGGCCTCTTGCTGTTCAAACTATATGAAATGCAAGAATTATTATTATTATTGTTTATTGTAGTAGCATAACTAAAATGTGCGGAACGGAAATTTTTGAGTGTGTCACTGCTTTGGGACATTCAAGTGCCCTCAGATTCAGTGATCAGATCCTGGGTTATTTTCTGATTGATGCAACTACGCTTGTACTCTTGTCGAAGAGGAGGGCAATTTTCCACCTCAGATGTTTCTTTGGAATTATGTTAAATGCTCTGTAAATTTGGTTCATTGTTTGCTGAGAATCTCCATTGTGCTGCACGTCACTGACACCTAAACAATACAAACGATACAGCAACTGGCTGCCACTTTCGACACATTTTGTGTCACAAAAGTACTTTGTTTACTGTTGTTATAGACCGTTCAGCATGTCACATTTACTAGTTAGCATGATACGTTGTACTTGACCTGAAGTGTAGATCATATTCTTGTGGTTGTTTTCATGATGATTGTGGTATCTACATTGCAGATGCAGTGCCATCGCCCACACTTTCCTATTCATCATCTGAGACCATTGCCTTCCAAGAGACCATGCCTGTCCCTGTGAATGAATGCCAACCAATGTTGCTCGTCTCCAACAATCAGCTCACCCAACAATATCCAGAAAACTGCACAGTGAAAGAGACTGAATTACTGGTGAACAGTTCAAGTGAGAAAAATTCAGCTCCTGATTCTTTAAAAAACAGTAAGTAATCAAGTAAATACATTTCTTTAGCAATAGGTATTTTATTGTCTGATGTTTGAATTGTAGTTCTCAACTGGATAAGTAATGTGACAAAGATTGTAGACTTCAATTCGCTTACAACTGAAACTTAGTATTTGTACTAGGACACAAAATCCCAAGGGTAAGAATATTCTGTTCAAAATTGGATATGTAGAATGCCACACAGTCAAATATTATGTGATCAAAGACAAGGGAGCAAGGAGGAGGATGGTTTTGAAGGTATGCAATGTAATCTTGATCTTGTGGTAGACATCTCTACTGCACATTGTAAACCTTTGTAATTCAGTTCAGCCCATTAACGGAACTCATAATCACTGGTTAAATGATTATTATGTCTGAAATTCTGACATGACTAACTGGCTTAAACAGCGAGTGTCTAAGAGATTGTACTACAAAGATCAATGCTGTAAACTCTTTTGAAAAAGCTTAGTAACATGCATTTATTTGCTTGACTACATGATGAAGTGGTTTCAATTCTTCCATTTTATTAAACCGTCAATGCTGTCAGAGCATTAAAGTCAATGATGTGCAGGACTTGCTTGTAATCAAAGTGTGATATCAGTTTGTAAAAAGTCTGAGTGAAGAGAATACTGTGAGCAAATGATATTCACGGGAAATAATACAGGTTTTAAAAGGAATGATTGGATTAAAATGAAACTCCTTTGAAATGTGAAATGAAGTGCAGTATTGGATGCATTCAGTGGTATTTCAAAATCTTTATCTCAGGTCTCCAGAGTTTTGGATTCCAAGAGTTGAAGCAGAAGACTGGTAATTTTGACTGTCGCTCAGTGGCAGAAGGTGGCAGTAAGATTGGAGAGGGAGGCTTTGGAACAGTCTACAGGGGCTGCATAAACAACAGAATGGTGGCTGTGAAAAAACTAACAGCAGTGAGTGTGATTTTGTAGTAAATAATTTGGTAGCAGGAGCATTTTGTCAGTAATTGCATACTGACTTTATATTGATACTTATCTGCATATTGATAGAGTTTCTATCCGATAAGAGTTTGCATGTGATTGCTTTCTGCTCTTCTCCCCCACCTCCCCCCGATCCCCACTTTGACATTCGATCTTTAGTTTGGGAGCACGTCATTATACTGAAACGTGTGATAGAATGCTGAAATACTGTTGGGTAGTCAGCTGGGTGATAGAAGGCAGATCGCATCATCACAAGGAGACATTAAAAGTCAAGGGATGTATCTATCTGATTTGAAAGTGCGGGGAGTCGAGTATTTGAATAATCCCTTCACGCCCTAGCACCTCCCTATCTCTGATCTCTTTACTCCATTCCTCGCTTGCCTCATCCGCTTGGCTTATTCAGGTTTGCTGCGTGTCTCCCGCCCTCTACGTGCCACCATCGGTGGCCGAACTTTCCGATTCTACACCTGTAGCCTCCGGAAACCCCTCCCTCGAGCCCTCCATGCCGCTCCTTCTCTGTCTGTCATAAGGTTCAGTATTAAAACCTACTTCTTCGATTGTGCACACAGTCACTTGCCCCTCACTCTTTCAGCGTGGTTTTAGCAGCTCCATTACAAGAACATGATCCAAGACTTTATTGTACATGAGGATGCTGTATAAAAGCAAATTGTGTTAATTTCCCTCCTCTCCCATTCTGAACTTTTAGGATTTCTTGGCATCAAAACATAAATTAATTCCACATAACGTATCATTTATTTATGTGCTCATTTAAAATGTGAGTCTTCTGATTACTGATAACTCAAATTCATGTGGTATCAGTGCATCTTTCAGTAGATTCCCGTCACTGGGAGAGAACAGCTTGGAAGATAAAAAGTTAACTGATCACATCACATAGGACTTGCATCACTGTGTTGTGTTGTTTGCTGTCATTGCCTTCTGCATTTCTCAATCGTGCAGGACTGATGATAAGTGAGTGACATTTGTGGGATGCTGCTGTGCGCAATTGGCTGTCGCGTTTCGCCCATAAAATATACAGTCATTTCACTTTGCAGTGTATCCTCTGAAGCGCTTTGAGATGTCTCGAAGACATGATAAGGTGCTGTATCAAATGCAAGGATTATTATTGCTGTTTTACTTTCACATTTTATTAATCCAGTAATGTCTACTGCATATTTTTTGATATATTCAAACAATACATGTTGTTTTCACTCGCTCACCTATTCTGTTTGCATTCAGTATGTTATTACATTGTTGGAACAGCAAGATGTGAGACATTATCAAACTGAACATTTTCACTGCAATTTGCTGTTCTCTGTTTGCAGATGCCTAATGTCAGTATTGAAGAGCTGAAGCTTCAATTCAATCAAGAAATTAAGACTATGGCAAAGTATGTATGACTTTTACAAAGAGATTTAGTGGTTAGATTAATCAAATCCTCTAAATGCACAATTTAATCCAACAGTGGTCACAAAACCGTTAATCTTACAGATGTCATCATGAAAACCTGGTAGAATTGTTTGGTTTCTCCAATGATGGAGATCATCTCTGCCTGGTGTACCCCTACATGCCTAATGGGTCACTGCTGGATAAACTGGCCTGTCTGGTGAGTAGTGCAGTTTTCCAGTATCCTAACAAGCCAAAACACTCAAAATACAAATATCCTGTTTTTCAAAATATTATTTTAAATTTGCAAATTTAGCAAATGCATTGTAATACATTATCATGTATTGTAACGCTGACAATAAATGGCATTTGAAAACTTTCAGAAATAATTTACATTGATGATCGAGGACTTAAGCAGCTGCAGTGAATGAATAAAGGAATGCCTTTTTGGGAGAATCGGCAGAGATTCTGGGAGCGAGACAGCAGCTTACCATTTGGGGTAGATAGAGTTCAAGAGTTTGAGAAATTGCATGGCAAAGAATAACAAGTGGTACCATATCCTGAATCTAATTTTTTTTAAAAACTGAACATGTTTTCAAAGTGCTTATTCTCCAATTACACTCAATTCAAACGTGAACCATTTCAGGGTGATACTGCTCCACTTTCTTGGAGCATAAGATGCAGCATTGCTCTTGGCACATCCAAAGGCTTAAAGTATTTGCATGAAAATGGTCATATTCACCGGGATGTTAAAAGGTAAGTAAACTTAACATCCTTCTAGCTGTTTGTGAGTTGTGTAATGACGTCTAAAGAGATTGCTAGTTTGGAGGCAGCAGGTTAGGGTTGAAAAGTGGAACCCTCTCATATTCCTTCTTACTATACATACATTACTTGGATTTGCAAACTTGGTACCAAGTTATTATATTTGGAGATTATCCATAAAATAAGCTGAACCATGGAATCAGAGGTGGCAGCCAAGATATTACAAAGACAGTTTGTTAATAATAATAATCCTTATATTTGCTGAAGCACCATTCATGTTGGAAGGACGGCGCAAATTTCTTCACAAGATATACTGTAAAGTGTGTTTTGTGGGCCAACTCATTGGCAGGGTATATGCACAATCCATTAGTATGTCTAAATTGTTGTACTTTTAGTGCAGTATTACAAATTAAACTAATTACAAATGCGCACTTCAGAAAAGTAAATAAAACATGCACTTCTCAATAAATTAACCTTTCATTTTATGGAATAGGATTACTTAAAGACTACTTTTATTTTCTAGTGCAAATATCCTGTTGGATGGTATGTTTGTTCCTAAGCTTTCAGACTTTGGACTAGCTCGGGCTTCAGCACAATTGTCACAGACTATGTTAACTGAAAGAATAGTTGGTACGACAGCGTATATGGCTCCAGAGGCATTGCGTGGGGAGATTACACCGAAATCAGATGTTTTTAGCTTTGGAGTGGTATGTATTTGTTAGTTTTATGTGAGCAATGTAATTGCAATGCAAAATTATAGCATTTGCATTTGATATCTGGTTGAAATATCTCAAAACACTTCATTGTAGATTACCTTTGTGTGAGCAAACTAATCACACAAAGATTATCAGCATTGTTCCACAAATGGGAAGTAGATTGACATTCGATGCAATAATTTCACTGAACATTGTTGGTTGTTTTTTGGGGGCATTTTCGTAGGATTCTTTTGCCTTATTAACAAATGGTCATCGCCCTTTAATAAAACGGTCAAATAAGATAAAAATCAAACTTTCAGAATGCCAAGATGACAATTGTGGAACTGTCACGAACATGAGATCCTACATTTTGGATCCCTAAATTCTTGGGAATTTGTCACCCAGCTAGAAAATAAATGCTGTGCATTCAAATGAAATGAGTCAGTGTTCCAATTAATAAAGTGATTTATTTAAATAATTGTGCCTTTCTGCCTCTTCTATACCAGGTCTTGCTAGAATTAATAACAGGACTTAAACCAATGGAAGAAAATCGTGAACCACAACTGTTGGTAATGAAAGGTTTACACATTCTCATCTGTCCAGGCGTATGCACAGGACAACAAATAACTTGATAGCTTTTATTGCAGAAACATAGCAAAAAGAATGTGTGTGCTTATATAGTCATTAGGCCCCGCCAGGACTGTTCTTTTCCTCGTTTTGACTTCCTCTCTATCTGGGACCAGGGCCTCCTTGTTCTCCTGGATCTCTTTGCTGCGTTCGACACAGTCGACCACGCCATCCTCCTCCACCACCTCCTCCCTTATCCATCTTAGTGGGACTGCACTCGCATGATTGTGGAACACTCCCTCAATCCCTCCGCCTTGCCCCCTCTCTCCCCTTTTTCAAGTACCACCTGAAAATCCTCCTTTTCGACCAAACTTATGGTCACCTTCCCCCCACCCCGGCTCAGAGTCAGGCTTCGCCACTGTGAAGCGCTCTGAGACATTACCCTGCGTGGAGGGCACTATATAAGTGCAAGTTGTTGTTTCTTTCCCTGCTCTTATAATAAAGAAAACTATTTTGATAGACTAGTAAAGTTTACTTTAGTAAATAACCAGTGTAATTGTAATATTGTGCTGGGGTTTATAAACAGTTAGATTGATATCCTATTCCTGTCCGTCTGTTGAGCTTTGATGTAACATTTTAGCAACGTTAAATAAAAGCAAGTTTATAGATTTTTTTAATTGATTTTTAAAGCTTGAGATAAAAGAAGAAATTGAAGATGAAGAAAAGACAATAGAGGATTACGCTGATAAAAAGATGGACTGGGACTCTGTGTCAGTTCAGAAAACCTATTTAATTGCAAGTCAGTGTCTGAATGAAAAGAAGAATAAGAGGCCAGACATCAAAAAGGTTTGTGACATTATGCAGATTTGGTACCTAACATTTTTGTGTGTATGATTTCTGTCCATACAGTCATAGAAAATTCCTATTTTATTGACTTTCAGGTGAATGAATCATTGCAAGAGATATCTCTAATTTCATAAAAAAGAAGAAACTGGGATCCAAGATATTGAAACTCAGCACATTTTGTATATTTGCTACATTGACAGTATTTTTACTTAAGCTTGTTTTATAATAATAATCCTTGCATTTGATATAACGCCTTATGTCTTCGAGATATCCCAAAGCTTCACAGAATATACTGTGAATTCACTTATTTTACTTCACAGTATTTGTAGGGGAAATGCTTTTTGTATGTCTATCAAGCTTTGTATGTATTATGTATATAATATACTGCATACACAAACACACAATGTTACAACTTTCAGAGCATCAATAAACTGCAATCCCAAAACTCAGTTTAGAGTATGGATATGCAAAATTAGTTTAATTGTGTTCTGGAACTTAGTGCACATTGAATCAAACTAGGCTACTTGTTGTATTTGTAGTGTAACAAACAGAAAATAGGCAGCCATGACTTATTATACTAGAGGTCAGTGTTTCTGGAAATTTAATTTGAACCTGATCAATTTTCAGCCTTCTTATATGCAAAATATTGTAAACTGCACACAATATAATTTCTTCTCCAGTCATGCAATTATTTAAGAAAAATCCTGTAAATTAGAATCATATTCCACAGACCAATTAGTGCGATGCCATTAAGGTGTGTTTCCACTGTATTTTCGAAACACATGCCCACTCCTAACCATTACAAGTACAAAGCCTATTTAAAATACAAAATAAGGGTTTATTTAAGGGTTAACTTTAGTTAAGTTACTTTTTTTTATTTAAAAAAATAGATTTTCCTAAACTGCTTCTGCTATTAATTTTGATTGGCACAGAGAGACAGACACAATAGACAAATTATCTACCTCTAGAATAGTTGTAGTTATAAGCTGACTGGGTGGTAAGTGTGCATCTCTTGACCAGAATAATTGCAGTGTCCTGCTCCCACTGTCCAGAAACACTCCACATACTACACCTGTAGGTACTGAGGTACAAATGTTAATGAAAAACAGACCAGACATTTAATATTCAAAATATTTACTTCTACTGTACACAGAACTTATAGATGTTGGTTCGTAGATATGTAAATTCCTTACTCTAGAAAGAATTATGAAAATGTATACAAAACCTATTCAGAAATGGAGCATAAACACCAGTATTCACCAGTTGGGCCGAATGGCCTGTTTCTGTGCTGTATATTCTAAAGGATTTTGTTATACACAGAGCCCAGCTGTAATTCAGAATATATATTATGTAACAAGCCTCAAGAACATGCACGAGATATTAATCAGTGAAATCGGTTTATTGTATTACATTAAGAGGTAACAACATTTTCATCTTTCAGTGAAATAAAGTGTTATATTGCATGTCACAATTCTTGTTCATATTAAATCTAACCTAATCATTCTTGAAAGAATAGTTTGCCAAATATGCAATGCATCATTTTAAATGTGCACATTTTTATACAATTTAAAAGCCTGAAAACACAAATGTCCCAAGTAGTATTCCTCATCTGTTCTCTCTTTTTATTTAAAAAAAAGTTTTAACATTTCACTCCAATTTGCAGCAAACATACCTACATTCTAACTGAAAGTCTACCTTTAGCTTTATAAAGCTCATTAGTGTTTGTTATGCCGAATGTATCTCATTCCTATTTAAGTGGCCTTAGGGTAACATTGTAGAACTATAGAGCCATGAGCCAGCCACAAGTTGTTCATAAACGGTTTGGGTATAGCAGAAATCACATTATCTCACAATTCCTGATAACGATTTGCTTAGAGAGACATGCGCATGGCTATTTAAACACATGATATGTATGTGGTAAAAAATTCTTGTCAAGCTTTTCGAATATTCAATTGAAATAGTCATCTAAAATAATGTTTGAATAAGAACACAAGAACATGAAAAATTGAACAAAACGAGTATACTCAATTGATACACATTTTTGAATGACAATATGACATTTATATGTTAAAGACAATTCCTACGAACTGTTTTCCATGTATTTAAATGAATATAACTTGCACCTCATGATGTCTCTATTCCCTTTGTGTGTAAATGTGCATCAGTTAAATACTAGCAACATTTTCAACTGGTGCAGCTCACAATGTTGTTCATGAGTCACACATGTGGCTCAGTAGAAATCTAGGTTTGACAACACAGTGTTAATTACAACTTAATAATAGTAGCACAGCTTGTATTCCACAACCATTTGTATTAAATGAAAAGATCAGTAATTGTGCTTTAAATCTGAATAGGACAGGCAACTATCTGTTGACCTATCTGGACATTGCTTCAGAATTACAAATAAAACAAAATATTCAACCTATGTTTATATGGTGAACACGAGGGTTCCTGATTTGTACAAAATAGTAAGGACAGGTTATCTGCAAGATTTGATTCATGCAGTGATGAATCTTTTCCAATTAACTCAGGCGGAGTTTATACAACTTGTGAAAATATTTCTCCCTTTAATTTTTTTCTATTTCAAGCAAATGCTAGAAATAACTGCACCAGAAGAATATGCAGTGCCCCTTCACATAGTGAACAATGTAGACACCTACCTACATAAGAAGTCAGAGAAGGTTAGGACCATTTGATCTCTTGATCTTTCAGATTACCAATCTATACAATCTTCCCTGTTACAGCAAAATCTGTTTCTTGAGTTCAGTACCACTATATCCTAGTAACATTTGGGACTCAGCAGTTAAAACAACTGGAAGGTGAGACTTTGGTACAGATATTGCTGTGAAGTCTTGGCCTCACCAAAAAACCATCTTAAGACCCATCTCCTCAACCACATCCTCCTCATCCCCCAACCCCACCCCACCCCACCCCTCCCCCATTGTAAACAAGAATGGATTCTAGAATTGAAGGGCTATTCAAAGATATAGGGAGGACAGTTCTATCTGGAAACATAGTGTAACATATTGAGTATAACTCTTAAAAGATGTTTAGAAGCTTGATTCAAATGGTATAATTAAAATATAGAAGGTCTGCACGAGTTTGGACACAAGAGGAGCAAGTTATACCTGCACAGGCTCTGGCACATCCTAGAAAGGGGGAGGCTTGCAAGCCTTGGGCCCACTACAAGTGTACAAAATGGGAAATTAAAAAAAATGAGTGGGTGATGTGGGGGTGGGGTGGGGGGGTGAAGAAAATGAAATTTGCCTGAATAATTGTCATAAAAATGTTTTAAAAAACAGAATCCACAGAAATAGCAAACACAAGACTCAAATTCTGCCCCAGCTGAAATCAGCTAATTCGGCACATACCAGGAATCTGATCTGTAATCTCTGGTCTGTATAGCTTAATGTTACACCAGGCAGTGCCTTTACCTACTGGGCATTACACTGCGATTGTCTTCCGAAATCCCTCTCGTCTTCAAAACACCCTCCACCCCATCTCCCTCGCAACTCAGTCCTTGCAAAGTGCTTTGAGATGTTCTGCTTTGCAATGTTTATTTGATAATATATTTGTGGATCATATTTATATAAATCTGGTGAAATGATTGAGCAAGGCCCATCTAATTTGGTGCAATTAGTGTCAGTGCAGTCTAGTTTGGCAATTAGTGTCACATTTCTATCAGTAGAGATTTGTGCTAACAAATAGAAAGACTGAAGCTAGGCTCCGCCATTGTTAAGTGCTCTGAGACGCTATCCTGCATGGAGGACTCTATACCAAGTACGAGTTGTTGTTGACTACACAGATTACCAACCCAGAAACGTACCCTCACTTAATTGGTGACAGCGGATCTATTTCGTGGACACAAAGAAATACAGTAGTTTGTCAGTGCTCCAATTTAAAGAACAACTGCTTTAGACCATCAGCATATTATTACCAACATCAGGGAGAGTATGTTGCTGCTACCTTTTGTTTTCAGAACTCCTGAAACAAAACCAATCACTATAAAATTAATTTAAAAAAAGACAGAGAAATGAAAATAAACTCTGGGTCTGAGCCGGTAACATGGACATTTGAGCAGTCTTCCAGTATGTAAAATTAGTGTTAAATTTCAAACTTTTCTTAAATCAACTGATCAAGCAACATTGGAATTCTCCCATCATAATTTTAATCAGTATTGTCTGCAGGTTCTCTTTGCCCCCGTATTAGCCGTTTAGTTCCCCTCTTGCCTGCAGGGCCCTTTGGCTTTGCGAAGATTTGCCTGTGTGCATGCTGCTTCGGATGAACCTCTTCATACAAGAAGTCAGCGGTCAGATCGTTCCCATCATCGATTTCGATCTATGGATATCAAAACAAAGTACATTTATGACCAAGTGACATATCAAACTTTCAAGTGGAACAAAAGTCAACTATTCAGACACATATACACACACACACACACACGCACACACAGACAAACATCGGATTGATCACAATCATATTAAGCACTGCAACTTTAGTAAGTGGTGCAGAGAAATATAATGTTAAGTTTGATACTGATTCTGCAGAAGAAATTTGTATTGTATAAACAGTGTAACGTTTGATTGGTTGGGGTGGGGGGTGGGTAAAGGAATGAATGAAGAATAGGTATAATTGGTTTTCTTGACTACGAGGTTTTAGTAAAGATTTACCTTCTTAGATATTTCCAGAGATATTTGTTTTTTCACCATCTCAATCAAGGAATTCTTACAACTGGAATATAACATTCGTTCTCGAATGCTGCATGTGTAGCCAGGCATAGAGTAGATAAACACTGGAAGACAAAATATTTACATTCAAGGAAACCAATGTATTAAATGAGTCAGCACATTCAGAGTGGGTATCAAAACACAAATGTTTTGTGTAACTTCAGAAAAAGTCAAAAGTGACCTTTGTACAATGATCAAGGGTTTTGAGGAGTAGAACTCCATCTAGAACTATAAATCGGAACATTATGGTTCACTCTGACCATTATTCTCAGCCAAAGGTTAGGATTTAATGGTCCTGAAAAGAGAAAACTGCAAGGTGAGAAAAGAGAATTTATTATTTAAAACATAAAAACCCTCAAATACAAATCAGTTATTTAACTGCAGAAAAAGGCTTTTTTATAAAGACTCAACACAGGCATTGCAAAGCTTGATGTAATAGTCACACGATACACTTCCAATGCTGCAACATTGTCACAGAAATACCTACCGATAGACTCCAAGTAGTCTCCTTCATGAGAGTGCTTGTACAGGAAGAAATGATACCGAGCAGAATCCTTTGGTATTCGCTTTGGCAACTCTCCAATTTCTGTGTTGGTCCTGTCTGACAGCTTTATAGTTTCATTTTTAAAATCTATTTGCTGTAACCAGAGACAATATTGATTATGGTTTGAATCATTGTTTTTTTTTAATTTCTTCCAATGTTGAGTTTTGTATGTACACAAACCATATGTTTGGGAGGTAATTTTGTTATTTATTTGATAAGCAAAGTCTCAAAACTGGCCACGGATTGTTACAACACAACACATTTAATTTGTTATGGCACTTTATCACTTTGTCAAGACATCTCGAAGCGCTTCACAAGATATACTGCAAAATGGATTGACTGTGTATTTGCGGGTGATATAATCATCGAGTCTCACAGTTTCATTCATCATATTAATCTTCAGCAACGCACACCCTTCTCTTAAGAAAATTTCATTCACTTCTTAAAGAGAGCTACAAATGAAAACGCTACTAACTAATTTACCATTCATACTTACAAGTTGTACGTAGTTAAGCCTTTTGTCCCTAAGTTTTTCCAGAGCCTGCAAAGCGTCTTGGTGCAAAGGGAGCGATACACCATGCAGAGTTTGTTGTTTGGTCTCTGCTCTGAAATCAGTTTTCCCCTGCCAAAAAAACACACAACTTTAACAACCTCCGTTACAGCTTCACTATATGGGACCTTATGGATGCACACATCACATTGTTCAATGAATATACTGCTTCTATAATTAAAACATTGTAAACCACAAATGACTAAATAATCATACCCTGTACAACAAAACCCTTAAGAGTTTGATTGTTCAGCCAAGGTATCACACAAAGCAAGCAATTGTTAGGATATGTCTCGAGCACCAATACAGTTCAGAGTGGTGCAGCGAGCAGTGCACCTGTGATCTAGGTTACACACAGCTTGTGATCTCAATATTACTACCTCATTGATTCGGATTTGCCGTAGTTCCTCTTCAGTTTCACTTAAAGGGCCAGGAGCTGCTTGTGAAATCAGGTGCTTTCTGTATCCACTTAAGCAGACGTCCTCCTACAAATAGAAGTGTTGGTGCATTGAATACTTCAGGAAGATTCTCAGCATCTATTTTCTTCACCCCTCCACTTCCACCATTCCTCGAACCAGCTGTGACATGTTGCAATGTGAACTGACTGCCGAGTAGGAGGTATAGGAGTAGTCTGGGTTGAGTAACCCTATCACTATTTCCTACCTTACTACGGTTAAGCACATGGTCTCTGGTTGAAACCTCTCCCCTTCAGAGCACACAGTCAAGTTTCAACTATCACCATTTGAGGAATGAGGCAGATCAACACTATTCCTACATACGTTTCACCCCACCCCCCCACCATTTAACATGTCAAAGCATTTCTTTCAGCATCACAAAACCACAGCTAGCAGAATGGGCAAGTTGAACTGTGGACTCCAAGATTGAATGATATACACCAGACCCTTTTTAAACACTGTCTTACAGTTTGCAACCTTGAGGTATGATAGCTGGTTTACTATGCATACGTGCTCAGCCTACACCCTGACCAGATTGTTCATGAATAAAATGGCCAGTTTCCAGATCATCAGGTCGCTGCCAACATCACTTCCCATGGTCTTGGGCAAACTTCCCGTGTTATCTTATTAAACCTTACATTTAGCCTTGCACACTAGAGGTTTACAATGGTACGTGGAGGTAACTCATTCATGAAATAAAACAGCATAAGAAAGAATAGAAGATAATTTCCTAAATCTATACCTTTACTGTTCCAAATATCTCGTCTTTGATGCGACCACCACCAAATTCCTTCTTCAAACACGCTCTTGTTGCGGCATATAACATCTTTTGCCGAACCTGTATACCGTATTATATCATATAAAAAAAACACATTTATGATGGAAATAGGCTATTAAAGAATATCAGTTCAGTGATTTTTTTGCAATGAGTAAGGTGATATTCAAACTGTTTTTTATAGCAAATGTTTCTTTAAAAAAAATTCTTTAAAAAAATATATATTTATACAAACAAATAGTTTTATTCCCAAATAGGATTATCCCTAAATTTAGAATGCAAAATGAACATAATTTGTAAATTTCTATGATTCCATACTCTGAGCGAGAGTGCAGGCTTTAAGGGCCAAAGGCCTCCTTATGTGATGCAAGTTTCTACAATTCTATTTACAGGTAGATGTTTTTGCCCATTAAATATCCTGTTGGACAACATAATTTGTGACTTGATCAAGAACAAGATCAATTGATTAAAACTTTTAGCAGTGGTCAATAATAATAAGGATGAGAAGCTCTAGCTGGTTTTACCTTCCTAAACTAGATACACATAGACTATGTATTTAGTGCCAGCTGCTGTCTTCTACTAAATAATGTAACAACAGCACTGAGTATACATTTTAACTAATACCTGTATGTACCACCCAATTTACTATCCACTAAATTGACCTTAGCAATGTCTAACCAAGAATACTGCAAGTTTCCCAACATACTGTTATAAACACAAATGATTCCTGTAATTACTTAAGAAATCATTTTGATTTCAAATCCTTCCGAACACAACCATAATTTTCTTAGTCACAGCAAAAGTGTTCTTACTGGAGAGGGCTCCGGTGACCAGGCAATAAAGAGCCACTGGAATCCCTGGGAATTCATGGTGTCCAATCGATACAAGATATAGGAGGGTTGTTTATCCTCCAGAAGTGGAAGGATACATGAATCATACTCCTGGTCCCAACTGGTCACCGACTTTCTAGATGCACCCAAGATGAGCTTTTCTATAACAGGTACAAGACTGATCAGCAAGTGTGCTTGAAAATACACACTATAAAACAACAAAACTACTTTGTACTTTGTCCACCCTTTGAACTTTATCTACCCTGCTAAATGTACTGCACTTTAATTCTAACAAAACCAATCAAGGATACAAAGCCTAACCATTTGCTAAGTTTTAATCATTAATCGTTTAAATCCCATAATTGCTGTTCAAACACCGGAACGATTCTGATCATTCTTCTCAATGAGTTGAATTGAATACATTATAGAAACACCAATATACGACTGTTGTATAGCAATGACTTTAATCATATCCATGAAAAGCCAGTATCAATCAGCTGTTTAAGAGCTTGTCAAACATCTAATGAAGTTTTTAACCACATTACTATCCATTATATTCATTGATATACAGTAGTAACATTTGGTAGTAAACTTCTTGCATTAGATTCTAAACAATGGGATTTATAGTCTAACTCAGATTGAGAGGAATGAACGCTTCTCCCACTTTACTGGTTTGAAGCAAAATTAACTTGAGTCCAACTCAGTTTCTGATGGATACATTGTCTACAGCTGATAATCAAACTTCCATAATTTACCAGTGTCATAACATTCATCACAGTGAGCATAAAATTCACCAAACATGACCCAACAAACTCACTTTTATTATCTCACGTTTGCTGCAATTAAATGCAGACTGAAGTAGACTATTTAATCTCCTGCTGGATATTTTAAAGAAATACAGTCTAGCAGATCAAATAATCAGATACAATAATTTGAGCATTTAATCGGGGTGTGGGGGGGGGAAACAAAACATGCACTGTAAGTTTTTTTTCTAAAATTCCAAAGGAACAGATTATACTAGTAAATATGATAACTCAGCTTGCATTCCTAACCAGGTTGTGAATTTTTTTTTAGTGCTAATGCAAAGCCGAGTTAACAACAATTTGCATTTGTATACCGCTCTTTGCATAGGTACCATCTCGGCGTGTTTACATCATGCTTCCACTAAGTAACAGCAACACATCCAATCTGCAAGAGCAGGCAATGAGTATATTACATGCTGCAAGTTCCAATGTCATTGTTACAAGAATATGTTCACTCAAAGGCTACACTTCCACATAACAAACACAAACAATCTCTGATGNAAAAAATGTGCAAGCCATTGTAAATCATTAAAAGTAGTTAGATTGAAACGCATTAGAATAAACAAAGTCTTAAATAGAATCGACAATGTGGAAGACTAAACCATGCTCCTGGCCAACAACAACAACAAAATTATATTTGTATAGTGCCGTTCATGTCGAGAGCACGTCCCAAGGCGCTGTACAGTCAGTGTTTAGGCTTCACCCACATACAGTTGAAATTTACAGTGTTCTCAATGCAATCTTTACCATTCACCTGAACAGGCAGAAGGGATCCTGGTTTAATGGCTCATGTAAAGGACAGTACCTCTGACAATCCTATGTTACTCAGTCCTGCATTGGAGTGTAAGACTAGACTATGAGCTCAAAGTACTGACATTAGGCTTGAACCCTCAATATTCATACAGACAAGTGAGGAATCAATTGATTGCCACACTGATAAATATTATTGAAAACGTGGGGGGCAGAATTATCCAACTGTCAGTAAATTCGCTAACCTTGTTAATTATAATGAAATTTCCTCTTATATGAACTTCCATTCACAGCAAAATCGTATTGCTTATTATTTCTGCAACTTTGAAATGCTGAAATTGAACTTCCTGGATAAAAGAAAAATCAACATACCTTTTTCAATCACAATTTTCAGAATGCAGAATTCACCATTTCTGGCTCTGGCAAAAACACTCTTTAGCTCTTCTGAAGCTGCATAAATAAAAATCATTTGTTTTAGAATGCACTGCTCCTTTTAGTATCCTGCAATTTGTACTTACATTGGTTAAATAACATACTCATCTTTATATTTATGCAAGACATTAAAAATGTATACAAATTTCAGGTTTAATATTTTTTTACAAAAAATAAGGTGATGTGTTTGTCCAGGAGTTCTGCAAAACAGAGTGAAATCAGGAATTTTGATTTATGACAGTAGCTAACTGCAAAAAAGACTGAGATGTCACCATGAAAGTTCATTTGATATCCTTAACATTACGGCCCATAGTGTCAATGAAAGGGGCTGGAAACACAGCTTCCTGACTACTTGCTACTAATTTNAAAAACAAATTAGAGTCACAATCACTTCACTGTCGACTATCTCATCACAGACTGGACTGGCCATAACAGGATAGGACATCTTTTATATAAAAAAAATTGGAATTCAAGACACATAGTTTTGTAACTTCACCTTAAAAGATTTGCCTATAATCGCTTTGGTCAAATAAACATTGATACAAAGCCATATTACAAAGAAAAACGGGGGTGAGGGGGTGAAGAGGAGGAGAAGAGACTGACTTTTAAAGAAGGGAATTAAAATCATATAACTACAACAAAAACAACAAAATTACATTTGTATAGCGCCTTTCACGTCAGGAGGCCGTCCCAAGGCGTTAGACAGACAGAGTTTCGGACCCGAGCTGGAGACTGGGGTCGGAGAGGGTGGAGGGCAGGGGGGGTAAGCAGGGAGATCAAAAGCACAGTCAAAGAGGAGGGTCTTGAGATGGGTCTTGAAGGAGGCAAGGAAGGGAGCGAGGCGGAGGGATTGCGGGATGGAGTTCTAGAGGGTGGGGGCAGAGTGGCAGAAGGCCTGGCCACCAATAGTATATAAATGTGTACTGAAATACCAGAAAAAGATCTTAGGATAACCACAAATCTTTTAAAGACAACAATATTACAAAGAAAAGTAGCAATTTATTTTACTGCTCATATGGAAAAATCTCAACTGATTAAAAAGGCCATTTAAAACAGAAAGAAACCTTATTCTTACCAAGACATGTTTTATTTTCTAAACATAATTCAATTAACCTCACTATTAGTGTTTACTTTCAGAGATCAAAAACCAATATTCACAAACACCAGTTGTTAGAAGATGTACATTAGCTTTACTATTTCTCATTGTGTCACAACAGTGAATTTTTAAAATAATTTCCATCACAAAACGGCTTTGATATACCATTTAATTGTCCATAAATGTGGGATGTGCTCACCTTATCACAAAGCATATCTGCACCCCACCTTAGGAGATTGTATTTATTATATTCTGGTAGCCCAATGCAGGAGATGAGATTCTGCATTGGTCAATTAGATTAGACATTAATCTAAGGTTTGCACGTGACCTTTTCAGCAATGCAGCAAAGCTCCTCCTCCTGCAATGGAGCACACAGGCTTGGAGCGATTGCTGTAGCTGTTACACTCACAATCAGGCAAATTATTACACACTTCCAGAACCTGCATCCGGATCCAATCGAACACCTTCAATCTCATTTGGGTCACTATGGTGAAAGCATCTGTGCTATCGTTGGTCTGACGGAGTGCTCGGCACTAGACTGCTTGCTCACACCTGTAATTCATAAGGTTAAGTGGCTTTGCAACAGGAGAGGGAAGGGTATATTGAGGGACAGGTCAGCCCAGGCCATAAACACACTTCTTTGTGGGCAGTTACAGAGCAGTGTTGGTAGAGGTTCGAAACAGACTGTATAGTCAATCAAAATAATAATGGAAATAGATACTGAAAATTCAGAGCAGCCCAATGTGTATTTCAAAAAAAAACTTTTGCAGGTGTTGATTGATTTGCTATGGATTGTCAGCATTTCTGTTATTTCACCAGAACGGTGCTTTGGTACAGATAAATTAGCAGCAAAAAAACACCCAAGTAAACAGGGGATACATTTAAAATTAAGATCTCTTGTGCAAGTTTATCTTTCTATTGTTAGTGCAACTCAGTTTAAGTCCCCTGGTTTAAATAATTTGCATTGTACAATGCACAGCACAAATTTATTTTAAAATGTATCTATGGAATTTCACTATTACCCTTTCAGAAAATGTTCCTAACATTCACAGCTGTATTTCCCCCTTTCCCCCTTCTTTTTAATAGTAAAAGGTTAAAAAAGCAGAATCCATGTTTGGCAAAACCATTATGCTAATAAAATTCCAGCTAGATGTCAGCCTGGCTCAGTTAATAGCACTCTTTGACTCAGGGTCAGAAGGTTGTGAGTTCAAGCCAAGTTTCAACTTTAAACTCACAGTCCAGGCTGACAATCCAGTACTCTGTCGGAGATGTCGTATGCAATACCTTGTCGGAGGTGTTAAACCAAGGTCCTGCCTGCCTGTTCAGGTGGGTGTTAAGGATCCCATGGCACTATTTGAAAAGAGAACAACTTCATGGCTGTTTGTGGGACATGGATATGCATAAATTGGCTGCCAAGTGCACCTATAAAATACAGTCACTATTTTAAAATTGGTTGCAAATTCACTTGAAACAATTGTTTCATGGCTGTAACATGTTAAGTAGTCCATTAGTGCAGAGAACTTTGATTGAAACCAGCACAGATTATTAACATTTAAGTTGGCAACCTATTTTGGAGAAATCCAACTGGGCAAACATATGTGTGCTCCAAAGCCTTTTCGTGCAAGGGGCTGCTCTGATCTTGCAACAGGTTTAACCACACATTGCAAATATTATGCTTTTCATACCATTAATCCAACCCCTTGAAGTGCTGCCAGCTCTTACATTTACACTATCCTATTTAAAATGCCATTCTCAAAATAGCTGGATTCTGCATGTCAGCAACAGTGGAACACAAGTAATATGATCACTTACAGCAGCACTATGAGTTTAAAAAGAACCCTTTACATCAATTACAACAGATCTCTAGGCGTCAATATTGGGATTATTGGGGGTGGGCCGTGGTGGGGATGGGGGGCTACAAGACAATTGTAGGTTTGTGCAAAGCACATTTCTGGAATCACCAGGACTAATACATAAAATTCTGAAGTTCACACTAACCAGAGTGAGTGTAATACTGGAGAAAGTAAAGCTACCTGAACTATGAAAGGAGATCATAGAAGCTGGGGATGTTTGTTTTTGGAAAGTATTGAACTAAAGAGCAATTGTATTTTGAAAATAGGAACAGTCAGATGGATATAATTGCTGGTGACACTAACGTGCGATGATCCTCTTGCTATTAATCTTCCCAAAAGTAAAGTTTGCCAAACTCTGTCAGGAAGCCGGTGTGGAAAACATGCCCATATGCAAAGACAGAAAAAAAACTAACAATAACACCCATTGTATGTGCAGTCAAATGATAGGAATAGTCATTGGTATACTTAGTACAATGCAATTTGGTAATCTCTATTTCGTCTTAATAGGATGGTTAAAATAACTCACAGATTGTAACCAAAGAACACAATTTGAAGATGTATAAAATTATTATTTCTATAAAACTTAAAATAAATATAAGTAATGATACCTTCCTAATAGTAACTGACCCACACGTTGTACAGTAAAAAGAATATAATAAATAATAATACTTGCAATCGATATAGCACCTTATCAAATCGTCAAGATATCTTAAAACACTTCATAGTATATACTGTCAAGTGGATTGACTGCCTATTTTGTGGGTGAAACACAGCAGCCAGTTGTAACAGCAATGTCCCACATACAGCCATGGAGTACGAGGCCAGATTTATTTGGGGGATTTGTTGGCCAGGACACTGGGAGAAACTTCCTTCTCTTTTTGAGTAGTGCTATGGGATCTTTAAAGTCCACCTGAACAGATAGACAGGACTTTGGTTTAACGTCTCACCTGAGGGATGGCACCTTTGACAATGAATCCCCATCCCCAGTACAGCATTGGAGTGTCAACTCAGGCGATGCAATTCCATCTCCCGACGTGTGGCTTGAACCCACTACCTTCTGCTACCATTGAGCCAGACTGACTCACAGAATATATCAATCGGCTCTGTGTTGCCCCAATTGCCTCCACAGTGAGCTAACTCAAGAATCTGTTGATTCAGTACTGGATTTACTGTGCAATCAGAAAACGCATGGTGAGTTATTGTTTAGGAATCAAAGCCAATGAAGTCTACACAACAAAAGGCAACATGAAACAAAAGATTGATTGCAAAACAAATAAATGAATAGCATTCAATGAAATGAACACATTTTCATTCATTGTTTACCCAATTTAATCGCACTGCTTAAGATTGTTTGTAATTTAGCATAAACAACTCCATGAAATGAAACAAGCCCCGATGCATTGAAAGCAATAACAAACTAAAAACTCATTATTATTTAGTGTTAGAGGCATGTGAACCTATTTCATGACACTTCATTTGATAGGATTGTCAATAAATTCAAGAAAGTATTAAAAGATTTTAATTCAGGTGGAAAAGTTGATGGTCTTCAAATTATTGATAGCTTTCCTGTGTTTCTGAATGCCAGTCACCATCATCAAAAATAATCGACTTCATAAATCTATAAAATGTTATACAAAAACTCTACAAATATATACTGGCAACACAAACTGAAGTCGCTGGGAACATTCAGCAGGTCAGGCAGCATCTAGAGAGAAAAAGAAAGGAAAGTGAGCCAACGTTTCGGGTCCACGACCCTTTGTCATTTAAGTTGGCAACCTATTCGTCAGAAGGGTCGTGGACCCGAAACGATGACTCACTTTCCTTTCTCCATAGATGCTGCCTGATCTGCTGAGTGTTCCCAGCGACCTCTGTTTTTGTTTTCAGATTTCCAGCATCTGCAGTATTTTGCATTTTGAAATATATACTGGCATTGGTTTCCTGCACGCTCTCTCAACCATGCCATAATATAAGCTTATTTTGTAAACTAAGATGACACAGGTAAGAAACTGATGATGACATACTGAAGCTCCAATGCAATGCCCAAAACAGGACAAGGCCTATGCTCCAAGTGTACAGTTACCTACTTCACCATCACCACGGTGACATGCTTCAAATGGAGCACAAATACTTTGTGACAAGAACAGAAGGGAGGCGAGGGCAAAAAAAAATCAGAGGCAAAGTCAACATAAGCAGTTTTTACACTTTGCACCAGTAATCAGTTATACACTGGCATCCGTTTCCTGCAATGCTCTCTCAACCAACAATGAAGCATAATGACCTCAAAATGTAAAGGGGACACCATAATCATGGAATAAAAAAAATTAAATAAAGATCCTGGGCACACCACTGTTGGGAGGGGGGGGAAAGGAAAAGAAATCACAAAAGCAGCATTATTGCAACTTGAAAGAAATGCATAGGAAGCACTTTTTTTATACCAGCAGTTTTGCTCTGTTGGACACAAACAAGGACTAATTAGAATGTTAACCAACCTTTCCAGGAAGCATAATAATAATAATAATCCTTGCATTTGATATAGCGCTTTTCACGTTGGGAGGACGTCCCAAAGCGCTTCACAGAACACACTGTAAAGTGAATTGACTGTATATTTGTGGGCGAACGCGGCAGCCAATTGCGCACAGCAATGTCCCACAAACAGTCGTGGATTGAAAACGACCAATTTTTTTTATTGGAGGGATTATTATTAGGCGTGTGGAGTAAGGAAACTTGCCCAAGGTTCTGCCCTGCCTGGAATTGAATTCAGGTCTCTCGCTTACAAAGCGAGTGCTCTAACCACTGAGCTACAGGACTCCAGCATAATTCTTTACTAGGCTTTTGATGATGTTCCTAACATGTTCTCACAATTACGTTCCCACATATAGCAGTTGTGTTGAAACATGTCAAAACCGCTACTTAAATGCAATGGCAGTGCATTATAATGATGTGAAATAAGTATGACATCAACTGGGTGGGTTGGATGGGTGCAGTTATCGTATCATGATGCTACATCCATCTATTTTAATTTTCTTACAGGGATGGATAATTATTGTCTAACATTATAACTGAAAACTCTAGACGTGACTAGTTCAAAATTGTATTGTAACTAGTTCTGAGTTACCACTTTATATATTTATCGCGAACAATTAAAATACAGTCCCCCTCACAAAAATAAAACTAAATGTGTTTGACTACAACTATGTTTTATTCTTCCTTTTCAAAATGCACATGTTCCCTTTTTCTTCTAATTGTAACCATGGATGCAACTATTTACACAATTGTTTCATTTTAACAGTGCTAAAACGTGGAACAGTTTCTGTATTTAAATGGTTATAATGATGTGCTTGTGGGTTCATTGGAAACACATTGCCCCTTCATATTAAAAGAAACCTAAAATAAAGTACTTTTTTTCTTAAAACGTCGAATCCACGCTCAACTTTCAGCGGAGAAACATTTGGCATCATAATAAGAATAATAATAATAAAAATTAAAAATAACTTTACCACAATAAGAGTTTTTATTTTTTGGGGGGTTTTTTATTTTTTTTATTTTTTATATTTCCTTTGAGCACTTGGCTTTCAATAGCAGGACATTTATTTTTTTTTGCTCCTAACATTTTCACATGCTGCCCTCCTAAAAAGGTTTCAGTGTTTTGCTGTGTGTAAAGCTCATCGGATGGATTTCAAAGTGCTGTTTGTAATGGCCACGGTGTGTATTTCGAGGGGAAAACGTGTGGGTTCCCTGAGCATTTGGGTGGATGCGGATACAATGAAATGTTGCGCTGTTCGCTTGTGATGTTTCAGATCTGAAGGCACCGCACAGTCCATATCATTTCCACAACCATAAAACCACAGGCGTTGTCAGAGCTATCAATCGCTTTAAGAGTGTGCAAAGCCTTTTGTGCAAAAAAAAATGCACAAAAAATATATATATAAAAAAAGAATAAAACCCAGAGCAAAACCCAGCCCTTTTGTATCTATGGGACTTTGAACCGGATTAACGCAGCTTTTACAAGAGCTCTGATGAGAAGAAATAATGCAGATACACACATACGATTATTTTATATTTAAAACAAATTACCGACTGGTTGGTGTGTGTGTGTGTGTTTCTAATCGCCTTTGGGACACACCTCACAGCTTTGGAATGGCTCTGTGTGTGTGTGTGTGTGTGTGTCAGCATTGCGGGGCTGGAAGTTGTGTAGCTGACAGCAATCTCCCTCCCTCTCTGTCTCTCTCTGTCTTCCTCTGTCTGTCTGTCTGTCTCTCCCTGTCTGTCTGTCTCCCTCTCTCCCTGTCTGTGTCTCCCTCTCTCCCTGTCTGTCTCTCTCTCCCTGTCTGTCTCTCTCTCCCTGTCTGTCTGTCTCCCTCTCTCCCTGTCTGTCTGTCTCCCTCCCTCTCTCCCTGTGTCTGTCTCCCTCTCTCCCTGTCTGTCTCCCTGTCTCTCCCTGTCTGTCTCCCTGTCTCTCCCTGTCTGTCTCCCTGTCTCTCCCTGTCTGTCTCCCTCTCTCCCTGTCTGTCTCCCTCTCTCCCTGTCTGTCTGTCTCCCTCTCTCCCTGTCTGTCTGTCTCCCTCTCTCCCTGTCTGTCTGTCTCCCTCTCTCCCTGTCTGTCTGTCTCCCTCTCTCCCTGTGTCTGTCTCCTTCTCTCCCTCCCTCCGTCTGTCTCCCTCTCTCCCTCTCTGTCTGTGTCTCTCCCTGTGTCTGTCTCCCTCTCTGTCCCTCTCTCCCTCTCTCCCTGTCTGTCTCTCTCCCTGTGTCTGTCTCCCTCTCTCCCTGTCTGTCTGTCTGTCTCTCCCTCCCTGTCTGTCTGTGTCTGTCTGTCTGTCTGTGTGTGTCCCTCTCTGTGCGCGTTGCTGCCCCACAGCAGTCGCAGTACCTGGAATGCCGGTCTGGTGGGACATGGCCCTGTGTATCGCCGGTGTCAGTGGCCGCGGCTCCTGCGCTCTTCCCGTCTTATCCTCTCCGGCTCCAAGGTCTGGGCGTCTCTGTGGCCCGACTCCCTCTCCCCCTCTCTCTCTCTCTCTCTCCCACTGGGACTCACTCGCTCCCGACAAACGTAAAGCTGCACCTGGTAACTCCCCCCTCCCCCCGCACAGCCCCGCGTCACCTGACACTGCAGGAGGTGCGCTGTGGGCATTAGTGTGATCTGCTGTTTGGGTCAATCTCACTGACCCAACCGTCCCCATCGCATTGGCAGATCCCGGGAGACCTTCCGAGGCAGTCGGTCACTTGAGATGCAGTACCGTAATAATCATCATCATCATCATCATCATAATCCTTTGCATTTGATATGGCAGTTCACGTCCTTGAGACGTCTCAAACCCCTTCAGCAGAACAGACCGTAACACGAATTGACGGTGTTATTTTGCGGGCAAAGCGCAGGCGGCCAATTGCGCAAACAGTCATGGATTGAGTGGCCAAATTCTTTTTTTGGAAAGGAGTTATTACGCCCGGAAAAGCAATCTGTTAATCAACTAACAACAGGGTTCCTCCTTACTGCTAAGTAAACCGAGGCGTGTGAGTGAGGAAACTTGCCTAAGGTTTCACTCTGCCCGGGAATCGAGCCCAGATCCTCTCGTCTTGTAAGGTGGGTGCTCCAACTAATATGCCGCAGGACTCCACCTGGAGGGGCAGTGGAATTGAATTGATTTCCTTGCGGCGTGTGGACTCGATTGGACCGTATGGCCCTCCTTCTGCATTGTAGGTTTCTATATTTCTATGGGCAGGACAACAGAATGAATGATTCGTTGAACTATGTAGAGATTGCAATTTATACTCCAGACCAACTTCAGAAGTATTCATAATTGTTAGAACAATTATTCCACACATTATTAAAATAGTCATTCATATATTATACGGTGGATTTTATTTTACTTTCTAAGATAATTCCAGGAATATTGCAGGGTTTGCTGTCCTTTTAGTATGCGCCAGAATTTGGATATATCACAAACTGGATATTTTTGAGTCCAATTTTACTCAACTTGAAGCCACTTTTGTAACAAACTGAAGGGAAATTGAATTCTGAGCATTTCTAGGGTTGATCTGCTACATCTCAATATATACTTGCAGGCTATTGTTACATTACTGCCAATAAAGGTGTTGGCACAAAAACACTGGTGTAAATCTGATCTTGCTGTTTAATATGAGGAAGTTACTGCTCAAGTTTAATTAAAATGAAATGTCAAACATACTTGGGTTGCTCGTTTTCAAAGGGTATCTAGGCTGCCATAAGAGGGAGCCCCTTAAAAGGTTGGGTTAGCTTTGAATTAGAAATCTTCCATTATGTGATTCTCCGCAATGCTACTCCATAACTTGCTGTACTCAAACTGTAACTAAAAATGTTACTTACAGAGATACAATAGAAAATTGTATGCATTGTATATTGAAACTTAAAATTATTTTCACTGCTCGAGAGTTTAAAAATCAGATGAAGTCTTTTAAGTATTAAATTGAAGGGGTAAGTTAGCATATACAGTCAATACCACAGCACAAATCCCCTGCTTCCGGCACAAGAGGGGAATTTGAGAAACTAAACTAAACTAAAAGCAGTAAAATGTGATGCTTATGCATTGTCTGTATTGTTTTTAAAGATAGGTGGATGAACACAAGTGCTTGGTAAGGCAATGCAAAAGGTTCATCAGCAAGATTTTTCCCCCTAGAACAGGTAGATAGTCGTGTAGATTCTTCTGTGTATGCTTTAATAGCAGCTTCCAATCTGCATAATCAGCTTGGAGGTTAATGCCATCACTTGTGACAATCAAATGAAATATCCTTAACAGATGGTAAGCAGATTTACTTTCTTGAGTACTTCATTGTCACACGGACAGCTTGCAGGGTTTTTTTTTGCCTACTGCTAAACATGAACATGTGGGAAACAAACAGCAACTTGTAAGAATATGCAATACTTCTAGAACATTTAACAATAATATTAAAAGGGTTTGCATACATAGGGAACATTTGAAACAATGCAACATTCTGCTTTTAAATATTTTGGCTAGATTGTTTTTGCTTGCCCCAACTTTGGTCTCCAGTGAAACGCAGCTCTTGGTTTCAATGTATGCATCAAAAATCATGCTTTTCACAAACTACGTTGCATTGCCCTCTACCTGCTTAGTTGCCAATTTTCAGGATTCCTAGGATTTCTAAAAACTACTTGTGACAATTTAAAAAAAAAGATTTATCCATTGTTTTCTTCTCTGAAATTCTGTTCACAGCAAAGTGTGAGCAGTACTAATTTGATCATAAAATATAGCCAAATGCTGTATTCAAATCAATATCAAAGGCAAGCCTTGTCACAAATTGACCGAGTCACAAATTGAATGACGGTCCTGCTTCAATGAACCAATTCATATTGACAATGTGAATGACTCGTTTAGAAAGAGGGGTTCATTGTCAGAAAAGCACCTATATAGACGCACACCTCAAGGCAAGAGTGGGAGACAGAAATTTCAGACTAGGAAAAGCATCCTGTGACAAAGAAAATCTGTGACCGTCCCATTGTTATATTAAAAACAAAGTTATAATCACAGAGCAGTGAGTTTCTACACACTTCAAGTTTCCTTGATCCATGGGAGGTAATCACATTTCAATGCTGAAAACACCAAACACTGTACTTTGGAACCGAAATGCAATGAATAACTTTAACTTTCTTTCCATCAAAATGTCTTCAGTGTTGCTTTTTACTCCAAAGAGTACTACTATACATCAATATTTTCAATAAAACCAGTATCATGGTACTTCAGATCTGCTCAACTCAGTTCACAAGTTTGGTCAGGATAAAGGTCCCTCAGCCCATGCAACCCCTTAAACTTGAGGTTGAGGTTAAAAACTGAGGTTAAGGATCGCTTTAACATTCCTGTAGGAATTCAAATTAAACAGATTAAAAATAATGTGAAAACAAGAGGGTGTTTCTCTAAACATTACAGGCTAAAAAACACACAAGAAAACATTACACATTTTCATCTGATCTTATCACAACAACATGATACAGACAAGTTTTCTCAAAGTCCCTTTTCTATTTCAAACAAATTACGCTTCTTCCGAGGCTCTATCATATGTGCTGTTTTTAATATCCTCGATTTAGCAAAAAAAGAATACTATTAACACTGAAGAAGTTTTTTTTTAAAAAACGCTTTTGTAAACTCTCATAACTGTTAGGGAGCTGATGAAATAAAAATAAAATCACTTTCTTTATTATGTAAGCCTGGACAGGTACAAAACACAACAGCAAAAGTGAAACCACGAATTACACTTGTGAATTACATAGGAATTCGTACCAGTGCAGTAACTTATAAAATACACTCCTGTCAGTGTGTAGACCTGCCACTTACACGATCACTCATTTGTGGAGTCATTTCAAAACGATACTTTTTCCTCGTTTGGACTCCATTTTTTATTCCCTCTTCCCCATTCCTGAAGGCACTGTCTTTTTGCACGGTGCAGCTCAATGAATAATCTCTAGCGTTATTTTTCATATGCAAGTGTATGTAAGCTATTCGACCCCAGGGGCCAACATTCATACACTTCCAGTTTACAGCATGGGTTATTAGGTAACAAGCAGGAACAAGAAAGCTGGCTAATGTTTCACCCCCTTAGCCAAAAGACATCCGAGTCCTCCCATTGTTAGCACCCCACCTATTGACCAACTGAGGTCAGCTAACTCAACACAGACAAGGATTCAAACTTGCAATTTTGTGTTCTTATGGCTCAGTAAATCTACCCATTAAACCACAGAAGAAAATTATAAAATCCATATTTAGTGCAATCACATTAAAAAAAAGTGTTTGAACCATTCGAAGGGGAAAACAAAAGCACAACTCTTGATTGTTAACTTGTGTACGCATTGAAGTCGCACTTTTTAATATATCAAAAAATACAAAAGTACTTTACATAAAATTATGTTACTACATTTAACATTCAGACAGAAATGAACAATAATTATTATTTATCAAATAATAATTATTTTAAAAAGTATTCACAGCGGATAGTTCTTCAGTTTTTGGAATAAATTTTTGATGGTCCAATCAGAAGCTTTCACAGTAGTGTAGCAACTTAGTAGTTGTAAGGTACAAAGAAAAAAGACGGAGAATAAAGAGAAATTAAATAATAGTGAGGACAAGGAAGGACCAGCAATTTTTTTTTAAAAAAGCCTTTATTTATATTTTATGGTTCTTATAATATTAGGTAAACAAGTTATTCCTGATGTTTAATTAACTCCATTATTTTAATATTCATATGTTCTCAGTATCAATTCATGAGTTTAAAACATACAGAACACAAGTCAGCTCATAGAGCTAGGAGTCTCTGTAAACCTGCTAAAATCCATAGACCTTGCCTAGCAATATCTTTCAGATCTCTCCTCTTAGCTTTATAGAGAAAAAGGTATGACTCCTCTCAAATAATATTTGTGATCAGTTCAAAATATTTATTTTTGCCTAGAAAATGTAAATATTTTGACAGGCCTCATAGGATAATGCATTCAATATTTTAAAGATTAGGCAAATCATTTTCAGTTTTTATTTACAAAAAATAGGAAATATGGCACATGAAATTTGGCAATATAGAATATATAAATTTCAAATTACAAATAGCAAAATTTGTTTCTGTGGCTTGAAATCAATAGCAATTCTTTTCACATGATGAGAGATAACAGTTTCTCAAGTACTTGGAGAGAATGCTCATTAGCAGCACATTTTAAAAAATTATAAACACTGTCGCCTGTTACCAAGAAATATCTATCACGGCCTTTGTACCAACTTGGTCTTTCCGTCTTCTTGTTCCTGAAGTTTAAAATGGGTGTAAGTTAAAATTCCAAGCAATGTACACAGAATTCCTAGGCCTTGATTAATTGAAAGGGGATCTTTAAACAAAAAATACCCTCCGAGTAAAGTAATACAGAACTTGAAATGTCCGAACATATTGTACCTGGAATATCTGTCAAGGAAGAAAATAGTGATCTGGAGCAGAGTCTTATAATAATAATAAATAACAAAAATCCTTGTATTTGATTCACTCACTGGTAATCATTGTCAAGTGTAGTGATTATATTCGTAGACAACCCCAGCAGCCAATTGACCCACAGCATTGACCCGCATACAGCCACAGAGGGAATGATTAATTTATCTGGAGGATTGTTGGGCAGAAAACTTTTATAATCTCTCCTTGAATATTACCATGGGATTTTTAACATAAGGAAAATGGGGCCTTGGTTTAATGTATTATCTAGAGACCGACAACTTCCGACAGTGTAGCACTCCCCAGTACTGCACTGTGATATCAGCCTAGCCTAGGAGTTAGGAAGATAGGAACAGGAGTAGGCCATTCAGCCCCTTGAGCCCGTTCCACCATTCTAGAAAATCATGGTTGATCTGTACCTAAATTCCAGTTAACCGCCCCTGCTCTATATCCCTTGATGCCCTTAACCCCAAGTCTTGGCTCTTGTCAACTTATATCTAATACTCTCTAGAATTGGGTAAGCAGGGTGCATCATTCCACACACAAACAAACTTCCACATGTTGGTGGCATACATATGTGAAAATCTCAATCTGGTTTGGATATTCTTAAGTATAGTGATGGGTATTCATACGGGTCAGACATTTGACTGACCAAGGAAAAGGGAGGAATGGAAAAATTAGATAACCAATTGGTATTAGGAAACGTTGGTAAAAGTCTCGAGTACAAATCATTGGAATGTCCTCTAGGTGGCAGTTAGTGCATTTTCCAAACAGAATCAGAAGTGAAATGAAAGGGAAATAGGNAAAAAAAACTCACAAAAATTTACACACACACGCACACAGAGATTAGGTGATTAAGGCAAAGCAAATCGATATCTTGTAGTTTATATTCAACCACCCCCAAAATGCTTCCCTGATACTTCATTTCTTAAGACTAAAATGCAGCAACATATTACTAAACGTAAAAGGATACGTAACAGGCGATGTATTTCCAATAATCCAGTAAATTGATAAATTCACCAGAAAGGCAATTATTCCAGAAAACAGCACCATACCCTTTCAAAGACAAAAGTGCATTCAGGACTTTAACAAAGCATTTGAGATTAAATTAATTTTAATAAGTTATTACATCAGTTCATAATTGGAAATTGTAAACAACCCCAACAATATTAACTGGAATTATCTTTTCAGTTTAATTTATTCTTCATTATTAAAATAATTGAAGCAATGTGATTTTGTCTGCAAAATCAAAAGGAGGGCCACAGCTGGAGCCAAGAACAGATCAGTTTTGACTCCAACCTTTGAAATCACTTTGGAACAAATCACATTTACTGTTTAGCTTCAAATATATTTCCCTACAGACATATGACCTATCCTTTCACTGCAGCTGAAACTGTATGTTTGATATGTTGTTTGCAAAATCACAGTTCTTTCTCTCAACTTTCACTTTCATTTGAAAATGTACATAAACAAAGGCAAGTACCCAGGGCACTACTAATGACAGACCAGCCAACCTGGCGCATCGGTAGGCTTAGAGGGGCAGACTGGATATCAGGGATTCTTCCCACTTAGCTAGTGTTAACCCTGGGAAAAAAGTGAATAATTTTTCAGGGATTGAAGTGCTTTTTACAATACAATACCGAATTATATTTGTAAACCGCCCTTCACGTCGGGAGGACATCCCACAGTGTTGAACACAGGGATTAGACCCCGAGCAGAGGGATGGGGGTTGGGGGGAGGGGTTGTGTCAGGGGTTGTGTCAGGGAGGGGGAAGGGCAGAGTTGAGGGTTGAACAAGACGCCTAGGTTCCTGACTGGCTTGGTGGAGTATGCATCCTTGGATGCTGATGCTGTCAGTGCCTGAGGTGCGGAGGCGCTGTCATGAGCCAATCAGGAGAGCCACATGCTCTCTTGCTGATGTTCAACTGTAGAAAGTTGGCTCTCAGGACTTGATGTTTGACAGACAGTCTGTCAGGACATCAGTATTCCTGGGGTCAAGGGTGGAGGCAGAGAGATAGAGTTGGGTTTCATCCACGTGCATGTCGAAGTTGACCCCATGTCTGCGGATGATGTCACCAAGAGGGAGCATGTGCAGGTTGAAGAGGAGAGGACCGAGCCCTGAGGAACATTGCACGAGACGGCGTGGGGGCTGGAGAAGAAGCCATTTGTGGGGACAAAGTGGAGCTGGTGTGAGAGATAGGATCTGAACCATTCAAGGTGAGAGGATAGGCGGTGGATGAGGATAGAGTGGTCCACCGTGTCAAACAGGTCGAGGAGGATGAGGAAACAGAGGAAGCCCTGGTGACAGATGGACAGAATGTCATTTGTCACCTTGACTAGGGTTGTTTCTGTGCTATGGGTAGCACGGAAACCTGATTGGAGGGATTCGTAAAAGTGGCAGGAGAAGAAGGAGTGAAGCTGGGAAGCAACAACTCTTTTAGTGACCTTGGAAAGGAATGGTAGGTTGGAAATGGGATAGTAGTTAGTGAGCAGGGATGGGTCCAGGGAAAGTTTTTTTAGGACAGAGGTGATGACAGCTGTTCTTAGGTGGGTGGGAACGGTGCCAGATGACAGGGAGAGGTTGATGAGGTCTGAGAGTAAAGGGGCGAGGAGGTGGAGCTGGCAGGTAAGGAGAGGGGTAGGGTTGGGGTCGAGGGAGCACATGGTGGGCTTCATGCAGGTTATAGTGGTGGTGAGAGAGGAGGGGAGACAAGTTTGAAGTTGTGGAGGGAGGGATGGGTAGGAGCCATCCCTACAGGTGGAGGGAGAGATGGAGAAACTGTTTTTTTTCAAAGAGTTCAAAAGTTGGAAACACCTTACCAAAGCTGTTAAAGACCAGTTTCCTATTATTCCTCCATCTCCAACTACAGGCTCAAAGAAAGGCACAATGACCATGAGAATGCCAGAGGACATTGGGGCCTGGTAGTACAGGAGCTGCATAGAATTCACCTGCAGTTCATGTTGTTTAGCTCCTACCCACTGCAATTGAGAAAATGAGTGTTAAATTAGGATTATTAACTTACTGTTCATCTATTAACCAATATTTACCATTTTTACATTGAGAGGATGTTTATTACACCAAAATATCTACATTATAGAAACACAACATAATCTAAAATAAATGTTATTACAAAGTACCATATATATTTGGCAATTAAGATCGCTCCATTGAACCTCTTCCCATCTTCCTCCTAGCATTTCAATAAATGAAAATACAATTTTTATGGCAATTTAATATGCAAGAACACATGTGCTAAAATCTATACTTCAATTTTAATAGATTATGTATAATAATGTAATCATGTTAATATCATCTAATGACGAGCAAGTGTTTAGGTATTAAAGGGTATGGTGAAAGAGCAGGGGATGGGGATTAAAAGATCTGCTAAAACAGGCACCGTGGGCTGTGATCCTATGTTATGCTGGTTAACACACTTGTTTCACCCTTAGACTTCAGTCTGAATTTAAACTGGTATAATGAAAGTCCTATTTACCTACTAAACTGTGTGTGGTAAACTTTAAACTCAGTTGAGTTGGCAGAAGTGCAAAGCACCAGAACTGTTTAAGGCGCCAGCACAAATTGGGCAATCCCGCTCTGAGAGGCCACATGAACAGCTGGTGAAATGGAAATACACCTCAGTGCAGAGGAGTTCTCTTCTGAGCAAACATTGTGCAGAAAAGGAATTCAGACAGCTCTATCCCCTTCTCAGTATCTGAAACCAGTTGATGCTTTACTCCCTTCAATATATCTGAGTGACCACATCACCAAAGGGGCTTATTTCCACAAAAATATATTTTTAAAAAATTGGATCTTGTTACTAACACTGGTGTTCCTTACGGTTTGGCTTACAGAGTCTCAATCCATCAATCTACTCTTTGTGCATCTCGCTTTCAGCAGTTCAGCTACAAGATCTAAATCATTCATTTGGCATTCATACATACATGCAACTTTGTGTGTGCATTCTACACACTACGTGCACAATTGTCAATAATCTCTCTCTTTCATTCCCTTTCTCATTTGATTGATTTGGTTCCTGATCACTAGGATTTATGTAACTGTGTCAAATAAATGAATAGACAACTCCTCTCAGCAAATTACTATGCTGTGCACAACACCAAGCTAAGATGCATAGCACCACATTTGTCTCAGCTTAAATTCTGTCATTCACTCAACATTTTGCATTATTTGTATTCTTTGAGGATTGCAGAACATACTTCTAGTCAATAAACAGTTTTCTATTTTGCATTAATCAACTTTCCCTCACCCAAGAGTTTGTGTAAAACAATGTCAGCAATAATACTGAGTTTTTCTTCTGTCCATCTGAAAAGACATCAAGTCCATCAAAATAACTCTGATTTTACCAGTACGGTACTAATCACTGTCTTGCAAAGGCATCAGAAGAAAAAAAGTGAATGAGTGAATAAACTACTAACCACTTGATATAGGGAAGTGACCAAAACACCAAGTGTTGCAAACAATATTCCTAGAAAATTAAACTTCACATCATAGTAGGAGTTCAGAACTACACCCAACGTGATGGGTATCTGTAAAAAATAAATGAGACATGATTAAATGAAAGTCAGTTTTACTACACATGCTCCTTATAGCTGCTACAGACTATTGTAGTTTTAGACAACAATTAACCACCATTTAATCAACAATACATTGTATTATAACAAAGAAACCACATTGCCTTTTCCTCCCTCCTATGTGTTTCAAAAGTGGGACCAGTTAGACTCTCAGTACTGTTACCACAATTAGCTTTCCCTAGTTTTATCATACTTTATTCCTTCCCTATTCTCATTGTCCTATTTCTCCGGTAGCAAAGCATCATTCCAATTTCCTGCACCACCGGTGTGAGCTTTAATTCTGATATGCCATCCATTTTTACAACAATGAAAAACATACTTGGGGGAATTTGACCTCTCCCAACCATTGTTTTCTTTGCTTGTGCGAATTTTCACATCAGCTGTGCCTATGGGACAGGGGTTCAGTATCTTTCCATCACTGAGGTGTACATTTACATGCTTTAAATAGAAAGGGACAGTTGTTTATCCAGTTTATACGTTTTTTTGTAATTAATAAATCTCTGAAGCAAAATGTCTCAAGAACTTCACAGGCAATTTTTGCAAACTGTATATTTGTAAATAAAGGTGGCACCAAATTGAAACATATTCAAATAATTTGCATAATAATTATTTGGAAGATTGTTGTCAAGAGCATTGAAATAAACCTTCTTATTTTGAATAGAATCTTGGAATTTTTGACATCCACCTGAATCACAGACAGGACCTTGGAAAAAAATCAGTCCAGAAAACTCATTTTACTGGGCACAGGTATTTCTTATTTCCAGATATTTCAGACAATGAACTCAATGCCCATGATAAAGGTATTCTTTTTCTTTATGGGTTGTTGTTGTTGTTGTTCTGGGGTTTTTGGAAGAGGATAATGCAGTTTTGAACATTGCATATTTTAGGGACGATTAGGAAGTCACCTGCAAGTCCCTGAATGGTAGTCCAGTCAACTGATACTTCTTCGGAAGTCCCATACAATCATTTGTATGAGGTGGTTGGACTGTTCCAGAGCAAGGAAATTGCTGCCACCTCATCACTTTGGAGAGAGTACTACAAATGTCCCTGGAACATTCTGCTACACATTTTACATTAATGCCACAATCTCCGTGAGCACTGTGCTGGCTGGAACTTCCATTTTGAAACAAAATATTGCATAAGCTGCTCTAGTGGGATTTTTTTTCAAAAGCTCTTTCAGTATCACAGTATTCTAATCACCCATCCACTTTTTTTTAATTACACTGTGATTTCAACTTGCTACTGAAGTTAAAGTAATTGAAATAATTCATCCCATCTCTTAGCTATTTGTTATTGCTGAATCTACAATATTTGCAGCAAAAGATAGACTGCAAGAATATATTTTTAAGAGTGCGCGTATAGCACAGTAGTCTCTATTCATTCAGTGTTATTTACCTTCTTGTCTTAAAAGTACTAGTCATAAAAAAAATCTATGCGTGTATTCACTTTCAAACAAATATACCTTATTCATGAAAAAAAGCCAAAATGTATCTTGGAAAAAGCTGTACTGTACAGAACAGATCTACATATTCAAGGCCTTAGAATTTCTCCTGGGTTTGTCCTTTTCTCTGCTGAAAGCAGCAGTACAATTCTTCACAGTCCAAACCTCCAAAATAATCACTTCCTTTGTCCAGATCAGTCATAATTCAAAAGCATTTTCTAATGACAATAAATGCATATTTCAATTCAACCTTTATATTAGTGCACTATATAACAGCTGTAAAATAGAAGATGTTGAATAGTTATTAAAAATCGTCTCAAACACAAATACACAAGTCTTTCAATACTAAATAATGAAATTAATAAACATAATTAATAAATTAATTAAAAACTCTATTGCAATGAAAAATTCACCAATGACCTTCAACTATATTGCATTTCCAAATGATAATTATTATATCCCAAAGACTAACACTTAATGATTCTATGATTTATAAATCTCTCCACAAGATTAAATCCCTTCAATAATCACAGTACTGTGCCCATTAAAATGGTCCAGACATTTATTCTATTTACATTTACACCAGCTAATCCATTCAGCAAAAAAGTCAAGAGTACTGTTGTACAATTTGGGGATGGGGAAGGAAGAGTCACATGGAAAGTTCAAAAGGCATATAACAAAGTGAAATGCTATTCATTGAAAGAACTGGTGAGATCAAGAAATCCTACTGATTTCAGCGGCTCTTAAGGTGGTGCTTCAGGAGTAATTGCAGGTATATTGTATTGTTTGATCAGTGTAAATCAGGAGAGTCGCTCTGCACGGCTTGAGAGGGCCTTGAGTTATCAATTGGAATATACAAGGGGCCTGTCTAAAATGTTGACTCTTATCGGCTCCTGGAGCCTAGCCTCACACTGGGTGTCCATGGGTGTTGGTTCACCTCTGGAGCTCTGCCCAAATGGCCACATCTAATATGTGAGCCTTGGCATCGTCAGGCCACTCGACTGAAGAGGCCATCACAGCTCTACCGCACTGCCACATCATGTAATACCATTGGAAGACGCTGTAAAGAGACGAGGAACAGGAGCCCTGCTTTTACTCTCCCCAACCCTGGGAAGACCAGGGCCAATTTAGCCTCCTCTCGAAGCCCTGACTGAGTTTAGCCAACTCAAATTTGAACCAGTGAACTAATGGTCCGTCAGCTGCGTCTCTATCATGTACACCATTGGGGGCATATATACCATATATATTTTGAAAACTATTTTTATATTTTTGGGATCAGCTGGAGTTTATCCTCCACAAACTCTAGAATTCTGCAGCCTGCATCATCTTACTAAATAAGCTTCACGATCCCATGAATCCAACCTCACTCGGCTCCCTATACCCCAGCAGATCGAGTGGAAAATGCTTGTCTTTATATTCAAATGCCTCCACAACCTTCTTCTGCCGTATCTTTGCGACCTACTACAACCCTACTCCTTCAACCACTTCTTCTGTTCTGCCAAATGTGGACTGCATCATACCCCTTGCCCATTCCACCCCACTGGTAATTTACCAATAAATTTTCAGTCACTTTTCTCCCTACTCTCCAGCAATTGGCTGCCAATTTTCACCCATAAAATATACAGTCAACTCACTTTACAGTATATTCTGCGAAGCGCTTTGAATGTCTCGAATATCTGATAAGGCGCTGTATCAAAAGCAAGGATTATTATTTTATTATAAATCTCTGCCGATCCCTCAGCCTTTCAAAAATCTATCCAAAAACCAATTGCTTTGACTGCACCTTCAGGCAGTCCTCCTATCTATTCCCCTATCCATCCGCCTCCTTCGTTAAAGGAAAAGCTTTGAGACGTTCTGCTGCGTAGGCGCGAATCGTTAAGTGTTAAGGTGTCTGGCAGGCGTTACGACGGGATAGGGCGCTCCAGCAAACGCAAACATTACCAACGTCAACTTGATCTTGGTGGAGAAAGTCTTCTTGTAGTAGACACTCTGGATGACTATGATGACGGGGGTCGTCATGACCTTGGCCAGCTGGTAGGTGCCAATGGTGTTGTTCTGAAGGGACAGGTTGGTGAAAACCACAAAGCCGCAGAAGCTGAGAGCCAGCAGCAGGACCTTGGTGGGTCTGAGGCTCTTGGGGCAGAAGATGTCCAGCAGTTGGCAGGCGTACAGCCCCACCCAGGTCACCACGAAGTGCACCAGAGTCAGGGTCATGTTGGGGAAGCCGTGATGGACGTAGATCCACTTGTTGACGAAGACGATGCAGATGGACGAGAGGAGGTTGACCAGGAGCCCGGCCACCAGCCGCCGGCTGGCGCTCAGGTCGGGAGCCGCCATGACTTGCGACTCCAGGGGCTGCGGAGGGAGGGAGAGAGGGAGGGGGGGAGGGAGAGCGGGAGGGACTCCCAGGGTTCCGGTTGGCGCCGACTCTGCTTACGACTGTGGAGGCGCTCGGGCCTCGATCCGCGTTCAGGCCCCCGGGGGTTCAGCGACTCCCCCCCCCCCCCACACACACACACACACACAGAGTCCCAGCCCGCCCGAGCGCCGAGCCTTTTCCGAGGTCTCCCGAGCCCAGCCGAGCTTACCCGAGTCCTCCCGGAGCCCAGCCGAGCCTGCCCGAGTCCTCCCGGAGCCCAGCCGAGCTTACCCGAGTCCTCCCGGAGCCCAGCCGAGCCTGCCCGAGTCCTCCCGGAGCCCAGCCGAGCTTACCCGAGTCCTCCCCGAGCCCAGCCGAGTCCTCCCGAAGCGGCACGTGACCTGCACTCGACTGTGCCCTCCCTCCTCAGGATCAAAGCTCCTGCTGCTCAATTCATCCAAATCAGGGAATGTGTGGGTTGGGCTGCGTGGAATTCCTCAGTGTGGTTTGGATACTCTTATTAAACACGGCGATGGGGTTTCCGCAACGGTGTCAGGGACGCCCGCCCGCCCGCCCGGCTGACCGAAACAAAAATCAAACGGAGCAATGAGCGCTGACTGACAACTCCTCGCAAAAGTCCTCCGGTCGCCCATTTATCGGTCAGGCAAATAATTTCAAAAACCGGCCTTGGGAAGGTTGGGGTTCGTGACTTGTGAGGTTTGCTTCCCCGACACCTAAAATGTAATGAGAACAAGTATTTACGTAGACCCCTTCACACGGGATAAAGTCTCAAAGCACTTTACACGGAGAAGGATAAAGTCGTAGAAAGTACTTTACAGGGAGAAGGGAGTGACCAGTGTCACGGTCGAAAATGCAGGGTTTAAAATGAGATTTAAAGAGGAAGTGCGGTGGAAGCATAAAGGCAGGGAGTTGCTCTCATGGAAGCGGAGATACTGGAACACAGAACACAGAGCTCACTTGGGAACTTGGGCACGAGGCTCTCTATTGGAGATGCGATCCAGTCACTTGACTTGCTCAGGCGGTCATGGAGGCATGGTTCAGATCCACATTGTCCTTTGACAATTTGGGGCCCGGGAAAGTTTGGGGAGGGGGATGGAGGCTGTTGGGGCTTGTCAGCGGGGTCAACCCTCGTTCCCTAAGTGGAGGGAGACAGAGAGTTTCAATGTTAAGAGATTTGTTAGTAGGTGCGGACCTTAAAGTCGATCTGTTGTGAGACTGAGGCCAAGGATCAGGGTGATAGGGGCGCAGAGTTTGATGCAAGCGAGATGGCAGGCAGCACAGTTTGGGATTAGCTGGATTTTATGAATGGTGGAACTTTATTCTCAAGCTGATATGCACTTAATTGCAACGCAACTCTGCAGCCCTGGGACACCGGCTTGTAGTCGAGAGCTTGTAATAGTCAACATTTGTAATTTGGTTTCAGTACTCTTAGGTGTATTGTGTAACTGCCTTTCTTGATGTAGTAGTTTTAGAAATTGTACTTGAGGGCACAAAATTGCACTCAACTCCTAGTGCAATATGCAGTGGCTTACAGCATGTACAATTTGGTTTCAGAAGCACCAAGTGCAATGTAATTCTCATTTGGAAAAAGTCAATTCAAGTAATCCTGTTTAGAAGCTAAATGTTTCTCAAGGGCAGGAAATTAATGTTTCTGCTGCTCCAGGATTGTAAATTAACCTGCCTTTCAGGTTGGTACTTTTATTTTCCACAATGAATGTTATCTGTCTTAAAATAAATTAATGATCATGACTAGGTTTATCCTTGCCTTCAAAGGCCTCCACAGCCTTGCTCCTTCCACTCATGCTCCACATCCCTGCCTGGCCCACCCCACCATTGACGGTCAGGCCTTCAGCCTCTCTGCCCCCACCCTTTGGAACTCCATCCCAGGCCCTTCGCCTTGATCCCTCCCTTCCTTCAAGGCACATCTCAAGACCCACCTCTTCGACCATGCCTTCGGCCACCCTCCTAACCCTACCCTCCCTGCTCTCTACCCCTCCTGATCTCAACCCTTTGTTTGGATCCAAATCCCTGACTGGCCCGTGCCTTAAATGTCCTCCCAACACGAGACCCAACCTCGTTATGATACATCAATTAAAAACTTTTATTATTATTATAAAAGTAAACAGTATAAACGGCTGATTGTGTACCTACTAATGTAGTTGTCAATGGTCTCCTACTAGGTTGCTTGCCATCTTGTGTTTTTATGGGAATGAAATGCAATTGGTGAAATGTATCTATGTATTTTAAATAACAGATTTGATTTTAATCTTTTAACTTTATTTGCCGGTAATATATACCCTTTCAAAGAATTGCAAAATGGATGTAACATTGAATAAGGCTGAAGAAGTATTTTGTACAAAAATAGCTTATATTACAGCATTCAATAAAACTGTAAATCCAACCATTGAAATTTTCATGTTCTACCTCCATTGTAAATTGGGATGGGGAGGTGGGGGAGAGAATACAATATGACAAATCTGCAAAGAAATCCGCAAATTGTTCAATATTTTTACAAATCATGGATTTCAGACTACTTGGGTTGTATATCATATCCCAGAGGATCAAGGTTCTGATCCAGCAGCATCAGCGATGATTCTCTCAGCTTCTGCAAAAACTTCCTCATTTCCTCTTTAGAAAATACCTATCGCACACAAGAGAGGACATTCCTTAAAATTCAGGCAAAGGTACAACAACAACCTGCATTTATATAGGGTCCCTCATGTGGGGCAGCATCTCAGAGTGCTTGGCCAAAAGTAGGCCACATTTAATTACAAATTTTTAGCATTGACCAAAAATCAGCTAAATCAGTCAACCAAATCATATTAAAGCAGTAAAATCTCATTAAGCAATGAAGTATTAATTTTTTTTGAATTGTTCAACCGTATAAAATACCACTACCATTGTCCCCTTTTTGTATTTGAGTTTAACTTTTGCTATTTTTTAACCCACTCTTTAGGTTTCCCTGGTAAACAGATAACCTGCAAAATTTACCCTGCTAGTGCTTCACAAGAGCAACCAAAGATGAGTCCATATCAATTTTCCCTCTTTCTTCACCCTGTTCAGAGGTTTGTGGGCTGTCTTTGCTACATGTCCAGGCGAGAATCAGGAGCTCTACTTTAAAGGTAAATCATCTTTCTACAATACTCTTGTTTATCCAATTCTGCTTCTTAATGTAAAAGCATTTTGTTGTAGGAAGGCTTAACTACCAGTGTTATGCAGACCAAGATGGTACACAAAAGCTTTGCTGCAATAAATGGAACCTCTTTCGTTCCTGGGTGATAATTTTGTTGTTGTTGTTGATAAGCTGTGATGAACTTCCATAATGAAAGCATAGCATTTCTTATACAACAGCAAACTCAATGACCTTTATTACTGCAAACTTTCTTCATCTGAAATTCAATGTTGAAAAAGGTCTGGGATGCAACTAAACCAAAAGAAATCTGTCTGTTCCTTAGCATATTAAAATAATTTCCAATTTACTAATCGCTTTCTCTAAAGCTTCTAAATAAAATTATGACCATCATTCACAACATTTAAATATGTAGCAAAGCTGTGTGGCCTACTTACTTGATAAAGCTTCTGTTGTTCTGATGAAATGACATCAGCCAGCTTTAAGCACTCCTGGTATTGTTTAGTGCTGTGCAGGACAGTGTGAAGCAGGAAGCCCATCATTGGCAGGCAGAGCTGACGGAGCAAATCCATCTGGTGAGAGCGCTCAGCATCTTCTTCAGCATCCTGCCCAAAGCAAACATTTTGTTAACTTTAGAAAAGTCAATATGGGTGGTTGAAATATTATCTAGTAAACACTTCATTTGGAATACAAAGTGAAATTTAGGTATTCCTTATTTTTCCCAAACTACAGTATAACTATACATAGCGTTCAATTGGAAAGAGTCAAGTTTTAAATTGTAATTAACATTTTCATGATTATTAAAATCGTAAAAAAATTGGAGGCTTCTTTAATATTTACTGGTAAGCGTATTTTCTGAGTAGCTAAAATAAACATTACATATTTGCTTTTACCTCTCTGGTATCAACCATCCAGCCTCCATTCACAAAGAGCAAGACGTTATAAATTTTCTCTTTTACTTCACTTGTTAATGCCTCCAAATGGCCACTCCACATCTCATAATCCATCTGTGATTTTTAAAAACAATAATCAGTACACCAAAAGCAGAAAATATAGAAGCAGCAACAACTGAAATCTATGTGGTTTTAACCTGGAACTTCTTCTCTTTGTGCTCGTGAGCAACTGTCTCCGTGAAACTTGCATGAGGAGCCAGAGTAGGCGTCTGTGGAGCACACTTCATCTGTTTGAACCATTCATTGAACGTTTCATGAGCTTCCTAGAGAAGAACAAATATAAAAGCAACAGATTGAGAAAATATGCAATGTCACATTTCTTCGAATATTCTGTACATTCTAAGAAATAGGTAACGAGGGGCAGGAATATAGAATATAATCATGAATATATCCACATACAAACATTCATCTGGTGCAGCTATTTGCATTTAGAAAATGGAGTCAGAACATTCAGTGCCACACATTGTCCTTTTCAGGGTTTTTTTGTGCCACGGACTCTGTAGACACAACAGGTAGCTTTGCAGAATTGACCGTTTTTCGACTAAGTGACAAAACAAAATTGTTCTGTACCTTTTTAAAACTTGGCAGTATTTCTAGAAAAACGTAACATAGAAATCACACCAACATTTCTTTAAGATCAGCAATACATTCTATCCCAAAGGTAAAATATGCAATAAGATGTGTACATTTTAGAGTTTGAAAAGAGACGTTAATTATAACGACCTGGGCTTGGGCGAAATATCTTCAGATCAGCAGATGTTGAGAATGGCAGTTTGGGAGAGGAATCAGAAGGTTAATGCCTCAGTGAAACTATAGTCCAGCACAAGAGAGAGGCAATCTCCCCACAAATGCTAAAATGCTGGCTCTCCGTTTCATTTCTGCATTTGTGTTTAACCATTTCCAGTTTCTGTGTATTGTTTGAGGCAACAGCAACATAGCATTATGTGTTTGGTGTAATTCTGTCAAGTTATGAAGCTACGCAACCTTTCAATATCCATTTTATTATTTCGGACCTATCTCTCACCAAATAAGCCCTTATGCACAGGTGCTCCCGGATAGCATTTTCATCCTCAGCTGGAAAATTAGTTTCCATTGCTTGATTTTCCCACAGTTTATAAACTTCTGCTACAGAGTCTTCTGGAATTTTGCTAAATACTTCCTTAGCTGCTTCGTGTTTCTTAGAAGCTGCAAGACAAAATTACAGCGCAGCAATTACATTATTACATGGTCTCGATATACTGAAGAATTACAGATATTACTCCATTCAGGGCCATAATCTACAATTGGTGAAACTCCAAATTAAAAAGTCCATTTGTGACTTCCAATTATCAAATATCACTTGGACATTATTGTAATACTCAATATCAAACTCCTAAAAATATCCCATGAACTACATGTACAATAGGAGCTGTAAAATCGCATTGATGTTAGGTAGGTAGGACAGGTGGGGATCGAACCTGACGCCTAAGTTACATACAGGTTTGGCAAGTCTCATGTGAACCCGTTAAAATGATACATACAGGAAAAAATTACATACCCAAGAATTTCCTCATGATAGCATTGCTCTGCTTCAGTGCCTCTGCTCTTTGTGTGGGATCAAACACCAACCAGTCAATGACATCAATCTTCATACGATCCTCCTGTGCAAAATAGTGTACATTGCTGATGTGAATGTTCCATTACTCAACCAAACTTGCAATATTTTATGCAATTATTTTTTAATGTGTAAGAGCTTTGTAAACATTGATTTATAAAATGCCATGTGGCGTTTTCAACATTTTGAAATTAGGGAAGACATTCTAAACAGTGTATTTATGTAGAGAGATCAAATTTAACAGATGTACAAATAATAGATGCCCATTCTAGCATTAAATGAAATCTGTTGTTATATGCAGATGCACATTATTCAATGCCAAACATGCTACTAAAGTACGCATTCACTTTTGTAGTCGCTGCATCAAGAGACGGTGCCAGATCATGGTGTGTAAACTCGCCAGCATCCTTCTTCCGGATGTTTTCCACAACACACTTAGTCACTGCTGCTACATCCAGACCTACAAAAATAAAAGGACCCTCATTTTCTGATGCATTCAACAGTCACTGGTAGATTGTTACAATTCTTACAAATCATTTCAGTCATTCAGATGCCTTTTTGAATTTTTTTTAAAAAAGCGAAATGCTTTTAAAAATCAAAATCTTTAAAAATTAAAAATGCTTTAAAAATCTGGCCTCAGTGTGTATGGATCATAATATTAACCCTTCATTGGATCTCTTAGTTCTCTCAATACTCAATTGGAATGCAAGATTTTAAAAACGTTATTTTATAGGCTGTTTGTAATCAAGTCAAACTATGATCAAGTTGGGAGATTCTGTGCGGTACATAACCGAATCTTAAGCTAAGACGCTGCCAGAATTTTTTTTTACTTTCATGAAATTTTCAAGACGCAGCAATCCATTTACAGATGAGCAGCACCAGAGAACCCTCATTTAAAACAATAGTTTGAACTCAAAGACTACAGTAGTTATGTAATCATAAAAGTTATCTTTTTGCATCATAATCAAAACTAGAGTTCATCCTTACCATACTCTCTTGCCAGATCCAGACAATGCTTCCGTTGTTCAGTCTCTGTGACAGACTCCAGAAATGCTGAATACTGAGTGATGGCCAGATCCGAAGGCAAGTGGCTGACGTAGAAAGCTATTAAATCTGTGTATTTCTCATTGATCAGAAGCTAGAAGGCAATAATGTATATACAGTGATAAAAAAGCTGATACCTTTACAATATCTAATAAGCCTTAAAGATATGATGATATTTTTTTTAGATAATAGGGTAGCTTCACGACTGTTTGGTCGCCTTGTACAAAAAATAAATGCACTTCCTAGATACATTTTGTAACTTGAAAATGAAGTCAAAATTATTTAGTTCCAAGATTTACCATAAAACTATACTTCTATGAAGGCAGACAAATTAACTCACAAGTCAGTTACAAGGCACTTTCTTAGGTAATGAAAATAAATACTGTATTAACCAAAAGGCTGTTTACTATTCATCTCATAAAATTAATGAAGATAAAGAGTGATTACGATACATTTTCTACTGGTGCTACTTCTATTTGATAGATTTGTAATAATAATGGTGGTCAAAGCATGCTCTCCTCAAAGCAAACAAGAGCATCACATGTGGCCAATGGACATCCTCCCGATGTGAAAGGCGTTTTACAAATGTAATTTTTGTTTACTTGTTTGTAAACATCTTTATCGAGTGATAATGACGACTCTATGTCCAAGAGTTTAGGATGTAAACCATGTAATGTTTCCCTGACTTTGCATGGAAAAGTCATTGCAAAAGTATCATAAAAAGTTCAAACACAAAGCATCAGAAATGGATTTAAATCGAACTCACCTCTATGTATGTCTTGATAATATCCACGCAAACATCCTCCTAGAAGAGTAAAACATTTTTTTAAAAAAACACATCTGGTGACTTGTTGCAAAATTTAGCAGGATATATTAGTCCCATCTAATGTTAAAAAAAATCCTATTTTTGGGTGGAAAGATGGAAGACAACTGACACTTCTGGCTGAGTTATGAAAGGGGAAACATCTGCTTTCTTTCAATAGACACCAGAACATGTTTGGGCAACAGGATTGTGCAAAGGAGTTGGCTGTGGCTCCCACTGATGTGTTGTCTAATGGCAGGGACTGGCTGAAAGCTGCAACCCCACTGGCCTCGTTATGATAGGGGTGGTGTGGGGAAGAGGAAGGAGGGAGAGTCCATAGTAGGGTAGACTGTGAGGAGTGCACTCAATGTTCAGCAACATTATCCTTCAGTGGCATGAAGGTGTCTAAATGGTCACTGAAATGTGGATATTGAATGGCGAAATAGAATTGCACTATGTTGTGTGTGATAAAATTGTGTAGCTGTGACCAAATATCATACCTTTGTCTGTAGGCACAAAGACCGCAAGAACAAGACAAAGTGAGTCATGAATCGAAGCAGATGGGCTGGAAGGAGCACTTTGCCTTTTGATAGCCAGTCATGGAATTCATCCATTAGGCCTATAATTCAAACACAAGACACTTAATTGAATATATAAAATACCACACAATTTTGTAGTAGAGTTCCATCTGTACAATATCCCCAAAAATGGGAATTTATCCTAGAACTTAGAAATTATTTGCTCAGATAATATTACAAATCACAAATGTGCAGTCACGATTGTAAATCACAAGCAGATTAAATTTCAATTATGTAGATTTCTACCAGAAAATAAGATTACAATATTTTACATAAAGACACTAACTGGTTTCTCATAAAATTGCATTTGTGCAGGTTTGCCTTATATTTGAACTCTTAGGCACTTATTGTCTACAATATGGTAGTTTGAATACATTGCACCTCAGTTTTAAATATAATAATGCAACTTTACAAGAAACCATTTAGTATCTGTCATAGATTACGTTTATTTTAAAAACAAAAACTTACCATCAATGTCTCCCAAGATTATGAATTTCTGTATGATATGGTAATGAGCTTTATTCTCCTCCAACACTTGCTACAAATAGGAAATGCAAATCAGTTTATCAAAAACAAACTATCCTGTGTTACATCTGTGCATACACACTGGTTATCTGATAGCATCAACTTCTGACAGCAATATATTTATGACATTTCATCTTTCCATCGCCTTGGGACGTCCTCCCGACGTGAAAGGCCCGATACAATGTAATTTTGTTGTTGTTGTTATCTATGTGAGTTGAATATGTAACCATTTATGCACTACTGGGCAGTTGCATTTTTGCCTCTTTTTCATTTAATCTTATTTCATTTAATCCACTAAGCAGTGGATCATAAATCACTGAGAAAATCAGGTGAGGATATAATCGAGCCTAGAAATGTACTTTATCATTCTAACCATAAAAGGCATTTTTCAGGCATATACAACACTAGATTTTTTTAATATCAAATTTCCCTTTTTTTTGGAAAGCAAATGACATTTTCTATTTATTCAGTTCTCATCACATTTAAAGCATGTTTTCTCAAAAGCAGAAATAACAAAACTGAAAGAACCTGCGTTCAGTTGGTGTTAGCTCCTGCACTGGAGTGGCTATACTGATCCTAATTCCCTGCTGCTTCCTCAGATACTTACATATTTTTCCTTTTTATATCTTTATCCAATTCCCTTTAAAATGTGATGATCTCAGCATCAACTGCCACCTGCAGCAAAGCATTCTGTGTTCCAATAACCCTCTGCATTAAATCAGCTTCTAATTTATCCCTCAACTATTCCTGTGTGCCAATTATGAGCTTTCAAATACATGCCATCACATGCATTACAGTTCACAACGTGTATTTACTTGCATCGCAATATTCAACACACCATCTAATCACTCCACAATGACACGAGGCAGCTCCTACTATTGAAAATTTATAGCAAGAGAGGGATGTTAGGATAGACACACTCATATTAATGGGCAAGAGTTCATTTTGAAAGGAGCATATGTTAGAATTTTGCCATTACCTTTTTGTCTAATGCTTGCAGCTCTTCAAATATTTTCTCAAGGGTCCAACTGGAAATATAGATTAGGTTAGACACTATTTGTTTAGATAAAGCATTATTTAAATTTGACCTGTTTCCACAAAAAGTGATTGAATTCAAACTTACTTGGCTTCTGTGTACTCTCTGGGTAACTCTTCCAGCTCATCCACAGCAATACTGACTGCACGGATTTCTTGTTCTACAAGACTATCCACCATGATCCTGAAGTATGCCCAAACACAGTCTTCCCATGTATCACATACTGGAAGAAGCTGAATTAAAAATGAAAAACCACACATCATTTCAGATAAATTGACAATGATCAAATCGATTAAAAAAGTAAAGGAGCAAATATGAAATATTAAACATTCTACCTGTTTGAGATTTCCACTTAGAGCTGCATAGATTGCTCGTTCATACCGGTTAAACTGTTCCTGCAGGAAACAAAATTTAATAATCACAAATAGTAATGAATGTGATGGAATTTGTGAATATAGGTAGCAANTTTTTTCAAAGAAATTACTCAGTCAATGGTTAACATGACAAGAAAATATTGATTGTATAGTTTGCTAATAAGCTGCATAAGATTATTTTGCACCCAGTTTATACAGTCAGATATTTTTCTGTCTTACTTCATCTGCCATTCTCCAACAACAAGCCTTCCAAACACTTCGGTATGCGTTGCCTTCCACAGGTTGAAGCATCATTCCTGGAAACAGCACATTCAAACAATGTAATGGGATGCACAAAATTAGCTAAAACTGGCGAGAATCAGCAAGCTAGAATGTTGCACTTACCACCATTTAAATTAGGATCATGATATAGTTTCCAGCCTTCAAGACTTGCAGCTCTCCAAGCCTGACCACAACGTTTGCACAGTCTCTGAGCCTGAGAGAATTTATATTATTTACTTTGTGCACAAATTTCTCACAATCAAACAAAAAAGACTTTTGAATTCTTGCACAATCCATGCTCAAATAGCAACAAGACTTACCTCATCAGTCAGGCCCGCTCTTATAAGAGCAAATAGATACTTCATAAATCGGACATCATCTTCCCTATCCAGATCTGCAAGAGGCAATTTTTGTCGTATAGGAGCATCTGGATCCTGAAGCCAAACCAGAAAATGGTTAGTTGTATTGTGCACTGCTATAACATACAAGAATTATTTCAACTGCAGTTGAAAAAGGTTAGCTGTAAATTGCCCAATTCACTGGTCATCTTAATTATGGATATAGAGATCATTAGAAAATCCTTATTAAGTTTCAACACACTGGTTAAGCTCATTACGTGGAGTTTCTTTAACAGTTCATGGCTAAAGGTTATTAAACTACCAAAAATATTTTATGAAACCAATTTTGCAGGGGAAATTTTGCACTTTAAACATAGCCATCTAACAGAAGTGATATTACCAGCTCAGTCACAAGTTGCCTTGAAAATCCCGTGACACCCAATCGTCGCTGTTTTAAAATATGCAGAGTGTTTTCCCTATAAAATGAAAATAATTGTGATGGATATCTTAAATTTACAAATATTTTTCACATATATATATATTCATTGAATGGCTGAACAGAAATATATATGCACATCCTCATTGCAAGCACCACTCTCAAAGGAGTTCTACAAATGGAATAACGGCAGTAATTAAAATAGGCAATAAAGTACTTTAAACCAGATGTTTATGTTCATTTTGCACATATTGAAGAGAAGGCATATTTTATACGGGGGGGGGAGGAGGAGAGAGGGATGTCGCTCAGTGGCAGAGCATTTAACTGGATCAAGAGGTTTCTAATCAAATTCGGACGTTCCCTTATAATGAATAGGGCCCTGGTGAGACCACACCTGGAATACTGTGTCCAGTTTTGGTCTTGTCATTTAAGGAAGAATGTACTTGCCTTGGAGGGGGTGCAGCGTAGATTTACTAGGTTAGTACCAGGGATGAAGGGGTTGAGTTACGAGGATAGGCTGACCAATTTGGGCCTATATTCTCCAGAATATAAAGACTTAGAGGGGATCTTATAGAAAGCTATAAAATCATCAAAGGACATGAGAGAGTAGATAGTGGGAGATTGTTTCCCCTGGTTGTAGAAACTAAAACCAGGGGTCACAACCTTAAAATCAGAGGCCAGCCCTTTCGCCCTGAGTTGAGGAAGAACTTCTTCACTCAAAGGGTGGTGAATATATGGAACTCACTACCCCAAAGGGCTGTTGACGCTCAGTCCTTGAACATATGGGAATAAGGCAGGGTTAGGTTATTAGCTAGAGTTAGATTAGAAGATCAGCCATGATTGAATGGCGGGGCAGGCCCAAAGGGCCGAATGGCCTACTCCTGCTCCTACATGTTATGTTATGAATACTTTATTTACTGGCATGGAGTAGTTAAGCGGTGCCGGGTAGTTTTATGTAAGTCTAGTTTACAAATGTTACAGGAACTTATTTTAAAAAGTAGAAATCATATTTAACACTGTTCAAAAAAGTTAGCAATTGAATAGTTAAAATAGAGCATCATTTCTTACAAAGCGAGCGTGATCAAAATGTGAACATTATACACAAACTAAATTGGTAAAAAGTTGTCCAGAATCAAAATTAAATTGTGACTGTTACCAGTAAACAGATTTTGCATAAAATTCAATGTTCTCTGCAAAGTTTCCAGCTTCGTCTTTGGCAATGCTCTCTAACCAGTCAACGACAATCTGCAGAATGTAAAATTGCCAATTAGATTTTGTCCAAGCCCGTTTTTCTACTCTAAATTAATATAGAATGTACTTTGATTAAATTGGTTACTAATTAACAAAATATCTTGCTCACCCAAGTGACTATTTTTTTTAAGTAAGAGTTTACTTATGCTGCACAAATCCTTTAGTAAAAGAGCAGTACCTGACTCTGTCGTACAAGCGAATCTCGCTGGAAAAGGGTGTCGATGATCAACTTTTCACTAGCATTTGGGTCCTGCAAGAAGAATTTCATACTGTAGCATTCATTACATTGTGTTAAATTTCTCCCCACCATGAGAGGTACCACCAGATTTACTTACAGTCAATTCACATATGCATTCCTCTTCATCATCACACTCTATCCTGTCCCTAAATAAGCATAGGAAAGAAAAGTCAAGATTCAAGAAACTCAACCAATGGGAAAAATAAGCACTTAAGAACAAAGTGTGACAATTTCCTATAGGCATCCTACTTATTCTAGACCATCGTGTTCTAGAAGCTACTAGTCCAGACTCCAATATTACATGTGCAGGGTGACACAATAAACGTGGGATTCACGGATAGGGTTAATCCGTGCCCGTGTTTATAATCCTTATGAGTATACTCTCCACTCTCCTTAATCCCCTCCGCTACATATGCATCAAATTTCCTCTTAAATGTGTTGAAGTTCTTTGCTTCAACCCATTTTTAGCAGTAAATTCCACTTTTCCATCACCTTCTGCGAAAAGAAGTTCCTCCTAAACCTAATTTTGGATCAACGCATTATGTCGATATTTTGAACTCCCAAATTTTGCTTTCCTGTACTATTCCTCTATCTTTATTCTTTCAGATCATCTTTCTCTGTTTCTCACTTCGGATTTTAAAATTGTAATTACAGTACTTTTATCAACAAATGCTGGATAAAAGTTCTGCAGCAACTCTTACCAACCCTTGCCACTAGGTGGAAATGTAGTAAATGCTTATCTGCAACAAAATGTATTGGTATCACTGGGTGGTGATGATGTGCTGAAGAGAGAACAGCAAAGTGTCTCCAGTAACACCATGTGGCTGGTATCAAGTCCTGCAGCAATACATTTCTGCGTAGACCTACCACTGCCAAGATTAATTCCTAAAAATTCCAGGACAGTAAATAAACTCTGACAATATACAAAGTAAATAAAATACCCGAAGGAGTGCTGTTTAACATTAAACAAGGCAAAGCTGCATAAGTCATTGTATTTACTGAGGCTCAGTATACATTGTGAAAATATCCTTCTCTTATACCTCGTCACATAACTATGAAATGGCAGCATTCCATGGGTCCAGCTGCTTCTTACTGCAGTTTGTGCCCTGTGGGGGGCACTTTGTACAAGCCTTGATTTCAGGAATTGCNAAAAAATCCCAGTAATAACAACCATTCTGACATTTGATTCATCATATATGTAACATAAAGTTATCATGTCAACACACGACTCATTGATCCAAAAATGAGTTGAGTACGAACTTCTTTATAATAATCCTTGAATTTTGATATAGTGCCTTATCACGTCTTCGAGACGTCTCAAAGCACTTCACAGAATATACTGTAAAGTGAATTGACTGGATATTTTGTGGGCGAAATGTGGCAGCTAATTGCACACAGCTGTGTCCCACAGACAGCTGTGGATTGAGTGATTTTTATTTTTTGTTTGTTTTGAAGGAATTAGTACCCCCGAAAAGCAATCCACCAATCGACTAGCAACCAGGTTCCTTCTTACTGCTAGGTCAACAGTGGCGTGGAGTAAGGATACTTGCCCATTGTTTCGCCCTACCCGGGAATTGAACCCAGGTCCTCTCGCTTGTGAGGTGAGTGCTCTAACGACTAAGCTACAGGACTTTACACAGAGAATGCAGATGAAGTTCTGGTTGAAGCAGAAAGTATCAACAAATGTAAGAGGAAACTTGATGTACTCTTTATGGAGAAGGGAATAGCAAGGGCAGAGACATGAGGAGTCCTCCTGATGTGTAAGGTGCTATATAAATACGATTTGTTTGTTCTTGTTTTAAACATTGACACAGATTAATTGGGTCAATGGGCTTTTTACATGATGTATAATCCATGTAATTGTTAAGAGTGGTCATTTTACATTTAATTGAAAACAAATAGAAGTCCAATTTTAATGTATAGTAACAAAAGTTTGTGTTTTTTGTTAGGATAAGTTATTTTCCAATGACAGCACAACTGTCTTCTCAGATGCTCAGATCATAAATAGACAAGCGATGCCAGAAGTGCTCTATGTTTGAGTGGCACTTATTTGCACTGTTCCACAGTTTATTTAGGTCAATATGAACATTGTTGATCGCAACTAATTTCACACATTAGTGTGTTAATGCACTGCAAATAATCAATTCAAAAACTTGACTTGACCAGGCACGCTAAAATGATGCACAGAATGCTCACTTATTGAATACTGTAGAAGAGATCCATTCAATGCAGGGAAATTCAGCATACATAGCAAGCTGAAATGAAATACCTGTAAAGGGATCCAATCAATCGCCAGGTTACCATCTCTTGCTGAAGGAACCAAAGAACACTGGCTGTTTTGGAGAACTTCTGTTGCCCGGGAGTTGCACGGTTAACAATCTTCTTAAGTACCTCAACCTAAGACAATTGCAACTCATTTTCAGTTTTGTTTCAAGATAAAGAGAATTTTAAGGATTAGTACACCCACTGTTGACTCGAAAGTAAAATAGATTAGTTTCTCCGCTTGTACAAGACATTCAAATCAGTAAACATCTCAAAACAAATGGTCTTAAGCCACTATTTTCACTTCAGCTACAAATATTAACTATGTTAACATCAGCTTATCATACAGAGCTCTCAATACAGAAAATGGTTTTGTTCTGAATCATGAACTTCCCAAAATAGTTAACAAATATTAATATATTAAGCTTCCTTATGCTCAGCAATCACCTACTATCAACATAACAAATAACAAAAGTGCATTGGAGCACCATAGTCTGATAAGCTTGAGAGTTGCCAAGCCACTTATTTGCTTATTTTAACCATTCTGCTGTAAAAAGAAGGCTATAGCAGGTGCTAGATATCTCCTCCCCACAGGAGTTTGTGTGGGGGAGAGAAGAAATGTGAGACTAATTTAACAACAAGTTACTTTTGTAACCTCTGATCAACCTGCCCAAATGCAGCATTGCAGCTTTCAAATGGAGCAGCAGAGCAGCTTTCAAATAGTGATCTGGAGTGAAAGGTGAAAATAAGATGTTAAGGAGAAATAAATAAGATGTTAAGGAGAAATAAATAATAAGTCACCCATGACAAAACATTATGAATGACTGCAATTTTATTAAATAGAGAACGATGAAAACAACAACACAATTACAATTGTATAGCGCCTTTCATGTCGGGAGGACGTCCCAAGGCGCTGGACAGCCAGTGTTTTGGACATGAGGTGGGGGGCAGAATTGGGGCGGGTGGGAAGCAGGGTGATCGAAAACACGGTCAAAGAGTTGAGTCTTGAATATTAAAGGAAGTCAATTGTACTACCCCCAAAAAAATTGCTTATAAAAATCATACCTGCTCATTGCAGTTGTCCTCATAAGATTCTATCAGATCAAAGATGCCACTAGATGAGTGCTTCAGGAAAGAGTCCAAGAAGTTTGGGAATAAACTGGCTGTAGCTGTTAGAAATAACATGTCAGAAAACTGTTAACACTTAGAAGATGCAAACTGAATTACACTGCATGCACCAAAATAACACACTTTAGCACAATCAACCACTGAATGGCCTCTGAAATTGCTTTTTTTTTAAAAATAGGACAAGTATTGAGTCCAGCACATATATAAAATGTAATAATAATAATCCTTGCATTTGATATAGCACCTTATCACGTCTTTAAGACATCTCAAAGCGTTTCACAGACTATACTGTAAAGTGAATTGACTGTTTATTTTGTGTACTATACTGTTCACACATAAGGCACATGGTCTGAGAGCAACAACAAACCAGAATAACAAGAGTGCACGAATTACAAAGTTGTTGTGTTTGTTCACTCTGCTCTCTTGGGACACTGTTGGAGAGGCCTTCATGGGTGTCAAGTTTTTACACCTGAGAGCACAATGTATTTGTTGTTTTCTATTGTGAGAATATAAGATTAGGAATAAGAAAGATTGGTCTGTTTGATGTATAATGACATACAAAGAAATAAAAGGACAGTATTCATACACCCCTCAATACGTTGTTCGATCTCTGAGAGAACGCATGAAATTTTCTCACCAGTTAAACCTGGATCATCCTCACGCAACATAACTGCGCTCAAAGTGATGTCCTCTGTAAAACTCCCTGGGGAGTCCACTCCTGTCATCAAGCCCATCCTCTGAGGACTCAAATAAACACCTGCAGTCCAATCCATATCATCTAGGCCAGATCGCTAAAGAAAGAAAAAAATTATGCAGCTGAATAAAAACAATGTAGACAAAAAAACAATTCTCCTTGGTGACTCACAACACAGAGGTTTTCAGCCATTTGTGAGGAAACTAGACCAGTCTCAATGGACTGACCCACTTGAACTAAATTGCACTTTTCAACCAGGTCAATTGTATTGCTTGAGGGGGGAAACTATCTGTTTTGCCCCCTCTTTATTGAGGGGGAACTACTCTCAGTAGTGAGGGGAAAAACAGGATNAAAAAAACTGCTTCCCACACTACTGACCATTTGCTAAATGCATGAAATGAGAAAGTCATCATCTACCTAGATGTAACACAAGGTGAACCAGACTGCCGTTGCCAAATACAAGACCCTAACAGCATGTTTTTAAACCACTATTCTTTATAAAAATACTTTATATTCCTTTTTTAAAAAATTACAAGATAACAGCAGGAATAACATCAGAAAATGGAACAATAAACTCTAGCATTTTAAAGTGCAGTCAAATCTCTTAAAGCAACCACCTCTATTCAGCAACCACCTACTATCAACAACTACCCTGGAACAGTCCCAGATGATTTTCCATAATAAACCACCTCTATTCAGCAACCACCTTCAAACACAACCAGTGGCCAATCTTTTTTTTAAGCCTGGTTGGTGTACTAACACTCTTTTCAGCGGTCAGTTCTAAGTGAAATTAAGTGTGCTTAGCGGTAATGCAATACCAATTTCCCCAGCCCATGTATAGACCATATATTCGCTGACCATGTAATGCCCACTTCATCCCACCTCAAGGTTGAGGCAGAATTGGTAAATGTGTTAGAGAGAGTCTATACGCAGGCCTGTGGACATTTTTGGCCTACAGATTCTTTTTATTATTTTTAAATTCAGGCCTGATCAATAAACCCTTACTCAGAGGCCACCCTTACATAAAGGTCAATTTGGTTCAGTCCCCTGAAAACAGGTTTGACTGAAATTAAACACGTGATAACTACTGTATGAACACAAAGTTTCCAAAAAAGGTAATCCATAAAACTAGAAGAAAAATCACTGCCATTCTGGGCTCTACTTTCCGTAAGTCACAAACTCCTAATAGGCATCATCCAAATCATAAAACTAAACGACTGAAATGTCACACAAACACCACACTTCATATTCAGCAGGAATCGTTTCTTTAGAAAAACTAGAAGATACCGGATTTTCATGTCCATCAACTTTCAGGAACTACTACAGAAACCACCTCTACTTAACCACTGTAAATAAAACCTGTAAGCAGTAATTGAGGCCATTACCATAGATGCGTTTCCAGGTGTGGGAAAAAAACGCGGAGATCTGCCGACTGATCCTAAAATACCAGACAATTCAGGCTGCCTTCGAGTCTGTGGTGTGCCTGGAATACAATACCAACTGTTATCTTCAAAATCATCAATATCTAGATTATCAATATTCAGCACACTAAAGTTTAAGTCATTACTATTAACACTAATTATACAACTTTACTTTGGCTAAAGGTTTAAAAAAAACTCCCATTCCCGGCTCACACAAAAGCTATGCAGTTCCACTCGCAGCCTCCTTTACTTGGTGAATAGCCATTTCTCCTCATTTGGATTCTTCCTGCAACAGTTAACAGCTGAACAGACCTTAAATATTGGGCCTTTGAGCTGTTTGCTGCTATTACAATTCATAATTGCAGCAGTATACAAGGGTAGTTATGGAAATAATCCTAAAACAATAGAAACCATGTCACTTTAATCGACAACCGAAAGCTGACGTAATCAAAAGTTGTGCAGATTTCCCCAGAAGAACAAATAGATAACAGACCAGCTCCAATGCCACTCTTCAACCAATGTCAGGAAGCATGAAAGCCTACATACCTTCATTAAAATAAATAATAATCCTTGCATTTGATATAGCGCCTTATCACATCTTTGACACGTCTCAAAGCGCTTCACAGAATGTAAAGTGGATTGACTATTTTGTGGGAGAAATTACACTTGAGTTTGCTTATTGTTATAATTTGCATAATCTATACTAATAAAGACGGAATCTGTGTGTTTTTCTGTCTGAGTATCCGCCACTAACGCAATAAGTGATTGACACAGAGACATGATTTATACCTCATCGGAAAGGTCTTGCATGCGTGAATGTCATGGGCATTTATTTTTCAGGGATCTTCTATCGTTGATAAATTATATTTTAAAAATGCTTTAATCCCCCAAATATGAGGTGTGCATGGTTTCTGCAACAAAGTAGCCAGAGGAAAGCATACACCCTTCTAAAGAGATATATCTATAATAACTCGAGGACCTGCTGGATCACAGAGTAAACCCCTTTGGTTAGCGTATCTTTGATTGGAGTCTTCCCACAGGATTCCTCCCAAAAGGAATCCTCCCACAGGAGTCCTTCCTGTTGAGTATAGATAAAGACTAAATGTCTGTCGGTGTGTCAATCTATATTCCATATTGGATCCATTGGTTGCAAGCAAAGCTGCAACGTGTATTTCTCTCTAGCGTGATAATGTAATCCTTACATTTGATATAGCACTTTATTACACCTTCCAGCTGTCTCAAAGCGCTTCACAGAATATACTGTAAAGTTTGGTGGGTGATACGCGGCAGCCTATTGCGCACAGCAGTGTCCCACAAACAGTTGTGGATTAAGTGACCAAATTATTTTTTTTCCTATTTTGTTTAATATACTGGCGGCCAGTCCTGGCCTGGCCGTGGTTGGTATGTTTTGTACATATTGGAGTTTGCGTATTGTTATAACAACAACAAGATTACATTTGTACAGCGCTTTTCACGTTGGGAGGACGTCCCAAGGCTCTGGACAGTGTACAGCATGTCAGACCCGAGCTGGGGTTGGGGGGAGGGAAGGGGGGTGGCCGATGGCATGGTTGAAGAGGAGGGTCTTGAGGCGGGACTTGAAAGAGGCTAAGGAGAAGGTGAGGCAGAGTGACGGGATGGATTTCCAGAGGTTGGGGGCAGAGTGGCTGAAGGCTCTCCCGCCAACGGTGTGGCGGGTGGGTCGGGGGACGTGGAGCAGGCCAGAGCCGGCTGAGCGGAGGGAACGGGCAGGTTGGTAGGGGGTTAGGAGGTCACAGAGGTAGTGTGGGGCGAGGCCATGGAGGGCTTTTTTGTATGTGAGGATCAGGATCTTAATAATAATAATAATAAACTTGATCCTCTGAAGGATAGGGAGCCAATGGAGTCGGGTGAGAGGGAGTGAAACGGGGTCACGGAATTTGGTGCGGGAGAGGACACGGGCTGCAGAGTTCTGGATTATCTGCAGCCTGTGCAGGGAGGAGTTGGGAAGGCCAACAAGCAGGGCATTTGCATAGTCGAGCCTGGAGGTGATGAAGGCGATGATGAAGAAGGAGTTTCAGCGGCCTGAGGGGTGAGGTAGTGGCAGAGTCGGGCAATGTTACGGAGGTGAGAGAAGGCAGAGCGGGTCATGGCTTGAATGTGGGGGAGAAAAGACAGTTGAGGGTCGAACAAGACACCTGGGTTCCTGACTGGCTTGGTGAGTTGTAGTGAGCAACCATGGAGGTTGATGCTGCCAGGCACGTTATAGGCATATAATGTTATAATTCATCTAATGTTATGCAAATTTGTAGTCCCAATTTAACAAAATAATGAATATTGTTATACTCAGGGGTGTAGTGGTGTCAGAGCAGTCTGTAGCATCGCTCTGACACCTGAAATACGGAGCAAAGAGACAAATGGATGGTCCAAAAAGAGCACCGGTTTTTTTTTAAAAAAGCACAGGATTTACAGCATTTTAGCATCCATAGGTGCTGTTAATTTTTGTGAAAAAATTATCTAACAAGAACTGATAAGTAAAAATACCTGATTTAAATTTTTTAAATAACCCTATAGAAGTGAAATTAAAGTAACGTATTGAACCTTTAAAAAAATCTTTTCCATGAAATTGTAAATGCCTTTAGAACAGTCTGGAAATGTTTGCAATTGTTTTTAAGGGAAATTCCCCTATTGTTATAATAATGTTATAATTTTGTCTGGTCCGACAGAGTGTAACATAAAGCAGACTTGACTGTATCAATATGGAAACGAACAGGCAGCAAGCAAGCGCATTGTTAACTAACCCATCACACATTCTCCAAATAATATGGTCAACAATTTCAGGATTGAATTTTGTGCAACAGGGGTGTTGCAAAATCAAGAGACAACTTTCTGAAATACAAATTCTAAGTAATCGAAAAACAACCTTTTAAAATCACATTTAAATTAGATTACCTCTGCTTTGCATGGCCTTTTTTTAATATCAAAACTTACAGGCTTGGCGGAATGAAGATCCTGGAGTGCGAGCAAGCATTTGTATCCGTGCCGGTGTAGCTTCGTTCACATTTGTTGGTACTAAATGTGTTAAGCAAAGTAATTTCCAATAGTTCAAACATTTTTATAGATTGAGCTTAAAACAAAGACAGTATTTGGGAATGCTTTACTAACCATAAGAGTATTTTTAGTCATAAACAATTGCTATGTAGTTAAGATACTTTTAAGCAAAATAATCAGGCTTAAAGAATAAAAAGAAGTTTCATTTATTACTTTTTCCAATGCTAGTTATAAGTATGAAAAATAACAAATTGCATTCATATAGCGCCTTTCACGTCAGGAGGACGTCCCAAAGCACTGGTCAGCCAAGGGTTTGCAACCAAGTTGAGGGCTGGAATCAAGAAGGTGAAGGGCAAGGGGGGTGGGGATGGGAGGATGACTGAAGACAGTCAAAGATAAAGCTCCTGAGATGGGATATCAAGGCTGTGCAGTAGACACTGTATTATGAATGTCAAAACTATATTGGAGCTGTGTTGCCTGCCGACCACTGTATGTTACCCGTATATTTGTCACTAGTACACTTCACTCAATAGATGCAAACTGTGACATTTAACCACATTAAATATTCCTATACGACCAAAAATATAAGTTTTCAGCTCTTAAAAAGCATTAAATGCCTTTCTGAACTGCAATAATTTTCAAAGTTGCAATCTAATACGTGCAGTGATGAAAGAGGATACTAGAGACATTGCGTCTTGTAGCACTGCGTCTCCGAGCGGCTTTGGTAACCTCGGCTTCCCGAACGATGGGAGATGAGATATCTGCAAAGAATGGGCTGGAAGGAAGGTTCAACAAATTCAGAAATCAGGAGCATGGATTATAGAAATACCTTAAATAGGACTGTTTAAGATAGTCCTATTTATGATATTAGATTTAAACCAATGTCAGCAGTGTCTCTTCCCATCACCCAGAGACTCCATCTCTCTCCCAGCACAGGCTCCTCCTCCCCAATACAGGCTCTCTCTCCCCCTCACCCCCAATACAGGCTCTCTCTCTCCCCCCCCCAATACAGGCTCTCTCTCTCCCCCCCAACACAGACTCCCCCCCCCCCCAACACAGGCTCTCTCCCCCCCCCCCCCAACACAGGCTCTCTCTCCCCCCCACCAACACAGGCTCTCTCTCTCCCCCCACCCCCAACACAGGCTCTCTCTCCCCCCCCCCACCCCAACACAGGCTCTCTCTTCCCCTCCCTCCCCCCAACACAGGTTCTCCCCCCCCAAATACAGGCTCTCCCCCCCCCCAAATACTCTCTCCCCCCCAAATACAGGCTCTCTCTCCCCCCCCCCCCCCAACACAGGCTCTCTCCCCCCCCCCAACACAGGCTCTCTCCCCCCCCCCAACACAGGCTCTCTCCCCCCCCCCCAACACAGGCTCTCTCTCCCCCCCCCCCAACACAGGCTCTCTCTCCCCCCCAATACAGGCTCTCTCTCCCCCCCCCCCAATACAGGCTCTCTCTCCCCCAACACAGGCTCTCTCCCCCCCCCCCCCCAACACAGGCTCTCTCTCCCCCCCCAACACAGGCTCTCTCCCCCCCCCCCCAACACAGGCTCTCTCTCCCCCCAATACAGGCTCTCTCTCCCCCCCCCCCCAACACAGGCTCTCTCTCCCCCCCCAACACAGGCTCTCTCTCCCCCCCCCCAACACAGGCTCTCTCTCCCCCCCCCCAACACAGGCTCTCTCTCCCCCCCCCCAACACAGGCTCTCTCTCCCCCCCCCCAACACAGGCTCTCTCCCCCCCCCCCCAACACAGGCTCTCTCTCCCCCCCCCCAACACAGGCTCTCTCTCCCCCCCCCCAACACAGGCTCTCTCCCCCCCCCCCAACACAGGCTCTCTCTTCCCCCCCCCCAACACAGGCTCTCTCTCCCCCCCCCCAACACAGGCTCTCTCTCCCCCCAACACAGGCTCTCCCCCGCACCAAATACAGGCTCTCTCTCCCCCCCCCCCCAACACAGGCTCTCTCCCCCCCCCAAACAGGCTCTCTCTCCCCCACCTCTCCCCCCCCCCAACACAGGCTCTCTCCCCCCAACACAGGCTCTCCCCCCCCCCAATACAGGCTCTCTCCCCCCCCCCCCAGGCTCCCCACCCCCCCAGTACAGGCTCTCTCCCCCCCCCAGCACAGGCTCTCTCCCCCCCCCGGGCCGGGTCAGGCCTGTGTAAGGTCGCGGCTGGAGCTCTCCCTACTTGTCCATGTTCACGGTGTGGATGTCTCTGGCGGCCGCTGGCAGTTCCCGTCGCTGAATGAGCGGCTCCCGCCCGCCAGAGCGGCAGCACCGCGGACAGCGCCCCTTCCGGCGCCGAGCGGTTACTTCACCCTTTTCATTACACACAAAACACACGTCCATTGACAGGGAAACAGGAGAACAGTGTCAATGGCAGGAATTTCTTATTTAATAATTCATCTGATTTTTTGTTTTACCTTTGCTCAGAGCACCCTAACCAGATTCCACACTTTATTGTTGTTTAGCTGGTGTGGACTCCGCACTTTCTCCCTAAGGGTCGCACTCTGCTCACCTTATAATAATAATAATAACCACGCTCGCATTTGAATATAGTGCCTTATCGCGTCTTCGAGACGTCTCAAAGCGCTTCACAGTTGACCTTCAGGTTGGCGAAAACCAAGGTTTGTTCGTGGACCCCAGTGGATGTATTGGGGTACTCCTGGAGTTTGTCAATCTGACACTGAGCACAGTGGCAAGTTTTGTTGCTGTTTGTCCAGATACGACCACTTATCCGTTAGGGCTATAGTTTGCAAGGTCAACAGGAGCTCCCCCTCCCCAAACATACTTGCATATCTCCGTGAATATCTGAAGCCTATGAAACCATGAAGCAGGAAGGGGCAACACAGCCATGTCTAATTGTGTTCTCGCCTGAGAGGTCAACAATAGACAAATACACAAGGTGTGAGATTTTCAGATGCAAGTCGGCTACATACATCAGTGCAAAGTCATGCTTAAAAGCGTGAAGCTATATCCAACATAGGTGACTGCTCCATAAATGATTTGAGTTGCATCAGGGAAGGAAGGAGCAATTTCAGCCGACCTTCTGCTGTGTTATTCCTTTTTTTTGTCTGATGACCTTTAGATCAAACTTCACCATCGTTAAGTGCTCTGAGATGCTCCGCCACATGAATGGTGCTATATAAACCAGGTTGATGCTGAAGTTGTGACTGTTATATCTTCATTTGTGTCAGAGGCTAAATAATAAATGTAATGTAAACTTTTGCACATTTCCCCCTGTAATATTGCATTATCTATTTTAGAAATTGTATCATGATACAAGTGTCCTGCGTTGGAATTGTACTCCTTTTAAAGTTTCTGTATTGGAATATTATAAATTAAAAGTTATAATACATTTAAAAAAATACATTTAATATATCCCACTTCACATCTGATATAACAACCTTCAAATCAGGAAGCCATCTCAAAGTGCTTCACAAAAACATTGCCCCTGAAGCATAAATATCGTATCCTGAGGGAGGAAGATCACAATCTCATGTCTCAGACTCCTTAACAATATATGGTCACTTCTCCCTTCTATTCAAAACAACTGTGAAATTTTGTTGCATTTTAGAAAATCAGCAAACAATTTTGTGACTGTGGACATATCAATGTGCCAATCAGCACAATTTCTCAGCTGATCTTCCCTACGGTCAGTCAATTGACCTATATCTGATCGAGGTGTAGAAAGCCTCCTTCATCTCCTCTATTGTAGTTAAATGCTTTCCAAGCATGGGTTGGCTGGTGGAAACTCTGACGAAGACCACGTGGATCCAAACATTTTATAAATTGGCCCAAGTAGAAAAGATCAGGATTAACCGCCTACTCTGAAAAAATTGTTCTGGGACCTTGGGCTCCATCTGTGCAGTATGCAACTGGGTGTGTCGGTTGCACTCAGCCATAAACTTGTCTGAAGGCCTTTTTCACACATCTGTGGGCAAACCTATGAGAGTTTGAGGTTCTAAAGATTTGGGTTACTTTCACCCTTATTTATAGAACCTTCTGCTGTGTTTTTTCTTTTTTTTTTGTCTGATGACCTTTAGATCAGTCAAACTTCACCATCGTTCAGTGCTCTGAGATGCTCCGCCACATGAAGGGTGCTATATAAACCAGGTTGATGATGAAGTTGTGACTGTTATATTTTCATTTGCATCAGAGGCTAAATAATAAATGTAATGTGAACTTTTGCACATTTTCCCCAGTAATATTACATTATCTATTTTAGAAATTGTATCACGATAGAAGTGTCCTGCGTTGGAATTGTACTCCTTTTAAAGTTTCTGTATTGGAATATTATAAATTAAACTTTATATATAATACATTAAAAAAATTACATTTAATATATCCCACTTCACATCTGATATAACAATCTTCAAATCAAGAAGTCATCTCAAAGTGCTTCACAAAAACATTGCCCCTGAAGCATAAATATCGTATTAAGTTTTTGTGCTACATATATATGTATACTTACACAACACAATCACAGTGTTCATAAGAATTATGTACAAGCTGTAAGTGAAAGTGTAAGTGTAACAAGTGAAAAAAGATATGACTTAGAAATTCCAATCTTTATAAAATTAACGGTGGATATTACAGTATATAAGAGAAATTTAAAATGCAAGTTAATAATAATAATCCTTGCATTTGATATAGCGCTTTTCACGTCGGGAGGACGTCCCAAAGCGCTTCACAGAACACACTGTAAAGTGAAGTGACTGTATATTTGTGGGCAAACGCGGCAGCCAATTGCGCACAGCAATGTCACACAAACAGTCATGGATTGAAAATGACCAATTTATTATTGTTTTTGGTTTTGAAGGGATTATTATTAGGCTCTGTGTGGAGTAAGGAAACTTGCCCAAGGTTTCGCCTTGGGCAAGTTAAAATGCGCTTATAAAAAGGGAACATAAACCAGGGTTCTTGTTCCTCATTGCTATACAGTCCCCTGCAGAAAGAGACATGCTTGGCTGTTATTCAGTCCCGTGGTTGAACTCGGAGTCATTATCAAGTCTCACAAGTGAATAATAGTCACTTGGTTGAAATACCAAAGCATCTACTGTCCATTGCACCATACCCCTAGTTGAAGGAAAAATGAGTCAAACTCCTTCAAGAGAGGAGGGTAATGGTCGAGGAAAAAAATCCACTTATTTAGGGAAATCTTAAAATAATTTGGAAACGGTGTAGTCATCACTTGTTCTTAAGGGAGTTTCTATTGTGAAACATAACGAAATAGGAACAAATCTGATAACATAGTATTAATGTTCATTAGAAGAATGCTATTAATTGCAATGATACTAGTTTAGATTCAACAAAACATATTCATACCTACCAATAATATTCATAATACTGGATTTTCTTCCAATGAAGCTTTGTGCTGGAGGAAGTTATAACAAAGATAACAAGTTACATTTGTATAGTGCTGGACAGTCAACGATTTGGTCCCAAGCAGGGGAAGGGAAGGGATTGGGGGGGGGGGGGGGGGAGGAGTGCAGGGAGGATGGACGAAGATGCAGTTGAAGAGGCATGTTTTGAGATGTGTCTTGATGGAGGCAACGGAGGGAGCAAGGCGAAGAGACTGTGGGGTGGAGTTCCAAGTGTGGGAGCAGAGAGGCTGAAGGCTCGACAGCCGATGGTGGGGTGGGCTGGGCAGGGGACATGGAGCTCGCCAAAGCCTGCTGACTGGAGGGAGCGGACAGGTTGATATGGGGTTAGCAGGTCACAAGGGAAGAAGGCCGTGGAGAGCCTTGAAGGCGAAGATGAGGATGTTGAACTCTATCCTCTGGAGCATGGGGATGATAGGGTCAGAGTCTAGTGAGGGAGAGGACATAAGCTGCACAGTTCTGGATGATATGCAGCTTGTAGAAGGAAGAGCTGGAAAGGCCGACAAGCAGCAAGTTGGCGTAGTCAAGCCTAGATGTGATAAATGCATAGATAAGGGTATCAACAGCCTGAGGGAAGGAGAGCCTGGCGAAGATGCGGATGTGGGGTAGAAAGGACAGTTGAGGGTCAAACTAGACGGAAAGATTCCGAACTGGCTCAGTGAGGTTGAGTGTGCATCCATGGATGGTGATGCTGCCAGTGCCTGCGGTGCGGAGGCACTGAAGGGAGCCAATCAGGAGAGCCTCGGTCTAGTTGATGTTCAACTGGAGAAAGTTAGCTCTCATCCACGACTTTGTATCTGACAGACATTCTGTTAGGACAGCAGTGGTCCTGGAGTCAAGGGTGGAGGCAGAGAGATAGAGTTGGGTGTCATCCACAAACACGTGGAAGCTAACCCTATGTCTGCAGATGATGTCACCAACAGGGAGCAGTTATATTATTTTGCCAGACACTTTCTTGACTTTTTGGGTGTTGAATAAATGCAAAGACATTTTGCTGCTAGATTTATATATTTTGTACTTCTAAAGAGTGTGCAAATATTTAGTCCGGCCACAACCTTTTTAAAGAGCACTTTGTCGTTTGCAAATTTTACTTGGCAAAACTTACAAGTAAATGACAAGCTTGTGCTTTAAAAAGTCATTTTGCTGTGAACGTATCACCATGTGCTTTTGAACTACATTCTTCTACATTATTAATTTTGTAACTCTAAACGTATGTCCTCTTGTTCTGTCTTGGTACATCCTAAATTATTGTTCTGGGTTTCTTTTTCAATCCCATTTACAATTTTGTACACCTAACAAAGTCCCTTCTGAGACGACTTCCCTCAAGCCCTAATCTAATTTGTTAAAGCTCAAAACTTGACAAGAGTAATAAGAGTGGAGGTTAAAAGAAAATATTGAGAATAGCAGATAAGTCTAGTAGACACAATAGACTCTCAGCAAAAGCAGCTGACTGCTACGGGTTTTTTTTTGCTCAAGAAAGAACTGGATAAATTTATCCATTTGGGAATGGATTATTTGGAGTTGGTAGGGATAAACGCAGACTGGTTACTAAATGCTCCAAGACTCAATATTCCCTGTGCTAGTTGCACTGGGAAGAGGGAAACATTGGCTAAGGGGAGCAGTAATCAAGCAAATGAGTGCAATCGCAGATAGTTTTATAATTTTATTAGCTTTAGAGATGCAGAAGTTTTCACTAGACAATAAGTGTGGCTAGTTTATTAATAATAATAATCCTTGCATTTGATATAGCGCTTTTCACGTCTTTTAGATATATATATTCTAAATAGGGCAGGTTTTGCATGCTCACTGTAAAGGGCAGGGTTACATGTTTTTCTCATTTTGTGATTTTTATTAATATATTTTGAGTATAGCAGCAAGCTTATATGTATTTGGATTCTATTACATTGGCTGGAAGTTATTTGGCTCAAACAGTATTGACCAGTTGTTTAAGCAAAATTGATGGGCCCACTCAAAGGAACCTGTGGAAAATACTGTGCAGGTTCAAAAAAGTGGGGCTCAGCCAAACACTTCCACAAAGCTTAGACAGTGATCACGATAGACAATCCTGTAGCAAAACAAACTGGAAATGACTTCCTTCAGCATCTGTTGAAGACAGCTTTAATTTCCCCTTTTGATCCAACTTAATTGAGATAATTGGTGGTAAAGCATATTTATATCACTATTTAGCCTATAAAAAGCAATTGGAATACTTTTTAAACCAGAAAAAATTACCAGAAACCAAACCTCCATCATTTTTGTTTTGGAGCTGGCTGAATCTCTTAAGGACAGTTATTTAAGTTAGTGTTATTTCTCTAGAAATCAGTGCAAAATTATGGTATGTTGTGGCCTTATCAGAAACCGTTGCCTGCATTCTTTGCATACTGTTCTTACCTTAGTTTTTATCCGTCTTCGGTTTAACATTTTGTTCATTCTACACAATAAATTCCCTCAATGTTTAAGCATCTGCTTCCAAGTCATTTTAGCCACCTTTATATATTACTCTTCTCCACTTTAAATTCAGTTTCACTTGAATAATACTAGTTATTTATCACATTATGAGAAATGAAAACAAAATTGGCTAACAACCACTCATTTTGGCATGAAACATAAAACTTCCCCTATAAACCAGGAAATAAAGGCTCACCCTGTTTTATAAAAAGTTTATTGAACTGTCCCAGAAAACAGTCACCCAAAGCTACTGTACATACAATTGTCATCTCTGCAGGTTTTTCATACTTTTACAGCTTATACCATTCTCATTTTTTATTTTGTTAAGTCACAAGCTCTGCTTTCAAATACTTGCAAAATCATTACAGTAGTAATAATTCACACAAAAAATTCAGATTAGAATGAGTTTTTGTCCATATATACCTATAGTATGGTTCAATTAGGCAATGCTGGTGTATCATCTTGGGTTCATTGAGGAGGCACTGGATTTCTTTTTTCATTCTAGGATAATGTTAAATCATTGGGTGGGGTTGTTAAGCTTCCTGTCTTTAAGTCTTTATACAACCTTAAAACATTTGGAAGATGAACAGAAATCCCAAGGCTTGAACCTGTTGAATACCTTAGGGGAGGGGAAAGAAATTTCATCATCGTCTAGACAGATTTTTCTCTTTGTATTTCAGAATTAACAATTTTGAATAATTCTTATTCAGTTTGTCTTTTTTCCTGTAGGTTGTTAAGAACTACAGTAATACAGTATTCACAAGAGATTGAATTTAAGAAATGTCCAAAATGTGTACTCTGAAATATTAAGTCTGTCTAGACTGATGGAATTTCTATCCAAGTTCGCAATTTCAATAGACGAATTTACTGGTTGAAATGTTCTTGAGCTGTAACTGAGTTTGCACAGCGCTTCTCAGGTACAATTTTCTCTTTTTTACCTCTTATTTTTACACTTTAGTCATCAATCGACTGCCAAGATACCCTCGAGATGCCTTCAGCCAATGATAAGATCTTTAAAAGTTGCTCCGACTTACAATCAGGCTGGTTAAAATCAGAAAGAACAAAGGTTAAACTGGTATGAAATGGAAAATAAGTGATTCTATTTCAAGTGATTTCAGTAGTTTAGGATTTATTACATAAAGCTATTCCTGACACACGAGTAGCTTTTTAACTATAACAAGTATTTCTGAAGCAGAGGATGAAAAAAATAATTCATCCTGGGAAACAGGAATATCTTTGTCTGTCTAAAGAGTAAATTGTGATTATTATAGAATACTGTGAAAGAAATATGGAAAAAATACATGCAATAGTGGCCAACAGATTAGAACAAGCTAACAGTGCCCTCACTTATTTGGCACAATTCATTAAACGTAGAAACATTTCCAGTAGTTGAGAAATTTTGTTTCTGGCTTTAATTTCAATAAGTTGCATTTATATAGAGCCCTTCAAGCAGAATGTGTTGGAGCACTCACAAGAGGGAAATGTGTTTTTAAACAATTTTCTTAAATGGTGAAGCTGAACAAATAGAAAATGTTACAGTATCGATATTGAAGAACAAGGTGGCCGTTAAAAAGTCTGCTGAATGTAAAGCATGTTACAGTAAGAAATGGGATTTTTCTAATGATAGCCAATTTTAGCACATAAACATGTCTTAAAATCAACTTTTTGCTGTTGGAATGCAAAAGGCCAACATTGTTAGTACATAAACACAAACACTCACTTCTAGATCAGTTTTGTTAATTGCAGTCAAACCCATCTTTAACGGCTGCTCAGTGGACTGGCCAAAGTGGCCTTTATTCAAGGGTGGTCTAGGAATAAGGGTAAACCAGGTTGTTCCAGGGTGGTCGTTATCAGGAGTGCCTGCTTGAACAGGTTTAACTGTTGTAAGAAATAAGAGCTCAAACTAAACTTGCAGCTAGTCCCAATTAATTTCAAGAAAAGTACAGATCAAAAATAGTAAACTACTGGACATCTTTGATAAATCAACGTTTGATGTCCTGAGGTAACTAGTAATTAGGTATTGAGGCAGAGCCTTTTTCTCCATTACAAAGCACAAACCTATAAAGCTCACCCAGAAAAGGAAAAACTAATTCTAAATGTAGCTGAAGTGCACGGTGAGACCTTAACTGAACTGTAAAACACCAATGGTTGGATATTACACAAATGAACCCTTTGGGTGGATCAATTGCTCACTATAATATTCATTAGAATTCAACAATTATATTTGTGCAATAGCAAAACAATTTTAAAAGTCACATTATAGCTGTAAGTGAGATAAATGGGCTATATCAGGCAAGTGCTTACTTGTTTGCTCTATATACATTATAGCTAATGTTTTAAATCAAATATTAATGCTACGTAGATAACAGTTGGGGTGGATTACAAAATTCACAGTTGGTTTTCAGTGGACTTCTTAAATTCTCTTCATGAGAATCAAGTAAACATTTTACTGGCCTGCAAAAACTACACATCATGATTTACTGTGAAGTAAAGGGTATTTAACTGGCAAACTGTTGTGTAATCAACAGAAGTTTTATAGAATGGCTGGCATCCAACTGAATTTTACAGAGCCAAGCATCAAAACTTTAAACAATTGCTACACATGACTTAATGTACAGGCTCAAGTAATTAATTTTCAAATAATGTCAGAGGGCTTGAGAACCAGTTCCCTTACAATAAATTTACATAATGTGGGCATTTTGCCAGTCCAGACCAGCAACAATCTCTTATGTACTGCCCACAGTAGAAAAACATCTGTTATGTTGTATACCATGGTAACAGAACCACTCAATTCCAGCAGGTGTACATTATTGATATTGACTGATTCCAGCATACTTTTTAAAAAAAGAATTTTGGACCAGATGAACTGCAATTGTTTCACCAGTCCTGTACACTCAAGTCTTTTTCTTTTCTGATCATTTGGCTTCACAATAGTAACACATGGTGCATAATGCACATGAAATGTTACATTCACAAAAGTTAAACAAATACTTTATTTACTTGCAGTTAAAACATTACACAAAACATTCAAGTGGCAGACAATCAAAATGCAAGCCCTTGCATAACAATCCAATTTATTGAACTGATGCGAGGTTATACAAAAAAATTGCACCACTCTATGGAAATTAAGGCTTTTTAGTTTACATTTAGCCACCTTAAAGCAGTTGTAGCATTAAGTTGGCCATTTCAAATACTGTGGCTCATTCCATACACGTGTTCTTCCACCCAAAAGTTAATGCATACAAAGCATCAAGGCATTGTTAAATAAAAACATCGCAACTCAGGCCACATGAACGATTACACGCGATTCAAAATTGATTTCTCACATTCACCATCAATATCCACAGTACTCTTCCACCAGGAAAACATCTCAAAACATTACACATGTGAAACATAACCACTAACAGGTAATGCCTAATTAATGTATATTTGGTACTGATAATTACAAGTATACATGAGCAAGCAGAATCACAGTGAGAATCTACAGCTGCAGGAGCATTGAGGGACCTCCCAAGAAAACCTGTGAAGTATAAGTATCTTAAAATATATACTTCCTGTTGTAGACGCCCACTGTACAATTCTTTATCAACATTGTTCCCCATGTAAACAAAAAGGAAACATACAATGAACAATTAAAACNTTTTTTCTGAAAATGTTAACAGCTATCTGAAGGCAACATTGTAGACAAAATTGTGAAGGAAAGAACATCATACACTTTCTGTACATAGAAATCACCGTTTCCACAGGTTCTGCTAAAATAAAAATCTTTTTAATAGCCTTTGCAATTCTCAGAGCTTAGTTATACACTGAAACAATGATGATCTTGCATCTTCCAATTTAAAGAAGCTACAAATACAAAAAAAGCAGAATGAGCTGTGAGAAATAGCCTAATCTAAAGAGGAGATCTTTGGACTTTCACCTTTATTATGCTAAAATAGTGGTGCTTGCCAGGAATTACGTAACTCTTGAATTTGCCAATACAACAAAGGGAATCTTTACTAGTAGTTAGTTAATCAATTTAATACATTACAACATTGGTGAAAGGAGAGCACTTCCTCCATTAGCATTAATACTGAACGCAGTTCCTAGTCTTAAGTTGCCTATTAGAATGTTTATAAAAAAGCAGCTTTCTGCCCTTGCAATGCTGAAACCATTATTAGTTACTATATGTGCAAAATGACTTAGGAGCTTTCATCCATTTGTTGCAGGGTACCACCACAGGAAAGTCCATTTTTCAGATGTCAATAGGTTTAGTAAAGTGGAATGCTGGCACTGTCAAAATGGGCAACAGTTCATCATACCTGTGAAAGTTTAAAGACATTTTTTTAAAACATCCTACAAAGCATGAGGATTTGTATACTCAATTAGAAATAAATGTTTTGAATCAAATATGTTTAATCAAATAAATTAGGAACAATAAATTGATCAAATATTAAAAAATGCATATTTAATATTCTGCAAACTAACAAATATCTGAATTCCCCTTGGGCGTCGGGAGCTAATTTCATACAATTGACAAGTTCCTTTTTACAGCTTCACCACAGCTGCAAGAGGTTAATTTTGTAATAAGAGTTCAATTTAAAATGGAAGTCCATTAAAACAGAAGTCTAGTTTGTTGATACATTAACCACCTGATACTATCATATGTATGCTGGTATTTCATGACAAAAATATAAAAATTCTCAAGTTAGATATAAAGTGTCAAATATAGAAAAACAGGTGCACATATTGATGCTCCCCATTAATGTTGACATGGAGGAAATTAATTTTCTAAAATCTTCTGAAAGTTAGAAATATAAAATTTTATGGAAGTCAACAGATGAATTGATAATTCTAGGATGTATCCAATATACCAGATGACTGACAAGCTTGAGTTCAAAGATAAGCAGAAGACCATCAAAACCATCGCTACTAATAAAGGAAAGAATGGATAAGATCGGTCTGTAATTCTCCCTACCTGGCTCATAGCTAGAGTAGATCGGTATTAAAGAAGCAGGCATGTTGACTTTTTACCACTCTTTCCAAGAACCGGAGTTTTTCTGTTGATTTGTCGAACCAAGTCATAGAAAATCTGTAATATATAATTATGATGTCAGATATGCAGTTTAAATATATAATGAGTCAGTCATTAGACAGACATGATTTCTGTAAATTCTGTAGTTCTTTAGAGACTCACTTACAGGAACACTTGGTTTCACGTGCTTCATGCAACAGATAAAAATTAACCAGCAACAAAATCCTGTTCATATTTCAGTAGTTTTTTGTTTAAAAGAAAACAAGTTGCACTCTTCTATGAGTGTTAACTTTAGTCACCAAACTAATTAAGACTAAAGTTTCAAGTCAATCCATTCTCTTTCCACTACCCACGTCACTGAGGACTGTATACATAGAGGGAAAGAAAAAAAACAATTTTCCAAACTAAGAATGTGGATCCAGATGGAGGTTCCACTACCCAAATAAGTTAATAAAACCAAATGGGTATATTGATAAACTATCTGGCCTTCTGACATTCAGGTTATTAGCCTCAACCGTCAGAATTTATAATGATAATACTTGCATTTAATATAGCACTTTTCTCGTCTTCTAGACGTCTCAAAGCACTTCACACAACATACTTTAAAGTGAATTAATTATATATTTGTGGGCAAATTTAATCTGGAGTTATCACCAAACTGTATATATATATATTTAACTAAATGTTCAGTATTAAAATGTTCGGCTTGAATTGTGTCTGGACGAACCGAGTACAAGTCAAGATTCCTTCAGTAACCCAACAAAGAACTTACCACAGCCACATCAGTATGAAAGAGGCTATTTAAAGTAGGAATTGGGTATTTTCATATTAGTAAACGGTTGTGCATTAATATACCGTCTTGCCTGAGATTAAAACATTATTAAATCTGACAAGTAAAGCTAAAACTTTACTTTTTAAGTTGATAATAATCGCTTCAAAACCAAAAACAATAATAAATTGGTCATTTTCAATCTACGACTGTTTGTGGGACATTGCTGTGCGCAATTGGCTGCCGCGTTCGCCCACAAATACAGTCAATTCACTTTACAGTCTATTCTGTGAAGCGCTTTGGGACGTCCTGCCGACGTGAAAAGCGTTATATCAAATACAAGGATTATTATTATAACAACAACTTATACTGAAACATCTCAAATCACATAATGGAACACTTTGCAGCCCCATCCTCACCCAGCTTCACTGGTTCCCCGTCCCTCAGAGGATTGAGTTTAAGATCCACGTCCTCAATTTCAAAGTGCTCCTCGACCTCTGCAACCTACTAAAGCTTTACCAACCTGTCCAATGATTCCGCGAGCACTTGCTCCATGTCCCCTACCGCGCCCGCTTCACCATCAGCGGTCAGGCCTTCAACCTTTCTGCCCCTCCCCACCCTGTGGAACTCCATTCGGGAATCCCCCCACCTCGCCCCCTCCCTTGCCTCCTTCAAGGCCCATTTCAACATCTTCAATCATGCTTTCGGTCATCTTCGCCCTTGCTCTCCACCAGTTTTCATTTCGGCCTGCCAACTCAGGTGCAAAATCTTCACTGTCGAGCACTTTGGGATGTCCTCCAGACATGATAGGTGCTATATAAATGCAATTTGTTGCTGTACTGATTTATGAATGCAAATATGGAGGCTAGCCATGCTAGAACACTGAGAAAACAAGAACTGGAAGCCAGGGCCTCTATCAATACCTTAGTATTCATTACAGTTCAAACTAATTGCAAAGCAAACTAGAAATAGATACAAATAATGCAGACAGAAGCCAATTGCATGCACTTTACACACCCGTTAAGGGCAAAATTTTATACACTGTACACATGTGCAGAGAAAATCTGAAACAACCATATGGAATGAAAATGTTAATCAGAATACTTCTATTTTTGCACATGAATCTCACCTCATTAACGTTAATCTTCGACTTTGCAGAGGACTCTAAAAATGCACAGTTATGCCATTGTCTTGCTAGATTCTGTCCTTGCTCCTTTCCCACCACACGCTCATCTTCCAAGTCACACTTATTACCAACCAAAATCATTGGCACCTGTAGGAAAATTGATAAGTACAGGTCATACTGCAAGGTTTTAAATGTTGTTTACTTTCAGCACTACATGGGTAATCTAAGGGCTTCATAATCAAGCAAATTTTTATAATCTGAATTACATTGAATGATGAAGTCCTTTTTGCAAATTTAGATTTAGAAAACATGACATTCATGGTTAGCATGAATATATGGGTTTGCTGTAAAAAATACTAAACTTTACTAAGCACTAACTGTAGTATTAGAAGATAGTTCATATTGAAGTTAGATTGGAACATCCAAAATATGTGCTAAGCGTTAAAGCGTCACTTTGAAAACATACAAGTAGGAAAAATGTGGGCTGGTCACAATTGCTTAGCAAAACAGGAAACTATTAATTGGACCATAAATAAACTCTTGATTGAAGTAGCAATGTAATAAGCAATTTGAGGCATTTTAAGAGGAGTTGCTTTAGCAAACTGCCCTTTTAATACACTGCAAAATACTCCTCGAATAGATCAAATGCATCGTAGACTACAGGGCACTTTTCATAGTCTCTGATCCTGAAGGGTCTAAAATTAAATTGAGTCAACTTTATTTCTATGACTTCATTCACCCTTTCAAAGAAAACCAGATTAAACAAACCTGTGCATTATACATGTGAACTTTGATAAAACTGGCAACCCTAGAATACATACTGCATAAATCTCGGATGTCACAAACATGTGCAAATGTGAATTGTGTATTAAATCAGTCAGGATCAATTTTACTTTTCATATTCCACTCATTTCGAACATGAATGTAACTATATACAGTTTGTCAGTAATCAACGTGAAAACTTCACATTTATCCAAATATCCCACCACATGAAGGAAGGAACTTGTAGGAAAAGTAGACAAACATTTTCCATGGAACAAAGGATGTTGTGATTTCATAGTATACTGAATAGATACTGTACTGCAGATCAAGAAAAAAAAACTTTCAAATGTCTCAATCTTGGCTTCTCATCATATTGCTTCATTAGAATACCACTAATCAGAAGCTATTCTAACAGAAATAGAACTGAATTTTTAACTTGATACAACACCTTGTCTGAATTTTTTTTAAAAAGCCATGCAATTAATGAAAATCAAATACCAAGGGAGGAAATCCTTTCTAATGTATACCAGGCAAAACTAATTTAGCTAAATTGTAGCTTAAGTGAACCAAATTTATGCAAATGGGTTTGACACAACCAGTACATTCGTATTTTTATATAGTTTACAATTCTGGTTTTCCCACTTTCCAAACACTATGTAACTTTATTTTTTAAAAAATAACACTGTAATTATATGCATAGACTCAATGTCCTATGCTTTTATAAAATAATACATCACTTGAACTGTTGATGGTATTACTCTTACAAATACACTGTGCAATGAAACATTTATATTGAAATATTTGGTACAAGACATATTAGAGCCCTTGTTTATTTAGTTGTAAACATTTAACCAAAGGCAGTGTCCTCAACACCTAGTGCCCTCATAGTTGAGATCAGCTAACTCAGACGCTTGCTAAGCCCTTCAATATCTGTGTGGTTGTTCTAATGCCCCCTTCGTTGGTCTCCCCAGTTCGATTCTGACAAAGTACAATTGATTCAGATCTCCGCCACCCTTATTCTCACTCACACTAAACTCCATACCCCTATCACATCAGACTGGCCTGGCTCCCTAGCACAGATCGATTTCAAGAACCTCTCACTTATCTACAAATCTGTTCACCCCTTGGCATCTCTCATTGCCTGTTAGAAAAATAAATCCAAATAGCCTTGTTAAAAAAATTAAACTCCAAAATGTTAATTGATTGCCACATCATTTTTTCTTGTTCTACCTTTTTGGTGGAATAAGCAATTATGGTTCAGCATTATTCATAATTCAAACCGCAATCCTCTTTAGTAGCTTAAGAAATAGTAGTTTTGTAAGAAACCTGCCCATATAATTTTTAGCCCATGTTCCCTTTCCTGTTCTAGCTTTCATTCTAAAGAAAATAGCACAACGTAATCTGATCACACAGTAGGTCAACATTTCTCACATTGTCCAATTGAATCATGGTATTCCAGGGGTTGGAGGAGAAGGAAAGAACATAAACATAGTATTGCATAGTAACCTGCATCAAACAGTATAGGTCATGGGACTGACGATCTCCATGCAGGAAAGCATTTGAACTCTCATACAGCATCATGGATATCACAACATGAACAAATAACCCACCACTCATTCTCAAGAGGCAATACACACGACTGCACTGTGCTGCATCTTTTTTTAAAAAAAACAAAATTAAACAGAATAATTTAGCTTCCTGAACCTGTGAAAGCCCAAGTTTAGATTTCCTTGGGAACACCAACTTACATCATCAGTGTCTTTGACTCGAAGTATTTGCTCCCTCAGGTCCTGCAAGTCATTGAACGTTGACTGTGCTGTTATAGAATATACTAATGCAAACCCTTGTCCGTTCTTCATGTACAGATCTCTCATGGCTGTAAATTGCTCCTGTAAATAAAATTAGACTAAAATCACATTTATTGCAAAATGTAAAAGCTACAACTCAGCTCACCATTAGCTAGAAAGCAACACTCATTTGCATTCAATTTCGGAACATCTCTATACACCACTTAAATATCTGCAAAGGAAAACTGCACAATTTAGGAACGAGTACTGAGTAGTGGTTAAAAGTTTACAAACTCCAACGAGATTGCTCCTTTTGCCTTTCTGGTGCAGGTCAGGAATTTTGTCCACTCTCCATACCCAAATGATGTCAAAAATTACATTTGTTTCCAGCTCATTCAAAAGGTTCTAACATTAACCCAGATTGCAGTACGAAAGCTGTTCAAATGTAGGAACAAGCTTATTTATAACCTTTCCACAATTTGTACAGTAAAACTTTCCGTTTAACAATCCACTTCCTCTTATTGCAACTTCCTATCAATTACTTGCGTATTCATCATTCCATATCTAGGTAACTAATAAAAATATGTTCCATATCCCCTTCCCCAAGGAGTTTAAACATTTGCAATTCTTACTTTGAGTCCTGGCTCCTATCGCCCATTTCAAAGGTGAGATCCATTTAAGACATTTATTAATTGAAAGCCTACTGCAAACTGTCATTTTCAGTCAGAAGATTAAATATTGGGCATAGTTCAGTCATAGGCCCAAATGGCAGTTGGGCGTACCCAAGATATTTCCAAACAAATGGAAGTTTCCCATGTCAGATTATTACTCTCCTGCTCCTCATCATCCCTGCTAAAATGTTGCATCTGAACAGGAGAGGCACGAGTCAAAATAGCACACCATTAATCAGTTTAGGGTCATAGGAAATGGAGGGGGAGAAAGAGGGGTGCTGGATAGATTATTGGTGGAAGCCCAGCATGAGTGAATGCCTTCAAGGGGAAGCTTTATGCTGATGTTCATTTGAACAAGTAGTTGTTCAATGTGTGACTATACACATCACTGAGCTAGGTGTTGCATAATGCTTATTCTATTGTCACAGAATTAATTATCTTTAGAAGATCTTGACTCTCAAATTAGCGAGATTTCCACAGTAAACTGAAATTATGGGAATCACTGTAGAGAATTACACACGCAAAAGACAGTAGCTCAAGCATTTTAGCACTGGAAGCAGAATGTTCTGGGTTCATTCAGAATATCACTGAGGTTGATAAATGAGGATCCTGACTAAAAATCAAAATCACCCAGAGACGACATAAGCAGAATAACAAGTTTTAAGGATCATGTCTTATGAAGCTAATCTGGTATACAATTATCCAAGACAAGGTTAATGATGATGCATTTCAAATTACTTACACAACTATGCATTAAACCTTAGCCAGTAGACTTAAGGATATGCCCTCACCACCAAGTCTAGCTCATCAATGAGACTTGGATGTGTGGCATATCCTTAAGCCTGCGGGCTAAAGCCTAATGCATAGCTGGACAAGTAATGTGAAATGCATCAATGCTTTGTATTGGTAAGCTGCAGGGCTGCCATTACTTATTTCATATATGCTTGATATGACAGACAGAAACAGAAAGCAAGATAAGCTTTTAGCTTCACTGCACTCTTTTATGCAGGTTTTTATATTTCTAATTTCTATAGTACAGCAATTACAGTAAAACTCAAAGGTCATATAAATCGGACCATAACATTTAATACAACTTACGGGAATTCAGAGTTGTAGGTAAACTATTAAATTGTATAAAATAAATAATCTACACTATGTGTGCATAATTCAACGTAGCTGGTAAGTGCAGGCATGCGGTGACGGGTCAAGACTACATTCAGTGCATCTTGACCTGTCACCCCATGGACACTTACTGGCAAGCATCGGAATTGCATTGAATCGCTGGAAATCAAGTTCTTCTGCACATGTATCAACAGGTCCCACAATTCAATGCAGCCAGTAAGTACAGGAGTAAGTGAGGGTAGGGTAGTGATGTTACGCGTTAAGAGGTGATTAATACAAGTGCAAAGAAATCTAAGTGATTTTGAAAAGACACTGAATGGGACTCGAAAGAATATACTACTTTGGCAATTATACGATTTATAAAGACAAGATTTATGGGAGTTTTACTATAGTAATATGGTTAGATTTTCATTAGTTTCCATCTCTCCAAAGAAGACCAGCATTATACAATACTTCTAAAATAACAAATGGAATATTCAAGCCCTCAATTTCTCTTACCGTTCCTGCTGTATCCAAGATTTCAAGCATGCACTGTTGCCCATCAACTTCAACTTGCTGTCAAAAATAAAAGTATGATGTTAAAGTTAACAAGGTTGAAGCTAATTACATAGCTCATATCATGATGATGCCTGACATTTGTCAAGCCTCTCCTTGAACAACTCACCTTTCTGTAGGAGTCCTCTATTGTTGGATCATATTTTTCCACAAATATTCCTTGAACAAACTGTACAGTCTGCAAAACAGTTCAAATAACGATGTTAGATATCACATCAAACTTATAAATACAATGGATGTTTTAAGAGTGTGGGAAATTGTGAATTAATTATTTTGTTTATGCAGACTTATACCAATCTAAAAAGCAAACAAGAAAACATTTGAAGTAATGATTAGGAGTGAAATCAGTGTATGGTGTTGTACTGGGCAAACCAAAAAAGGTTCCAATTTCCTCTTAGCTTGCTATACCAGTCTCCGCAGCCCTATATCAGGAAAATGGTGCCAATGGTTTCCTATTACAATCCTCAAATGAAAGAAAAGTGTGGATGGTTCTCATATTAAAAAAACACCTTTAGCTAAAGCCGTCATCAGTCACCACCGCAGATAGCCCATCACCAATCATCTTCTAAATGTTCATGAATCGTTAGAGCTAAGAAACCATACTGTCACATTATTCACTAATTTCAGAACAAATGTAAGAGACAAATTGGAGAGGCACGACACAGAAAAAATGTGCTTACCAAAGCAGACTTTCCTACACCACCCGAGCCAAGGACCACCAACTTGTACTCCCGCATTTTGCAGCACTTTCAACGAATAGTGATTTCAGCTAGAGCAAACAAAAACATCAATTGTTAGAAACATCCAATTGTTGTGGAGAAACTGTCAACTTCAGAATAAAATTAACTAAAATGAATGAGTTCTAAATTTCGTCTGAGGCAGCTGGCATCTCAAATCACAAAGCAAAAATGTTCAAAAATGTAATAGAAACTGGCAATTATTCACAATGTAATCCTCTACACACATTTAATTCCTGGACAATTAATATAGAAACTATACTGAACTTTGTGAACAGAGAAATTATACAACTAGTTTGAATAGTTATTACCAAATAGGTTAATATAATTAATCTAGATTACATTCAGAGGATAACGCTACAATATGGAGTGGGATATACAAGTTTGAAGAACTTGTTAGTCTTTCAAACAAACTCGATTGAATGTCCTTATATAAAAGTTAACAGCAAAATATTTATAAAGCAGCTTTCTTAGTTCCTACATCCTTCCACAATCCCATTTTACAATTTCCATTATAATCACTTGAATCATTCCTGAAACCCTTTTACTTTAAAGTGGTAAGCTTTTCTGATCCCGTTGCAGTTTCATTCTGACTGGGTCAGGGAACGACTATGCAGGTCACTTTTCGTTATACAAGCCCATACCAAACCATTCTCAGTTTCACCTGGGACACATTAGTCCACCTCGTCGCCTCAGTACATTGATATTGCCCAGCCAAACACTACGAGACACTCTGCATTACCTGTTTGACAAATATTTTGATTTGATACATTTAACAAATAGAGCAAAACATGCAATGGTGCCAATAATATTGTTTAAGAGACTAAATCAAGCACAAAATGGGCATTTTCACACACCACAGGAATTCTATTTAATAGTTTCCATGAATTACAAATACAATATCAATAGAGAAATAGTCAATCTTGCGTAATGTACTTTGGGAAAGACTTTCATTAATATGAAACTACTCAGCAATAATTTGGTTTTCATTCACATGAAACTTGGCAATCTATGATCTTCTGATGCGCATTTTGAAACTTCTGCATTTTTTCAAATGGAAAAAGTCCAACCAGTTTAAGGCCAGATTAGTGGAGAAACGGATTTAAATTAAAAATTGAATCAGCAGTGAAAATGCTTATGTTTTAAGAACACAAGGTCAATTGTAATTGCAGAAATTGCCAATCTTCCATTATGAGAAAGTTTTTCTACATTCAGCTATATCAAGATCCATAAAAAGGTCGATTTGGGTAATAAGGTTTATAAATGTATTCAAAAATGTCTACAGAGATAATTTAAACCTCTAAAAAAGGAAGCTTTCTTTCCAATAAATCTCAAACCACAAGCAGTGCAAGAGGATTTTAGGTTAGGAATTTACTTGTTGTTTAGGTACAAACTGTTCCCATGCTGCAGGATTTTATGCCATGTTATTTCTGCATTTAGCCTTAGTAAAGATACTAATCAGTTTTGAATCGAAAAATGTTTCCCCTCTTGTACCATTTCCTGTACAGCACAGTTGTGTTTAAAGCAAAAACCAATTCTGTAATATTCAAGTATCATTCTCATTATACAACCTTCAGCAGTAAAGCTGCAGGAAAATGCAATTGGACTGAGTGAAATCCTATACCAACATCTAACCCTATACTATACACTGAGCAAGGCAGTAAAGTGCTTGCTACATGTACACATCCAAATATACTGTCTATTTCACAAGCAACCATCTATTTTTTTTCATGTAATAAGATAGAAAAAATCAATATGGTCAAGTTAGCTATTTTTCAATGTAAAACACTATAGGTTATATGGGGTGGAAAGGGGGTGGAAGAAACTAGAAAAATACCAATATAGCACCCATACATTATACGAAGCCTAGTTTAACTGTTCTTAACTTGTCTGAATCAGTGAAGTGTAAAACAGAGGCCAGCATTCTTACAAAATACATAACGCGAATTAGCCTTATGACATTTAAATTGCAGCTAGAAAAGTATTCTGGTTTATTAATTCAGTGAACAATACTTTGGCGTCAAAACTGCAACTAACTAATATTCTAAGGAAAGCTATTTGTATAGTTTAGGTGAAATCTGCTGTGATTAAGGAGTACCCTTAGTTGAAATGTTTTTTTTATTGAAAGTGCAGAACATTTGAACAGAGATTTGATTAAAAATATTCACTTTCCTGCTTATTTTCCCTCAAATCTTCTCATTTTCCTTAGGTTAAGTGACAGGATAGAGATGACTGTATTCTGCATCAATGTGGGATGAAAGAATAACCTGGGTAGGCCCATTTCCTCTTGCTTTGGTTACCCGATAGCATCCTTATTGAGATTAAGAACCGTGAGGTATATTGAACTCAGAGCCCACATGCTATGATTGGTGCAATACGCTATGTATTGTGACACAGGTTAGTGGTTGCCACTCAAGTTGGATGCACTTATCTTTATTCTCATGGTTCTACCCCCTCAGTTGGTGAACGAACAAAATATTTATCATTTGACAATTTTTAAACAGGACCATTACTTAATATGGGATTAAAGGGGAAATAAAAATCTATTGGTCAATGAGTTTAGGCAATCTTGATCCGGTTCCTGGTGGCAGCATAAACGTGACTTCACATTAAAAACATAAACAAGCTTAACTTTAACTAATATGCATAACTATTAAGATATTATTATATTAGTCAAGTTTGTTTCNAAAAACAGATTTAAAGGATCTCATGATATTAATAAACCTTCAATACAACAAATGTGTTTTAAACAAATAAATTCACAATTTCACATCTGTTGCTGCAGAAACATTGCTGGCAGATGTGAAAATTATTTGTTTCATGAGCTGCAAAAAGGCAACAATTCCATTCAAATGGGTGCAACTGTTAAGTTAATATAAATCAGAAAGAGCAACACTGGAGTGCAATACAGTGTGTTGATGCACCCATTTGCAGTAGGATGTGGGTTTGTGGCTTCTATTCCCCACATGGCAAGTTCCTGATCTACAGAGTTATCCGGAAAAAAAAACTCCATGCACTGACCAAGCACTTGCCTACAATGGGAGAAACATAAAATTAAAAAATTACAGTACTTCCAGAATGTTCTTATGCACTTCCTAGCAGCCAACTCAATCACAACATTTGCATAAAGGCCGAAGAACAGAGGACTTTCCAGTCCTCGCGTCAGAGAACAGCACAGATAAATATAGCCAAGAAGAAGGAAACAAATTTATCGAAGTGTGGAAATAAACAGAACTCCCAATTTACAATACAATGAATCATTTTGTAGATCAGAACTATAGTATGCAGTAACTGTATAGAATTGTATATAAATACCATGATATAATTTGCATTACTGAAGATGCTGAATTGTAATTAATTAGAATAATTGTTGCCATTGTAATATTTGTTGCACTGCAATCCCCAAACTACAAATACAAGTTTCAATTTAATGGAAGATTACTCTCCAAAAATGTGTTTACTGGAACCCAAGTATACATTAAAATGATTATAATAAAGCTTAACAAGCTAATTGAAAAACACTTTAAATGGATTAGACCCATTATATCCTCCTTACTAATGAATAAGTCGCTTGCTGTTAAAAAGAAGCTAGGATTCATCAGGGAATCTTCTGAACAAGCCAACCAAAAAAAATCTTTATCTACCCACAAGAACATGCACAGCTAGGTATGACCTCTGCAATTGCTCCTTTCTTGCTGAGCTGATCAAATATTCATAGAAATACTACAACTCAATTCAACAGCACGAATGCAGATTACTCACAAGTGACATCAAGCCATTAAGATTCACTGCAAAAAGACTTGTTGGGAAAGAAAACCGAGGCCAAGATATGGGAGGAGTTTTAACAAGCTGCAACAAATTAAGTTACCCAACTTTACCTTGAGCAGAAAGGCATGCCAAAGCAAAAAAATGTAATGCATTCTCTGTAACAAGGAAACAGTTTTATAGTATTTTAATACAAAAACATCACCTCATCATAGTAAAGCACCTCAACGTCCTTCACAACTAATAAGCAACAGCATATGCCGCACAGACAACATTAAACCAATGAATGAATTGGTTTATTCATGAATTTAGATGAAGGAGGCCAGATGAATATTAGCTAGGACACCAACGAGGGGAACACTGACTCGTTACAGCACGAGTACACCCTATTCTTCAAAATCGTGTCATGGGAACTTCAAGGCCCACCTGAACCAGAGCACACAGATACTCACCTTAATATTTAATCGGAAAGACAGCACCTGTCAATGAATAGGCCCCAGTGCTTTGTTATAGTGTAATGAGGTACTAGATTGAGGTGTGAATATCCATACTTGCAAAGGAAAAATCTGAAATGTATGCAGCAGTCAGGTGGACATATTACTTTAAAACCAGCCAACTTTCCACACTAAAAAAAGACCAACACCTGGCTCACCAATGTCCCTTCCTCCATCCATGTATATCCAACCCCTGGACAGGTTTTCTGCATTTTCACCCACCTCCATCCCCACCTCAAGTTCAACACTGGTGAAATCCTCATTCAAACATTCACTACTGCCAGATATGTCAAGTGACCCCCTCGCCAACCTATCTGATGCCAACAATCATAAACTCCAGCTCATCCAAAGCTCCATTGCTAGTATCCTTACCGAAATGAACAGAAAGGCTCCCAGGAGATAAGACTTCCAGATAGATACTCATTCTCACCTATAAACCCTTATGACCTCGTAACTCCCTGCTTCTGATCTTCTCCAACTTCACTTCCTCCTCCATTTGACAAGTTCAACTATATAAATGAAATGTGTTGCTGATCGCCCAATAGTTTTCTTCCATACAACTTTGATCAAGCAGCAATATTGTTTGATATAAATCATTTGTGCCAAGCAAGTATTTGTTTTAAGTCAACCACCAAAAGCTTCAGTTACTTTGGGATGTAGATTAGCTGCAACTTGCACTGCCTTTGCAATGAAAGTATACATATCCTACATGTATTATGAGCAATTAAAAAAAACTGTTGTAATTATGAATACATTCCCATGCTTATTTTAGATGCTCCCAATTTACGTCTGCAGTAACCTTTGAGAAACTGGACCAAAAGTTAACACATTTTTAATGATTGGGCCTGACACACTCAGAGTCCCCAAAAATAGAGGAGCAATAATTTCTTGTAGCAACTAATCTGTATTTCATTTTTATGCACAATATGTACCTCTATAAACCCTTTGTATGTAATATAGTAGCCGACTTTAATAGCAGCTATTAAATTTGGCAAAAGTAAATGACTATAAAATCTGGTCTGTATTAACTCAAATGTTAATATCAAGGACAGTCTGTAGCTCAAGTCAAATTCCAGCCTCTGTGGGACTGCTCGAACTTTTCAGGTCACACACACTGACATTGGAAATAAATGCCTTTGCAGTATGAAAGCTTCTCAAAATGGTAAGTAACTTTACTATATTAACCCTATACTGCAGAAAAACATTTCTGATTATCATGTGTACCTTTTCATACCAACTTCGTTTTCAAACATGCAATAGCAACAGAACACATAGGTTCCAGGTTGTGAAGAGCAATTTAGGGTAGAAACCAGATAAGTGTAGTGCAGCAAGATAGTGAGGTCTTGAGGCAACAACAACTTGCATTTATATAGTGTCCCCCACATTGGGCAGAATCCCAGAGTGCTTAACAATGGTGGAGCCCGATGCCGAGCCAGGGGAATGGGAAGGTGACTATAGGGATGGTCAAAGAGGCCAAAAAAAGGGAGTTCCATAGCTTCAGGGCGTGGTAGACTTTAAAACATCAAGGCACCTCCAATGCTATGGAGAGGGATATATTCTAGCACATGCTCTCTCCACTGCATATGGAATATACAAAAAGCTGTAACATTTACACTTCCAGGAGGTTGACAGATGACGATATTAGCCTCGCAATTTACAGATCAGTTCTGATGGAAGGAGGTCAATTGCCGCTGTCGTCACAAAGACATCATATTGCCTTATAGCTAGCTCACTTAGATGGTTTCAAACCAAATAGACAGTTTGAGTAATTTGAACTCACTAGGGCTTCTTGTTCTCAACAAGGCTGCTCCAAAAGAATAGTGCTGCACTGCAGCAAACATTTGATTCACCCTGCTTGAACTATTTTACAAGTCAGCTGGTAAAGCATTATGGATGCCATCCATTGCAAGGGCAGTTATGCTCTCCCTCGGAGAATAAGGCAAACTCCTTCAGTGCAATATTCTCACAGCTGTCATTTAAAAATATTTTCTAACACAAAGGTGGATTTGGCGTTGCCAAAACAGGTCTCAAAGATCTAGAACTAGATTGCATAATAAAATTCTCTGAACAGTTAAACCTATCAATAAATTGTCTCAGCTGTATATTCAAGTGGCCTAAAACTGACCCCCCAATGCGTCTTTAGCAGAACGGATAGGGATCAATAAACTTCTGCATAGAAATTGTAGCTGGCAAATGTTAATGTGGTCCAATGCACTAGAAGCAAAATATGCTCACAGAAATATCAACACTTCAAATGCAATAAACTAGTATGTTTCTATCAAATCAGACAACAGACTTACAATGTTTCAGCCTTTTGTTCCTCCAATTCAATTGCACAGTATCCAGGAGGTAGACTTCAGTTGATACTACCTGCACAGTTAGATATCAAAGAACATTAGTAAATTAATTTTACAATGCAACAGAATAAGGATACCCTCTAACCTATGAATCCTCTAGTTTGTAATTTAAATGGTTCATGATATACAAACAATATTATGTCATACTAATCAAAACACTAACCAAAAAATATGCACAAACTATATATTTCTAACACTGACGTAAAACATTGAATCAAAGTGGAGAAAAGTTCTACTGTTTATAATACCTTTGGATTGTAATTTTGATTCAAACAAAGTTTTCAAAGGATAAAACAAAAGATTTTTCTTGAGAAGTACATTGTGACAATATAAATTTTATTCTTGTGTGAAATAGGATTTGCAAGCACTTTCACAAACACAGGAATGATGTTCCCATTAACAGACTTCAATAAGATAGGAGAATCGACTTTTCATCCATAAAAAGTTCAATCCCATTAGCAAATTTGTGAAGTAAATTACTCCCACTTCTAAAGTCAGAACATCTTACGTAGCAAATGATTGTCCAAGCTTCATTTTAAGCTACAAAAGCAACTGCAGCAAAAAACATGCAAATTCAGCAAGCACTTCCAATACACAAGTCGTTTACAGGTCTTCAGACACTAAGTGCGCAAATTTAAATAAACTGACATCTTGCAGCTGTAGACTGGACACTAGCCCTACCGCACAATTTACCAAAATCGACAAATTAAAGTCACACCATCTTTCATTTTCAGAAATACTCAAGATCTATTGTTTACATTAGTTGTATTTTATTGTTATTTATGGTTATTGAAAGCACAGAATAGCTACTACATTTGCCCACATAACAAGTACTACACTTCAAAGCAAATCATGTGAAGAGATTTGAGAAGTATCATGATAAGATGCCATCATTCAATTTCATATGAAAACTGTCCAGTCCAAGTTACACAACCTTTCAAATCTTTAGAAGACACTAAAGAAGTGGGCAGTCTGGGTGAAATAATGACTTCACAAGAAGAAAATGCATCTCTTAGTGAGAAAGCTTATGATAAACTGAAAACTATGTTTGCTTCTCTTACAACTAAAGGATGCAAATCCACACATCACTCAAGGGACTGTGATGGCATAGGATAGATGAAACCCTGATGGTATAAGACTTAGAACAGCATGGGCACTGCACCAGGCACTTAACTATGGTAGTGGGAACGGGTGAAAAAAACTTTGAAGGTCACCCATACATTTATAAGTCATCTTGAAAAGTATAGGTGGAAACCTGGAAATGTTGTTTGCTTGAGCTCAAGATTGTGGAAGAATGGATTCAAATAATCTCTGTGGTTAAATAAGAACTCAAAAGATCTAAATCTAATACATCAAAACATTTCTTCAAACTCCTCATCCAAATAAATTGACATGTAAACACTCAATTAACTCCATGAATCTCCTAAAGTGCCAAATATTCCCATGAGTGCCAAAAAAATAACTAGAAGAATGCCCAAATACAAGATGAGTTTAAGCCATTTTGCATGAGTGGGATCTTTTACAAAAAAGAAAACTCGCCAGCAATACTACCAGATGGGGTGGGTAGATTATAACCATCATTTTCGACAAATAAAGCAGCACGAAAAAACACTGTGTATTGAAAGTCCACTAAAATTAGAAGGCTTTCAAATAATTTGTTTGGAACTGATGTTTTCTTTGGAAATACATGCCTGCTCAGTAATAATGACATTTTCTATTAATGTCAAAGCTCAATGAATTACAAACATTGTAAACTTTTAAAAACACACTCATTGTCCATTTGAAGGTAACCATTTGAAATTGATTTCACATCGCCACCCCCCACCAAAAGGTTAGGCACCACTGTGCAATCATTTGTTCTGAAATGAGAAACAATTTACCCTGCAGTCTGAAACTGCAGTTAGTAATAATTCTTGCATTTGATATAGCGCCTTATCACTTCTGCGATGTCTCAAAGCGCTTCACGGAATTCACTGTAAAATGAATTGACTGTATATTTGTGGGTGATATATTACTATAGATTTTGTTATACACTAGTCATTTACAGTGCAAGAATGATCCTCCTTTAACTTTTTTTCCCCCATAGGGCATCCTGTAAAGCTGTTTGAAACGTTAATATAACGCCTATATCAAATACAAGGATTATTATTAACTAATTTGTGTGCACCTTGTTAGCCCAATAACGCTCAGATCAATAAGCAGCAAAACATACCACACAACAGCTTGTCAAATACAATTTTACATTTTCTTTTCAAAAATATATATTACACCATGAAACTACATGGACCAGAAAATGACAGGTTTGAGTGCAGGACTGTGCTTAATTAGCTGATCTCAGCCAGCACTCTATAGCTGGCCTCAGTACCCTAGGTTAGGGTAAGAGAAACAAGTCAGGAAAGATCCCTGCTCCTGACGGCACATTTCATCCATTATTTTTGTGATTGTAACCACATTTCCTAGAGACACTGTCTACACTTCCATGCAGACAGCTACGTTAATGCATGTGCATCATCTGCGAGACACTATAAATATGTATCAGTTGTATAGACAGCAGCCTGCAGGGAGAACTGTAGAACCTATAGAAATTCAGGTTGATGATGTACTGACTACTGCAGGAAATATTGGATGGTTCTTGCTTCAGCAAGTCTGGCTATACAGGAGATGCTCTAGTAATACATTAATTCTGAAAGCTGATGGCAATTAGTTTTTTTTAAAAATTTATCTAGTCAAAGCTAAAAGTTAGTAATCATAAATTCAAACTCAAAAATACAATCTGGTCAGTAGGGAAAATCTTTAAATCTAGTCAGCACACTAAATATAATAAAAATTGCATTTGATATAGTGTCTTACCACACCTTCAAAACATTACATAGCACTTCATAGAATATACTGTAAAGGATATTGACTATATGTTCTGTGGGCAAAACGCAGCAGCCAATTGGGCACAATCGTGGATTGAGTGACCATTATTAGTTATTTATCTTTGAAGGGATTATTACCCCTGGAAAAGCAATCCGCCAAGAGGTGCTACTTACTGCTAGAGTAACAGAGGTGTGTGGAGCAAGGAAACTTACGCAAATTTTGTCCTGCCCGGGAATTGAACACAGGTCCCTCGCTTGCGAGGCGAGGATTCTAACCACTAAGCTAAAGGATTTCAAAATCCTAAAATAGACAAGCAGAAGTATACATGCATCCTAGACTTTTGTCTGGTTAAGTGTTTTTAAATAAACTAATATCATCTCCTTTGCCATTTTAAACAAGCACCAAAACATTTCAAACCATACAGGACTGGAATGTGCAACTTTAGATCCATCAGAATTGGTAAACTATTTGATGTCTATTAGGTCAGAAGGCATTACACAACTCTCCTGGCACTTTACCAATGCTTCAACCAAACACCAGGTGTTAACACCCTGTTTGGTCATGAAATTTACATCTCACATATACTTGCAATTCCTCCTGCTATTCCAAACTTAAGCATAAAGTTGACAATCCACAAAAACTGTCTGGCCACCTAGGAATATGTGACCCACAAACTTGATCATCATGATGCACATTTTATTTTCCCATTCATAGGAATGTCCTCCTCTCCTTCCATTACTCCTCCACCATACACTGTTTTACTGTAGTCCCTGACTGAGCTGGAAAAAAAAACACACACAAAACTTACTTTAGAGTCAGGCTCCACTATTGTTAAGTGGTCTGAGATGCTGCCCTGTGTGGAAGGCACTATATAAGTTCAAGTTGTTGCTGTTATTACTTGGTCATAGACAACTGAACAAATAGCCCAATGTGACATTCTCACCAATTTTCTCTCTAGTGAAGAATCGAGCCTTTGCTGGCATTTGTCTTGGGACTATATTGCTACAATAAAATGCATTGTATGGAATAAGCAGGAAAATCTATATTAAACACTGTAGTATAGCAATTCTGAACCCAATCTACACTTGATTGCCTCAAATTGGTGTTTAATTTGTCTTAAAAACAAGCCACCACAATGTTAATGAAGAACACAGTGGTGGGTAGTTGTTAATCTGAACAGTTATAGGATCTTCTTTGTGGTAATGGTATTAATCCAATACAAACAATGTAGCTACCTTCCACAGCTTTTACATCCACACTGAAATGTTTTCAAAACTTCTTCCAATGTTTTCCTCTTAGACAACCAGCACCTCCCAAGTAAATAAACTAGTCCCTTTAAAAACAATCATCTTGGAACCAATTCAGCCCTAACGAGATCATGTTTATAACACCCCAATGAGAAGTCACTTAGTTGGTCAAGAACCCAAGCTTTATAATAATACTTGCATTTGATATAGCGCTTTATCATGTCTTCGAGACGTCTCAAAGCGCTTCACAGAATATACTGTAAAGTGAATTGACTGTAAATTTTGTGGGTGAAACACAGCGGCCAATTGCGGACAGCAGTGTCCCACAAATAGTCGGGGATTGAAGTGACCAATTCATTACTACTTTTTGAAGGAATTATTACCCCGGAAAAGCAATCCACCAATCGACTTAACAACCAGGTTCCTACTTTCTGCTAGGTAAACAGAGGCATGTGGAGTAAGGAAACTTACATTTCGCCCTGCTCTAACCACGTATCTACAGGACTCCATTTCACCAATAACAAATAACTGAGAATTAGTTTATGGGAATCTTGGTCACAACAAAGGGCTACTTAAATTAAAAAGTTAAAAAGCTCTTACATATCCAAGTATAAATGCGCTTCTAACATTAAAATGTAGTTAAATTAAGGATGGTGCATTAGATTTCAGTATTATTTTCCATCAATGATCTAATATATTAAGTGACTGGGAAAGCAATAAACTGACTGAAAAAAATTGCATCCCATAAGTATACATCCTGGTCGATATTTCCAACTGCAGCATTCTTAACTCAAATAGTGGCAAGGAATTCATTTTTCCACTGACACAAACGTACAAAGCTGGGAATTTAAAAAGTAACAAGTGTGTGGAATTTATTTAAAATATCTACGTACATCAAGCCTAGCAAGTTAAAACGCATTCCCAATGGAATTCATGATATACAAGTTTAGTTTTTATCTTTAAGGTAAAGTTGAAAATATCTTGGGAGGAAACAACAATATACTGTACTGAAACTTAAATTTTTCTGGAGGAAAAAAACACAAGATTTTTACAATTTGTCTACACCAACATCCATCACTGCTGCCTGAAGTCTCAATTGTGCCAAGACCTCTGACTTCAGAATCCAATCATGCAAGTGCAGAGTAAGCCATTTCACCAGGGATTACAGTTGCAATGACACATATGAAAGTCTCCTTAAACTGAGACTAACTGCAGAATAAAACATTACACCAAGGATTACAGTTGGAATGTCATAGAAGATGACAGTCTCTTTAAACTAAAAAGAATGTAGGATCATCACCAGGTTATTGCACTGCAGAGGCATCACATGCGAGCCTACATCTCATTAACTGATAGATATATGTAGTTATTTTCCAGTGGTAGCATCTGGATAGTGATCAGGAACAGAAATCCTGCCTGATCTGACTAAATGTAGCATCACACTTCACCCCTGATTTAGGTTAGCTAATTTAATACAGATCAGGGTGATCCTGGTCCCTTCCTAATCTTTATTGCTAATTTCACAAAAATGCAACTAGTTAGTTAGTATATGGTTAGCATGACAATTTTAGAAAAAAATCCATTAAACTTAAAAGTTTTGTAATTGTCTTTTCAGCCAGAACCCTAATATTTATAACCTTAGAATTTAGACTGAGCAGAAATTTTATATAATTCACCCATCTTTTGGAAAGGCTCTAATAGTTTTGCTCAGCTAATGATATTGGACACGAAGCTATACAGCAAAGCCAACAGCACACACTGCAAGGTTTTCAATATATTCACAGCACCATTATAGAATAACAATACTAAAATCTAGCACAACTGACAAATCCACCATTTTGTAGCTCATTTACAGAATTGGTCACAAATACAAACCAGTCAAAACTAAGCCATTTGAAATGTACATTCAATTTATATGCGCCCATTTGGGCAAAACAATATGCTATTTTAGACAATATATCAACTGGCAGATATTTAACTATGATTCTATATGCTTTCCAATCAAAGCAGGATATGTGGACAACTAGCATCATGAAGCGTTTGACAAACTCCTTGATTTATTAGCTAAAGATGCCAACACCAAGGCCAAATTGTCTTCAAAAATGGAAAACTATAAGAGTAAAGTTCATAGCATATTTATTGTCACCATCTTTGACAAATGCCCCAAAATAATCACATCACTATGTATGGTATACACAAGCAGCATTGTCAAATTGCAAGAGACAGCAATCCAGCCAGTTTCATTCCATCATAAAACAAGAAGCCAAGTCAAATATCTACAACACACCCTATTAGGTCTAAACCACGTTTTACACAATAGACCAATGCAAACAGTGCAACACTCCTGGAAATCTACTTTTAGCAGATCGCATCGAGTCAGAGGGGGAAAAAGTGGGTCAGTTTAATCGACAGAAACATTAACTCTGAAATATCCCTCTTGCTGTGTCATTTCCTTCAGCTCACACAGGAAACACATACGAGGCTTGGATTGCTAAATGGTACGATATGCTCTGAACACAAGCAGATTAGGTTACAAAGAATTGCTTTCCCCCTACCTTCGCTATTGCCACTTAAAAACGACTATACTCGCCCATCGTGTACCAGGTCCCCACAAAATTCGACTTGTGTTGTACGAAGACGCTTCCAATAACTTTGCAATCGCTCCCGACAAAAGCCGCAGCTCGAGCTGCCGAGTATTTTACGCCCTTCCGAAAACTTAAAATACATTTCAATAAGCGGCAAAACAACGCCGACTACAAAAACGCAACTACAGTACTGAACCACACAAATCCTCCACCCGCCCCACCACCCCCACCACCCCCAATACTGAGCAGGTTCCCGATAAACTTACTTCCCATTTCATGGTAGAATTGCAATTTCGTTTTAATCTATAGTGCCGTGTAAATGGGTGTGTGTGTGGGGGGGTGGGGTGGGGGGGGGGGGGGGGGGGAGAGAGAGAGAGAGAGAAAGGAAGAAAAGAGCAATGAATAGAAACCAAACCTGGATTGAGATACAAACGGGGCAATGCTCGGGAAGGTTTGGGGTTGAAGCTGCGGACGGCGGCGAAGCTCTAACACCGAACGACAAATGGCATTGATATGGAGCGCCTTTCACGTCGGTCGGGAGGACGATTCACGGCGCTGCGGCTGATGTGTGTGTGTGTGTGTGTGAGTTTAAAACAGTACAAAAGGGGGAGAGGGGAGGAGGGGGGGGGGGTGCAGCAGCCAAGAGCTGCATCCGCCCTGGTTTCTACACACCAGGCCCTGGGGGGGGGGGGGGGAGATGCTTTCCGGACTAGGCGGGGCTCTTCTTCTCAGTAACATAGCAAAAAAAAAGGAGAGGGGGGGGAACAGAAACCCGTAAAGAGCAAATAAATAAAACCATTATTTCCCCACCGCTCCCCCCCGGCTGTCCCCCCCCACTCCATTACATGTCATGATAACGGGACCCGAGCCAGAGAGGAGCCGGGGCTTCTCTCCGTGTCAGCAGCAAAAGCCCCCGAGAGAGGAGGGGGGGGGGGTAGAGCATAGGATCGCCGCTCGGATACTTAACCCCACCTCGCCTTTCCTCCCCCCACCCACCCACCAGGGGCCAGCGCCGGGGCCGCAACTTCGCCTCCTTCCCCCGGGCCGTCGCCGCCCCCGCCGCAGCTCCGCCATCTTACAAAGCGGGAGGGCGCTGCTGCCAACCTGCTGCTCGGTGTGAACGGTGTCCCGCGGGGCGGGCGGGCGGGCGAGAGGGAGAAGGGAAGGGAAGGTGGCGCGCACTGACCGTGTGTATGTGTGTGGCGGAGGCGCTGAGCCAAAGCCCGTGCAGAGACTCTCAGAGGGAGTCGAGCAGCTCTCTCGCTCTCTGGGCGCCGGCGGCTCCTGTCTGTCTGTCTCTCTCTCTCTGTGTCTCCCAACCGCCGCTCCGGAACGACCAGCCTCACTTTCGACAAGAGGCGTTAAAGGGACCGCAGCGCGAGGACGCGCAGGCGACGCGCATGCGCACGGCTTCAAACCCCGCCCACCTCTGTGTCCGGGACTGGTGCTGGTGGGGGATGGGGGGGGGAGAGGGGGAGGAGTTACACACAGTCACTCACTCACTCACTCACCCTCTCATTCTTGAGAGCCAAAGGGTATTTTGTCCCTGGAGTGAGCGAAGGGGCTGTACTTTTGAACTGTATACTGTATTCGCCCGCAAAATATACAGTCAATTCGGTGAAGCGCTCTGAGACGTCTCGAAGATGTGACAAGCCGCTACATCGAATGCAAGGATTATTATTATTATTATTTTATTATAAAGGGGATGCACACCCTCTGCTCGCTCTCCCCACCCCCCCCACCCCCAACCACCCACCGCCCCATGGTGTGGGCAATTGAACGCAAATAACAAGGTCCAGAGGCTGTCGGTACAATACCAGATTTTGGGTTGAAAAGAGTAAGACGAGATTGCAAAGCCCATTTCAAACAAATTGAAATAAATGAAAGAGGAGGCATGAATCAAAGTGGGCTGCATTTTAAAATCAAGCTTGAAGCTGAGTAAGACTTGACTGTGTAAAATCTAAAATGAAATGTTGCAAATACATTCATTATCAAATGGGAAAGTAACAGCAGATAATGCATTTCTGTGTTGTTCTCACTGGCATCTGCATCATGTTAAAGAAACGCCTATAACGGCAGACGCTTTTCTTTAAATTCATCCCGGTTTCTGCAACACTGTCCATTTATCCTACTGTCCCGTTTAATTTCTTTTGGTAGTTTGTTATGTGATTGGGAAACATGTTTCCTTTGGTGTTCTGCTTCAACAATATTATTTTTTGCAGCTGGAAAGAAACTTTCAAGTTATTTCAGAATAACAACTACTTGCATTTATATAGCACCCTTTACACCAATTTTTAAAAATATATATTTTGGTGGATGGATGTCAGGACACTGGGAGAAACTCCCTTTTCTTTTCGAATAGTGCCACGAGATCTTTAACAACCACCTGAACAGGCAGATGGGACCTCGGTTTAACATCTCATCCAACGGACGGCAACTCCGACAATGCAACAAACCCCCAGCACTGTATTTGGAGTGTCAGCTTAGACTAGGTGATTCCAAGCCCCGACATGAACCCACAACCAGAGGCAAGAATGCCACCATTGCGACAGGCAGATACGCAAACCATTTCCCCCAGAAAGTAATCTGCCAATTGACGAACAATTGGGTTCCTACTTACTGCTGGGTAAACAGGCATTTGGAGTAAGGAAACTCGCCTAAGGTTTTGCCCCGCCCAAGAATCGAACCTGGGTCCTCTCACTTGTTCGCTAACCACTAAACTACGGGACTTCTTTACACATAATCTTTTTGTATGGAAGGTTAGCAATGGATCACAGCAAGGTTATACAGATATGAGAATGTAGTACACTAAACAGTTCCCATTAAAGAACTAATGGGACTAAATACTCAATGAGGTTTTTTAATTTGGAACTTGACTCCCAAATTGGGTTCACCTCACAGGAGGGCAAGTAATGAGACCTGGCTCAAGGAAATTGCTAATGTCCTGGTTTAAAGATACAGTACTTCAATGTGCAAGCACTGTGTATACAAAAAAATCCAAGTTTATGGGCTAAGTAAAAACAAAACAAAGCATTGCTATCAGTTTGGAAAGGTTGTTTTAAAATTCTTGCATGCTGCACTATTGATTTTGAATAATACATTATCCGGAGGACTATTTCATAGAAGAGGAATGAGTTTTCTTGTCCAATATTCCTCCCATTCTATACTCAGTGAAATATAATTATTAAATGAACATTCATCTCATTGCTATTTGTGGGAGATTACTGGCTGCTGTGTTCATGCTTCAAAGCAACTCATTGTGTGAAGTGGTTGGAGATATTTTGAGGTAAAATTACAGCGTTATGTATTACAGCGTTATAGATAAAAGCTGCCATTAAACTTTGCCTATTTAGTTCAATGTGTTCACTTATTTATATTTGGCTGCACACTGCGTTCTCTGGATTGTGGAGCACTACTGCTATCACCACCATTTATGTTAACCCACATACTGCATGTATACCAAACATAATGTCATGCATCACACAGCTGGGCGAGGAGACACAGTGACAATAGTAGTGATAGTGATGCTTTGCAAATAGAGCAAGCATAAGTGGGTGCATGTAGCCAGTATTACCAGATCAACTGGATTGCATACCTTCTGGTGTATCATCTATCAACCTCAAGTGTGGAACTCTTGCCAGGAGGTATAAAATATAAGATTAACAATAATGCTGATCAAGACGTTAATATGAACAATATGTTCAGAGGCATCATGCTGCCGTGCATGTTATATTAGAGATGACACAATATAAATCTGCCTTCAGTTCACCATGTGATGTAGCTTTTACTCCTAGCACAGTTGCACTGGGAGATTTACAAATGTTTTTTTTGCGCCTCATTTGTGATGAGAACGATGTGAATGCACAATGGGTATACAAGGGAAGGCAATCTCCCGCAGAATCCTGCCTGTGTGGCTCTTGTACCAGCTGCTGGGATTTGTATGAAAGCAACCGGGGCACTCATCTGTTAATTCTTTTACTCCCCGTGGAGATCTGGCTAACCTTATAGCATAGGTGAGATCAGGAACTTACTATGTAGGGAATCACAGTTATGAATCTACGTGCAATATCTCGGTAAACAAGATATCGAAGCACAAAAGTGCTACATTTTCTTCTTCACTTGATTAATTTTAACATTCAGATACAAACAACAATTCTAATATTACTTTGTCACATTTGTGGATCTGAGGCCTGAAATTCTAGTGGCAGAGATGAAAAAGAGTGCGTATTTGGGAGAGTGGGGTGGGGTCACATAAAAATGTTAGTGTGCTGGGGCAGGTGTGGCAACAATTTGCATGTGTAGCGCAGAATGTGTGTGGCACAGAGTTCACAGAACCCAGCTTAGCTAGGAGCCAGTGGCTGTGAATTCAGTGAAGTGCACTGAAACAACCACTTAAGGGTCACCATAAACTGATGAGCCCCAGCAATGGCTAAGGTGGGCATGGCGAGGCCAGCCAACCACTCAGAAAACTCTGGGTCTTATGCTGTGGGAACGCATACCATATAATGACATGTGTATGCTCACTTTGAAGGCCTACTCCCTTCTGTGCAACAGAAACTGCCACTCATGTATATACTGTTGCAGTTTTAAACCTCCTTGAATATTTTCCTGATTATTTTGATTACTATAGAAGCTAATTCATGTGAAATTAACAACAAAAATCTGATTGATGTCCATGAAGCAAGACATGATCATTTATTCAATAAGGTTTTACAATATTTCAATACGTAATGTATTTATTTGCTGTGTCGAGCAGGGTTAATCCTATACTTTCAACTAGGAACCAAGTTGTTAGTCAATTGGCAAATCGTTTTTCTGGGGGTAATAACCCTTTCAAATTTAAAAAAATATATATTATAATGATTTGGTCACTCAGTCCACGACTGTTTGTGGAACACTGTTGTGTGCAATTGCCTGCTGTGTTTCACCCACAAAATATACAGTCAATTCACTTTACGGTATATATTCTGTGAAGCTTTTTGAGACGTCTCAAAGACATGATAAGGCGCTATATCAAATGCAAGGATTGTATTATTGTAGTATAATAAAACGTAGTGCTGTACTGTACCTATTTGTTTTCAAATCTTCCTGCACTTTCAACCTCATGTGAGCCAGTAAAATCAGCCACTCTTAACATGTTGACCGGATCATTACGGCTTATTGACTAACAAGGGAATTCTGCCAAATAAGTGGGAAATGGTGTGCAGCTAGGGAGATGCAAACCTACACAATGGCCAAAAAAAACCATTTAAAAATTATGGTTTGTACAAAGTTTATATTTTATTAATTACAGTATTTGTAATGTTTTTAATAGACAAAGGAATTGATTAACAATTTCATTTTCTGATATGATATTACTCCAACGAGAATGATGGTTACAAGATGAAGATTATGATATGTTACCCTCTAACAGTCAAACCCTAGTTCAGGACGCTTGCAGCTCCGAAGGCATCAGAATGATGAATTCCTCATTAAAGATGCACACCAGCAGCAATGAGAGATGGCGAATGGCAGAAATTTAAATTAAAAAAGCAAAATAAGCCTGAACTCTGTAGACATTTTGACCTTTCTCTTATATCTAGTTACAACATTGAATATGTGTAGATGTTAATAGCGTCAGAAAAACTTTGGGTTATCTCTAAGCCATTCAATTTATTGATTTCCCATGAGAGCAAATTTAACAATATTTTGACTCAGTAGCAAATCTCCACTTTGGATCAATTGATGGCCTGCTAATTCTTTGAAGATTTATTGTGTAGATTAATATTAATCTACCTGGAATGAGTCACTGATTTGGGGAGATGTAGTATAAAATGACTGGAATCTGAGCCATAGCAATACACAAGTCTGGCCATTTTCTTTCCCTACTATCAGGATGATTTTTCCTCCCTGAATAACACCCTTCTGGTTCAAATTTAGCCACATGGTTTGGATGTTCACCTCCAAATACACAGTCACTGAACTTTATAGTATATCCTGTGAAACTCTTTGAGATGTCATCCCAATGTGAAAAGCATTGTATCAAATGTTAGGATTATTATTTTGTCAGCAAGCGCCTTCACAACAAACCTGACCTCAGGCATCTTGATTCTTAGCTGCTGGTGAGTTTAACTATTTAAATATATTTATCACCACTGGGAACAAGCCAAAATCTAAGTAATTCATGTTGGCAGGAAGCTGTGTACCTGCTCAGCAGGAAACGGATCCATTATCACTGATGGGCTATGATTTGGCAGTTGTGCTTTCACTTAAAGAGTGTGGTTTGCAAGACACAGTCGGAATCTATTAATTGGAGAATTTGGATGAGTGTGTTGCAACATGCAGTAGTTTCCTGATTTGGTTAAAAAAAATCCTTGCATTTAATATAGTGCCCTTTCCCATCAGGAGAACATCTCAAAGCACTTTTCAATGTGAAGTGTGGTGACT